TTGTAATAGCCGAACGATATTTATGATTAGAAACATTTTCCTTATTGTATGAAATTCAAGCATAGTTGTAGAGATTCAAGAAATAATCAAGGCTAGATCATATAGAAAAGGAGACTTCTGGTTGAATGAGTATAGTTTATTGGGACGAGACTCTTCAGGACTTCATATATTCATAATAAATGATGAAAGCTTTGAATAATTGCCACTCTATCATGTTTGTACAGATTTCGATTATTTGGATTAAAATAATTTTGTGGTTGTTTGTCAAGATAATGATGAAATATTACTATAAATTATTAATAAGAGTGGAACCATTGTACATGCAAATTCAAAATTGACAGAGCAAAGGAGCAGATATAATTTGGCAATTTATAGAGACAAATTAATTACATACCTATTAATCTATACTCCAGCATACACAGAAGAAACAATGAGCATACAATCAATCATTAGTGTATTCCTCATTGAATCTTACTAAATTATAGAAACACCTTACTATTTGGATAAAAAAAAACTGTCAGACCTATTTTAAAATGAACTCAAATATTTCTCTGTAATTGACGTTCAAGTTTATTCTAATAATGTATATGTTTTAGATTATAAAATGGGGCCAATCAAGTTAATCTAGGATAATAAAGGCAATTTCACATAGGCAAAGTTAATAACTACTTCATTCTATATAACAGAATACTATAGTTTTTCAATCAGAAAGTAAGAGGAACTTATAGTGTTCGGCTTTGTATCCAAAAATTAGATGAGTTTGAGAGTCTTAAAAAATGGGAGATATGATAATGTGGTAAGAACATTTGAGAAGGTAGACTTTTCTTTGGGGATTTGCTATGTACAAACAACTCCAAAATATTACCTGATTAACTCTGATAGAGAACTCATTATTTTAAGTGATGATGAATTAGTTGATAAACTTCAGATTTAAAAAGAGGTCTTTATTGCAAATCCAAATTTCGACCTCTATATTTTATTCCATTCAAATTAAGCAGAATTCTATGAAATTAGTTCTGGTATCCTGATGTTTCAAAAACAAATCTAAACATAGGAAATTTAATAGTATTTCAAATTAGTAGACAACCAAAATGCCAATTGTTACGTAAACATCGTTCTAACTGTCTATGACAAATTAGATGCAAAGCTACATACAAACTTTTAAAGTACTTTTTACAAGTAAAGAATATTTTACTATCCTCCCTATCCCCAATCATACTACACTTGGCCCAGAATTACTAATGGCCCAAATGTTCAATAACAAATAACAGTATATAATGATTAAAAGAAGAAGTAAATTGATATGAAATTTCTCTCATTATCTCCTATGACTATCACTGGAATCAGCTAATTTGATTAGAAAAATGTAATTTTTAGTCTCATCAATAACAATTGGGGTCTCAATCAATACTTGGTGTAAATCGAAAACTTGAGTGCCTTCATTTATGTATGTCAAATGAATGAATTAGAGTAAAAGTGTTCACAAAAGATCACCTTTTACCCACTTATAAGATTGGTTGAAGACAATATAGTGTGGACAGAAGTAGGAATGTATGATTCGTACATAGGAATTAAGACCTAGAATAATCATGTCGTCACAATATATAGAGTTGGCGATACGAAGATCATTCAAATATTTCAAATCAAGACTTCTTTACAAAATGAGAAGACTCAAATCACTGATTTTGAAATCAGTTCTCAATTTGTCTTCGTACTTATTAGTGGCATGAATGAGATCCAAGTATACTCCTTATCTCAGAAAACCTAAATTGATACAATATCAAATCTAAATAATGCCTAAAAGGTCTACATTAGTAACACCTTTAATAAGAATCTTCTATTTATCAAATGCAATAACATAATCATAATTGGACATTATGTCAATGAATTTAATGTCATCTCTCAGATCCAAGTGACTGACCAACAAAATGTCCAATTACTCTTGTCTATATTCAGATCCACTATCGTAGTTGTCTTTAAGACAATTACTGAGCAGGGTATTTTGCAATATCTCATCCACAATTTGAACTCAGTAACACTCTTAAGGAAACTCCCCTTATACTACTACTAATTGCCAAAACAGCTTTAATTGGCTTCGAATCCTTAGAAGAACTTAATTTTGGTTACTGCCTATTCAGTGCAAACTTAAACTACTGTAATTTTGGTTTACTAAATTAATGAATATCAGAGGAACTCTCTATTGACAGTCATTGATACTTTCGACTACTTTGAAGATGAATTGAATTATTGTATTGCTGGGATTGTCGACACAGTGATTTAGTTTACATATCAGAGATAAGTGTATAGTTATCTTTATTTTGAGTAACCAAGAATCTATATCAAGTATTTGACTGATCCTACACACTTTTAATCCGTTTTGATTTTGTCTTAATAGGAATGGAATGACTATTATAGTTTAAAGAGGGTGTACTCTAAGGAGATTACAGTTGTGGATATGTAATTGGAAATGCAATGGATAAAGGAAAACATAGATTTTGAGTTTGAGGAATGCAAAGAAGTTTCGATGATTAAAATAAAGGACAATTGGATCTAGGGTTAAAGAATCCAATATAAATTATCCTGTATTTTGTGTACGACTGATAATGACAGTGGTTAAATTTACTTGATGAATCAATTCTAAAAATCCAATAGAAAGATCCAATCAAAATCAATACAATAATTCATCAATTTCAATGAAAACTTTCTCTTAATTTTATCCGAATTAACAGGAACAAAACAATACTTGCAATTTATCAATAATGTAGGCGAAATAGATAATCAAATCGAATTGCAAAGTGAATAAACCAATTATGTTGCAACCAAATTGTTTTTATTAACAGAATATATCCTAGTTGTTCTGTACGAAAATGTAGCAGCTTAAAATCCAATATTGAAGTATTATTATTGTTGGAAGGATTAAGAAAAACAAAATTGCAAATTTATGGGGAAAATGGAGTTTTACGATAGAAGAATCATCAAAGAAATGTCCTTTCTAAATTATGTACAAATAATCTTAACAGAGAGTTTAACAGAATCTCCAACTCTATATTTTTATTCTTTGGTAATTAATAACCAAGATTTTTCTATAAAACAACATGATTTGATAATCAATAAAGATTATTTTCACTAAAGTTTTAATGTGACTTCGTTTGATGTGATGAAAATTTCTGAAAGTGAAGGATGTTTGGTTTTGGCTGAGTTCCGTTTTGGTATCATTGTAATAAAAATGACTTTGTCGAAAGATCAGGCAAGTGTTTCAAAATATGAATATTTGGAATTACCATTTAGCGAAGTAAAATTAGTAGAACCTTTAGAAAATAAATTCATTAAGATATAGATCTTTAAAGAGGGGATTAACTATTGTAAACTGATTTTAGTAGATCAGATTAATGAGAGCTATTAGATCCTCCTTGAATATAAGAGAGGGAATTTTAGGATACAGATAATATAAGTGTTTTTGAAATTGGGTAATATATTAAAAATGAGGTCCATTAGTGTTGTTGATGATTATCTATTATAATTGTTTAAATATGAGAATAAAAATTACTTTTGTCTCTATGAAATCGATTAGAATAGTGAGATAGGAAATAACGCAGGTATATGCAAAGCAGGATTGAAATAATCTGATTATGATATGATGGTAACCTCAAATTTTGTATTAAGGAAAAACCAATTTGGTAAATATTAATTATTGATAAATACATATGATGAAAGAAGTCTGTAAATTTACACAATTGATTCAGATGCAAGGATTGTTGTAAAGAATGCATCAGAATTAAAGAATAACACAGTGAGTTTAATAGCAGTGAATCCATATAAATAAGTGTAATTGGGAATAAATTTAACTTTGATACAATGTCCACCTCCTGATTAAGAAATGAAATTGTTCTTTATACTTTTGATAGTAGTTTTGGGAGTACTTTTAGCAGGGATAATCATATGTGTGGCAATCCATATATGTATAAACAAACATCGCAAGAGAAGGAGATCTTATAAGGCCATTTAATGATTTTTATTAAAAATATATTATTATAAATTCGATGACTTAATCATTTCAATTATTCAATTTTTTAGTTTTTCCAACTTTAATTGAAATGTCAAAAAATTGATTAAAAAGCAGTATTTAACCATAAGTAGTTTGTAGTATTAGTTTAATATATGATTACTAAGTTTATTTGTCCTCTCAAAGGATTATTTTTTGTGCTTTGATAATTGATATCTATTATAATCAATCTGTTTTTTATTAATTAATATTTGGAAGCAGAATTAGAAGTTTAATTGCTGATTCTATCCTAATACTACTTTTGAATGAATATATTTTCTAGTATATAACTGCAAAACTTTTATGAAACGTAATTTTTCTTTAGATTTTAATATCAATATATCTATTTAATATCATAATAGAAAATAATGAAAATAAAGAAAATAAAGATATCATACTCAATAATTTCCACCAAATATCTTCCATTCCCGATTAGAATAGATTTGATCGATATTTATAATGCACTAGTACTAAATTTAGAGCGTCTGATATTTTCTTTATAATATTTATATCAAAATTGCTGTTTTATTTATTATTATAAAAATGGTTTGCTGATAGGTTGATTAATACCTTCATTGCAATTAAATTACATATTAAGGCTTGTACTTAAGATCAGTAGGCATAAATTTGATTATATGATATAGAAAAAGAAACTTATTAGCATCGATTGCAATAATTCGAAACTTAGAAACTTTGTAGAACCAATAAGTATTATGAAATGTATTTTAGTCAAATTATTCATTGAAACAAGATTTAGAATTATTTTATATTAATATGCACAATATATATCTAAAAATTATTACATATGGGATTTTTTAAACCAGCTAAGTTGTTCTATATGCAATAATGAATGAGTTGAACACATCTAAGGTCGATGATTCTTGAATTTCATGGAAATTTATATTTCAGGATTATTAATTTTATCATAAATTATGAATGAGGTAATCGAGATTATTGAATGACTCAAAACTCGTCAGAAATTTAATATAAATTACCCCAAAACTCATTTTTTTAAAATAATTAAATGATGATCATTATCTTATTGGTGCTAACCTAAATGTCTTACGGATGTTCTGTGTTTGCAGACAACACATTGTACATTACAGCTACGCCTGGAGAAAAAGTTGATATTAAGCTTGTTGAGATTTTTCGAAATAAAAATAAGAATTAATTCACTCTCTCTCCATTATCAGAACTTTACTCTATCTCTACTCCATTGAGTTTAATACAACAAAGTCAATATAATTTTTAAGAACCAAGAGAGGTGATAGCTACAAAATTATATAAAAGTTCAGGATATCTAGATATAACAAATTAAATATCTATTTTGAGCAAATCACAAAATAAATATTTTATAGAATATAATTCTGTAATGTTTGAAAATACACCAGATATTGATTTCGTTTAATAAGTAAATCTTAAACCCGATTCAATTTGTTATGATGCACTCTAAGTAAATTAATTGTATGTCATCGAATGTAACAATGTGGACGGTGATTATTTTGCTCTTCTTAATAAGGATTAGGTGTAATTCATGACAATTATAAACTCTTAAAGATAACAAAGAAAACTCGATCAATTAGATAATTTTGTTTTAAGAAGTTTATATTATTCGTTAGAGTTATATCAATTGCAGGATAATCAATTAGTCTTATTGAGTACTCTAAATACGGAGTAAGTAAGAACATTAACTAAAGATGATAGTTTTGATCTTCTAATTTTGGATTTTTAATTTCACACTAACTAATAAATTACGATTTTGAACTCTAAAGGACAATTTTTATTTCTCAAATACATGATCCAATAAAATAAATGGGAATTGTATGAATATTTGTAAACTCCAACAACTCTTCCTTATGCTTATGATTATTCTTGGAAGTATTTGTAACTAGTCATCCTTTCAGAAAAAGAAGTATACCTCCGTCAGACTTCAGCTTGGACTTAATTAGAGAACTTAAACTTTGAACAAAATAGCAGAGTGCGTTTGACATAAAACAATATTATTATATAGAAATCAAAAACCTTACAAATTTTCAATTTGAATTTAAAAGCGCGATAAAGTGTTGATATCAAAACTTAAGGCTTTTTGACTTCATATCCAGCTGCTGATTAATTTTTATTTTTTGATCTCTAAAACTTTTATGCTTATACAATAAATCAAGAAGGGGATTATATATTGAGATTTTAATCCAATTAATTAATTAAAGAGTATCAATAGTTTAGCATCTATTAGACAACTGGATATAATGTATGTATAGTCTAGTGCTATTATAAAGTTGTTGATATGGCTACAAAGGCCATTTATTAATAACTAACAGTTGCAAATAGTTTTTTTAAGGGTGGTTTCGTGTTAGACCAACCATCATCATTTTAATTTACTTAACCATTTGCTGGACAAAATATTAAGATAGAGTTCACTCCTAATTAGTTTGGGACTGTTTTATTTAGTAGAAGCAAAAAAGTTGAAATTCTGAATGCAGGTGATTCAAAGGATGTGATTTATCGTAAAATTATCCCTGAAGTTGGATAGACAAGTTTTATCGAGTAAAATAAAGATCTACAAATAACAGGATATCTATGTGGTTTAACAGACAAATAATTTTAGTGTAAGACAATTATATAGACACACGAATTTGTCAAATTATTGGATTCCCCTCTTCAAACATGGTTTGCCTAGTTTTATACCTACTTGGCAATAGGAAAGGAGAAAAATGTTGAACTCTATTGTAATTGTAATGATTAATTCCAAATATCTCTTCTAAAAACCTTAACTTTGGATAATAATGTTAAGGAAATCAAGCAAACTCTTTAATATTTATTAATATTGGTGGATTAGGAAGTGCTTGTATATTAGATTTAAATTAGTAAATAAAGGATAGTATTCCGCCATTCAGCTGAAAAAATCTTTACATCTGGAACCTCAGATAGAATTTGGATTTACGAGAAGAAAACTTTGTATCTCTTTGATATTTCCGATAATTCCAAATAACTTTGGTTCACTTCTTTAAAAGATTATGATGACGTTGAAATTGGAGTAACTGAGAATCACTTTTTGTTACTAACAAAAAGAGATAATCAATATCAAGCTTTTGTTTATGACTATCAATCTCTCAAATATGCTTATATTACAAAAGAATTAGACCTTACAGGTTACACTTAATTGAAGCTTTGTTTAGGCTGTAATTCTAACTCCAATTTTATTTATTTAGAGGCATAAAAAAATGGAAATGGTGTATTGCTTATGTACAGATTAGATCAAATTGCAATAAATTCATAGTTCATAGAATTTTCAATCTTAGCTAACAGCTAAATTTCCTCTAATGAATAAACATTATTTATTACAAATGCTAACTCTCAGATGCTATAATAATACATTATTTAGAAAGATTCATCTTCTATTAGCATTGAGGTTGATAAAAAATATAAACAAATTAAGAGTTGTGAAATTATAAAATTAAACGCAAAAGTATCTACTTCTGAAATAACCTAAGAAATTAAGGAGGTTCCAATTTCTGTAATAAATAGAGGAATAGATTTATTTGTTTTAGAAAATGAAATGAATTTTAAATATGAGAAAACTGGGGAAAATGGTCATTGTTTCGATTTAGGATAATCTTGGTATAGTGGTTAGGCTCTTGATATGGATTTGAAATAAGCAAATGGAGACATACAATTATAAAAGACTTTAGTTAAATAAGAAAATTCTATTGAATATAGTGAATCTATTATGCAATATGATGATCAAAATTTGATTTAATTGTTTAAGAATAAGATTGTTTTAGTTTCTAAAGAAGACTTTAAAACTACAGAATTAGAATTAGATAATCAATACTAATTTATCAATATTCTTTATATCCAAAAAGATCTTATCTATGTTTAAGCTACTTAAAATCAACAATATCATATTAAAATAATATAATATAAAGATTCTAAATTTACATTATTACCAGGATCACTTACTTTTAATTATTACATCAAAAAAGTTAGCCCACTTAATAAATATTTCTTCATTTGGGTGGATTTGAAAGTTTAAATTTATAACATTAATGAAGAACCTTCAAATTTACAAAACTATGCTTTTGTTCAATATATTAACATTCCACCTTATGACGGTATTATGGAATTTTTATATGTCGAAAGTAATGATGTTTATTAGATCTTGTTTTTAAATGAGAGTTGCTTACTAATATTATAAAGCTTTAAAATATCTTAAACCTAAAATGGTCTTTACCAATCTGTAATGGATATTGGGATTATTTTAAGAGAAAAACTACTCTATGATCCTTAAAATTAAAGTTGCAGAAATTCATACCTAGCAAACAATGAACTTTTAGTTGTTTTTTCTGGAACTCCATCCTATAAATTTGGTTTGGTTACGAATTGCTAGGAATAGAACATTTGTAATATTATCGAATTAAACTTAATATCTGAATACCAATAATATGGCGATTCAGTTATAGATAAAAAATATCCAAGTAGCTATTTAAATGAAAACATCCTGTCCGTAATTTATCAATTAGATGATGGTTATGATGTTTTACTCTATGATATTAAAAGTTAAAATAATAAAATTGGACCAAAATTGGCAATTGCCCACTTTTAATCTAAATCTAAATAAAGGCCAATAATTTCATTCGTTTATGCTTCTAAAGATTAATTACATTTATTGAGTTCAGAAGATAATGAAAGTAAATTACAACACTATATATTAAGAACATCTCCTTAAATCTGCACAGAAAAGGATTCAGTTTCATAAAATGTCGTGTTTTTATTAAAAAATTATTATCAAGAATCAACTAATAATGTGCTAGTGAAAATATCACCAAATCTGCCCCCTAATCCACCAGATCCAGATCCAAATTCTGATGAAAAGAAAGGGTTCCCATTATGGGCAACTTTAACTATTATTGGTGGTGTTATTCTATTAGGTGGAATCGGAATCACAGTTTGGTATTGTAAGAAAAAGAAGGTATCTGATGATTAGTATGAAACGATGCCATGATAAATTACAAATATATAATAAATATTAATTATCATTTATTAATTAATTTTAGTTCAGAATTTAATTCTCAATCTTATCATTTTGGTTTGATAATGTTGTAATAATTTCATTAAATTCTTTTTGTTTTATGCTGAAAAATGAATTTTGGATGACATTATAATGCTGGAAATCATTACTAGGGCATATTAAAAGAAGTATTTACGTTTGCAATTATTTAATTGAAAAGAAATAGACTGATCATTATTGAAGGAGCTTCATAATATTTAGATTTAATCAGGAGCATATTACTTTTTTATCTTCATCAATCGACGAGATGTTTGTGCTATACACCGCAAACATACAATTTGGATCTAAAGAATGAGTGTTATAGCATATTGAAATATTTTAATATTTTCATCATAGCATTGTCTAATACTATCAAGTTTTGTAGTAAAGTTATGGATTTGATGACGAATACGCATAAATTCCATAATATATAATTATTCATTAGACTAAGGATATTTATATATATATACAAAATTAATTTCCATATTACAACAAAAATATAAATATGAAAAAAATCTATTGGTTTATAAGCTTGCTCATAATCCTTGTAAATGCTTGCTCATATTTGCAAAATGAAGCTATGCAAATCATCTCAACTCCAAATGAAGTTATCAACCTAGAGTTGGGCTCAATTTTCAAACTTAAACAATAAAATAAAATAACCTTGTATAGCGATGGTGATGAATTCTCTATAATTAAGCCGATTGAATAAACAGAGAAGTTAAAAGCTAACACTTAAAAAGATAGTAAGGTAGTATCATATAAACTTTATAAAACAAAAAACAGTCGTGACCCATTACACTCAATGGCAATTTTAGTTTAACTTAAGGACTCATACGTCGTGGAATTTAATTCTAATATTTACAATACTTTGCCATCTATTAATTCAGTAACAGAAAGAGTTGACTAACCTAATTCAATTTGTTATGATTTAGTCTAAGTTGATTCTATCTTTATTGTTGATTGCCAAAAGGAAGACTAAGAATATTTCTCAATTGGATAAGATACTTATATTCCAATCTAAAAAGCCAAGAATTAAAAGAGAAAATTAGATTAAATGGACAATTACATTTTTAGAAGCACAGTAAATGAGTTAGAATTATACATTTATGAAGAAAATACTGTGCAGTTACTTAAGATTCTAGATTAGGCCACACTAAGTTAATTGTTACAAAAAGACACCTTTAAATTGGAGATAAGAGATTTTAAAACTCACTCAAATGGATAAATTAGTATATTGAATTCTCAAGGGGAACTCTTAATAATAGAATACCACAGACAGGAAGATGAATGGGTATTGATTAAAAATATTGATACAAAAACTCAAAATGCAATCGGTTATGATATTGATATCGAATCTAATCAATTTGTAGTTATCTAAGAATAAAACCTTTATTTTAAGTCTAAAACATCCCAAGAATACATAATTAGTATAACTTTGGAAGAAAAAAATAGGGTTTATTTGACTCAAAATTATATTTTATTTTCAAGATTAGATAGCCTTGTACTCTATAACTAGAAACTTTAGAAGCTTCATTCAATGTTGATGGAATAATCAAAGTTTAAACTGATTTCAAATCCAAATTTCGACAGCATCTTAGCCTTGGATGATACTGACATTTATCGCTACTCAATTAATAGTGGTTATTATTTAAGATTTAAATCCGATAAACTTTTAGAAGAGTACAGTTAAGTTCAAATCGCAGAAGAATACAATTTGCCTAAGTGCTATGTTACTATTTACTATAGAGTAGTTCCAACAGATACATTAAAAATGTACTTGACTCAATCCTCATCGGCCTTATTTGCTTACGGAGTGAATTTGGATGAATAAACAGCTAAATTCTAGCCTGCATGTTCAGGACCAAATCTCAAATTTGAATTTTAGAATAGTGACATTTTAAAAATAGAAGTGAAAAACAAGAAGGATGATTTTCGGACTAATTTAGACTCAACTGATGTTATTTACAGAAAGGCGATTTCAGATCTTGATTCATAATACGTATACTTGATTCAACAAAAATAGAACCTTGAAATAGAAGGTTATAAGTGTGAAAATCTTCCAGAATGGGGCTTTGGCTGTGATATTTGGTTTCAAAAAATAAATTTTCTAAAACTAGAGGATTCTCAAAACCAAATTTGGTGGATAAGTAAAGACGGCCTTTATTTTGCTAATTTGAATGACAAATAAGTAAAAGTCAATTTTTTACCTTCTGATTAAAAATAATTCTAAGAATTTTAAATTATTGAGTTACAATCTCAAGGGAAGACTATTTCAACGGATGGAACCAATTTGTTTATAGTAATCGAGAAGGATGTTGAAATTTATGGCATCAATACACAAGGATGGAAAAAGCTTTCAGTAGGATTAAAGGATGTGAATCAGATTTTTACATCACCGTTTAGGTAGGACATGCTATTTGCCTATGATAATATTAAATTGTCTTTATACAGCATTTAATATTAAAAGTTAACATTAGTCTGGTTTATACCTTTAGAGAGTCAAGCAGCTATTAGTGTTGCAATTACTAATGGTCATTTTTCTATTTTAATCAAATAATAAGATTTGTATGGAATACTCACATATAATATTCAAAATATAGGGGATATTTATTATTAAAGAAGTCATAGTTTATATCATCATGCATAAAACGATATTACATTATTTGATAGCAATTATTTTAATGAACAACTATACATAATAGGTACTCATGAAAAGACTGCTAAAAAGGCACTTTTAATTTACAAAGCAAATGAGACAAGTCTAAACTCATAATTCATGATTTTAGATACTCAATCTGCTCAGATATCATCTTCAAATAATTATGTTTTCATTACTGAAACTGAAGCGAATTCATAAAAATTTTATATTTATTTTATAGATGGCAATTATTTCGTAAGCACTACCATAAATACTTAATTAAAATAGTAAACATACAACAAAGGTATTAAATTAGAAGGAAAGATTTCTAATACTGATTATTACTCAACAATTAAGGAGGTTCCAATTTAATTAATAAATCGAGGAGTAGATTTATTTAGTACAGAGAAATAAATGAATTTTACATATGTGAAAGATTAAGATGATGTTCATTGCTTTAATATAGGATAATCTTGGTATAGTGGTTAGGCTCTTGATATGGATTTAAAATAAGCTAGTGGAGACATAAAATTATAAAAGACTTTGGTTAAATAAGAAAATTCTATTGAATATAGTGAATCTATTATGCAATATGATGATCAAAATTTGATTTAATTGTTTAAGAATAAGATTGTTTTAGTTTCTAAAGAAGACTTTAAAACTGCAGAATTAGAATTAGATAACCAATACTAATTTATCAATATTCTTTATATCCAAAAAGATCTTATCTATGTTTAAGCTACTTAAAATCAATAATATCATATTAAAACAATATAATATAAAGATTCTAAATTTACATTATTACCAGGATCACTTACTTTTAATTATTACATCAAAAAAGCATTTTAAAACTAGGATAGATTTTTTGTTTGGATTTTGAATTATGTAATAGCTTATGATACTAAAGATGATCCCACAAATTTTAATGAATTTTAACTTATTTTAAGAGTTTATCCCTTTTAATACCCCTAGTCAATTGAGATTCAACATATCAAGGATTATGTTTATTATTTTTACTGCATTAGTGAATTGTCTTTATTTGAATTAATCGCTTATGACGTAGCTTAGACTACTAAATAGAATTATTTCTATCCTTTTAATATAGCAGATAATATTAAAGAATAGGGCATGTTTAGTCCTCTTGATTATAAGTGCACCGGAATGGTAATGAATGAAAATTAAATAGTTATAACTTTTAATAATTCTATTTCATATGCCTATGAATATAAGGTTGATTGTTCAAAAAATCATTTGTGTGATCTCTCTAATTTTAAGTATAAGAATAGTTATCAGTAATACGGTAGTTGGAGTTTGAATAATGAATATCAAAGTTAATAGCTGACGGAAAATATACTATCTTTAGTTTATTAGTCCGAAAGAGATCATGAATTATTGCTTTATGATTTGAATGATGATTCTAACAAGACTGGACCCTTGTCATCTATAGCCTATTTAAAGTTGAAGAACCATGAAGATTAAAAACCTGTTTAAACCTTTGTTTATAAGCATAAGGGGTAGTTACATTTATTGAGTTCAGTAGAAAACAAAGAAAAATTGGAACACTATATATTAAGAAGATCTCCTACACTTTGTATTGAAAAGGATTCAGTTTAAGAAGATGTTTAGATTTTATTGAAGAATTCATATCAAGAAGCTATAATAAATTTGAGATTGAATATTGAATTGATTGAATCTGAGCCTTCTCACTTTAAAATATGGATAATATTGGTGATTGTGGTGGTGGTTGTGATCTTGGGGTTATCCGTAACAATATATTGCCAAAAGAAGAGAAAAAGATAAGGGAAATAGAAATTATTAACAGAAGTTTGATTTTCTTAATATATATATATATAAAATTATGTAACAAGAGATTGAAGTATAATCTCCAGATCATCTGAATAAATCCCAATCTAACTCGAAATCAAAGTTAAATTCTTAAGGATCATCTTAAAATTTGAATTCTCCAAAGGATAATAAATCAAATGAAGTTCTAAGCAAAGAGCACTCACGAAATCAATCTTTGGAGAAAGGCCCTTAAGGCGGTGAACAAAATGAAGAACTAATTGAACATTAAGAAGTGTAACAGGAACAAGATATGGTGCCTTAATAAGTTGTGTATGCAGGTCAAGAATAAGAGCAAGATTAGAATAAAAAGGATTTAGCAAAAAAGAAAAGATAAAGAATTTCAATTTTAAACAATGCTCATCGGGCTTTTAAAGGAAAGGATTAAAAGGTAAGTCAGACATCTTTTACTTCTTTCTCTCCGGATTCAACTCCAGACCAAATTTCTAATAATCGATAGAGTAAATTTTAGCTATCGACTCAAAAGTAATTGGAGATGGAGGAGTAGGAGAAAAAGGATGAAAATTTGAGAGTGAAATTAATAGAGTGGTTGAAAACTGAGTTTATGTTTAAGCAAATACATCCATTTGATTTATTCACCGCATTGGATGATCCTAATGCGGAGTTCCTTCTGCGTTAGAGTGAATTAGAATAGGCGTTTAAATATATAAATATTGATATTGGAGAAGATAATTATAGAATAATAAACAAATATTACAAAGTGAAAGAGGGAGTGAGCACTTTGAAGTTATGTTATCACATTGTTGATGATTAACCGGAATTAATGTTTATGGCATTAAATCATATAATCATCAAGTATCGTTTATTGGTTGACATCTTTTTTGATGAAATCACATAATCAGAAAAGCTGTTTACAGCTGATTCCCTAAAATTATTGAATAAAGAATGGGAATGGGGATTTGAGGAAAAGCAAATGTCAGTTGTCCATAATTTGATGACCGACTATGGGAATACTTCGATGAACTTTCAACTATTTAAGTAGAAGCTTTAGCAAAGTCCTTAAGCAATTGATTCAAGGTTGAATCTAGAAATGTATTAATCTTTGGTCAATCTAATAATTCAGGATGATTCTGTGATGACATTTAGTTTGCTGTTATAGGATTAGGATCAGGCATCATCTGGAGAGGTTGCTTTGTACATTTTCATAGATATCCTATCAATGTATATAGACAGAGCTCTGTCTAAGATTGAGATGAATGCAATTAGGATATTTCTGTAGGTTGAGAAAGACGAGGAGGTTGTAGCTTACAATAAATTGCTAACAGACGCACTCAAAATAATAGAGGATCAAAAAAGCATAAGATAATAACAAACTGCAAAAATACAGAAATTTTAACTCTAATTGATGCTATTGTACTTTAATTCTATTGATAATATATCGTAATTACAAGAGTAGTACTTTAAAGAAAAGAATAAAATAAACAAGGAGCATTTCATTAAATAGACAATTTAGGTAACGAATGGCAAGGTGGACAAGGAGAGTGCGAATGCTATTTTTTAGATGATCTAAGAGAGTAAGCTTGATTAGAAAAATTTGAATATCAGTGATCTTGAGTTTGATTAGTTCATAAAGAAGAAAAAGCATGAGTTGTCAATATCGGACAAGATTGATCAAATAAACTCGCCTTTGAATTAGGAGTAATTTAAGGAGTTGTACGAATTGCAAAGGAATTTGAATAGAAAGTCATTGAATAGATTGTCAGCGTAGATTATAATGAGTCCCAAGTCGTCTGACTTATCAAATTAGAACTCACCTGACAAATTGGATTTGAAGCAAATTTAAGGGTAATTTAGTAAGTAAGCATTGCAAAAGGAGATCATCTAAGATATATAGGTAAAGCAGGAAGAGAAGGCACAGATATCTACTCAACAATTGAAGATGGATATTTATTAATACTTTGAGGATTTGGACACAATTCAATTGAAATATCTGACACAATAGCAAATGTTCTTTGGACTTCTGAAATTGGGCATTTTGATTAAGGGTTAGACGTTGATGCAATAAAAGTCATATGATTATGGAGGATTCGAGAAATTTGTATTGTTGTAATTAAAGACGTTTTATAATTCTCAAAAATTGATATATTTATTGAAATAGGAGTTCGATTAATATAAGGAGGGTGAGACTGATGTTGTTAATATGCAATAATTGAAGTAATATTAAAAAGAGTAAAATTAGGTAGTTGTTTGAGAAGGTGAATTTGAATGTGAAATTTGAGGATGTGATTTTCATCTATTAAACATTGGATAGAGAGAGAAGTGGTTATATAAATTTGGAGGATTTTTTTTATTTGATTCATTAACACCCCTTGATTGAGTATAGATTGAATGAGTTGCTGTTTCGAGTAATTGCTAAATCAAATATTAGATGAAAGGTTACTACGAGAATTCACTTAGAGCACAACGAATCTTTTATTAAAAGATGCCGTTTAATTATATAAGACCCTTCTCGATCAAAGCAAACCCACCCAGTTATTCTTTTCGATTTAAGCCTGATGTGTTGGGGAAATTTTAAGTCGAGCAAAAAGGCAAGGCATGGAATGTCTACAAAGTGAAGATTTTATCTGGAGAAGGAATACCATCACCGGAGGATAAGAAATCATGTTTCAGGAGGGAAGTTGTGGTGGGAATATACGATAAGTTTTATAAGGAGTTCGTAGAGAATACAGCGATTGTGAAGGCTAAGTACAATGAGGAAAATGAGGATATATGGGAATTTCCATCTAGGAATAGAAGTAATGGTTTTTTCTTGAATTGTGAGAAAAAATACAACGATTTACATTTAGTTTTGCTATTTGAATTGATTAGCTACTATTTAGAGAATGGTGTGGTGCAAAGAGTGAGTTGCGGATTTGTTGAGATCCCCTTTTCCCACATCATTCAGCAGGGGACCTTCGACCTTCCATTGAAGGGTGGGATCATCGAATAGGAGATAGCAATTAACCGAGGAGACGTGAGATGCAAAAGAGGGGGATTTGCTAGTTTGGCTGCAAAAATAAAGGGAGAAATCTTTCCTCATTTAACTATTAGTTCTGCCAAAAGATCCCGTAGACCAGCATTACTGATAGAATTAGAGACCATGCCTCCCTTGTGTTTATGTCACAGGAACATGACCTAAATAGTTTATGCGTACAAGAGATTCGCCAGAGACATACTGGAGGAAGAAGGAGAGGTTTACATACAATCATTAAATATGTTTCTATTTTCTCTGGATTGTCCATACATTAATAATCGAATTTGCAGACTGTGGATTAACACAATTAAAGGAAAGATGATTGGTAAAGAGAAGAGTGTATTCTCCATTCTGATTGGGTAGCTACAAAAGCTAATGAAGATGAAGGCTTTCAGTTTCAATCCTTACTCGCCTTAGGAGATCTTCCCGCCAGAAGTGGGGAAGTTGAAAAAGGACGTGGTTAAGTCAGTGTTGCTGAACACGGAGTTCTTGATTGATTCGTCATTCGAGAACAAATTGAATTTGCCAGGGGATAAGATCTTGGAGGAGCAGATCCAGAAGTTTGGAGAGATGTAGGAATAGGGAATATTTGATAACGGATAGAATCCTTTTGATCCCTATAAAAACGGACTAAATTTGAAAGGGTATGAACCTTACGTAGAATAAATCATTTGACTTATAACTCATTTAAGTATTAACGATTATTGTTGTAGTGACATTTTCTTTCTCTATTTCTTCTACCGGTTTTTCCAATAAATAACAAAAAACATTAAAGACAGAATCGTAATTGCGAGAAGTAAAAGTATAAGTAAGATCCAGTAGCTAAGACATAGGAAATTCTCTTACGTGATTGAAGATGTCTGTACAATTTCGTATGCTTGGACAATCATGCTGGCTGAGGAAACTAGATTGCTGGCTGTCAACACCAATTGTTATTCGTGAGCATCTTCCAAGAATGTAAGTGTTGCAAATTCTTCCACTTTATACAGGGATAAATTTTTGTTGGATAATTACAATTGAAGTAATAGTTGGTCATTCTCATCATAGAGAAGGGAGAAGAATTGGCTCTGAGATTCTACGATTTCAATTCCTCCGAATTACAAGATGAATTCAGATTTAGTATCTAATTTGTATAAGCAAATGGAGTACTAGTGGGTCGATTCTTTCTTGTAAGCCAATGCTAAGTAATCTTTAGCGACTGAGGATTGAAACATTAATTTAAAGTCTGAATACCTCTGAATCTATTTGGTTATTATGATTTCTTTAAACAATTCATCTTCAAATCTCACAATCATCTTTAAATGAGCAATTTCTCTGGTCAACAGAATCACATTGAAAATTTGATAATTCTTATTAGCCTCATCTCCGCACTTCAAAATTTTATGATATGTAATCCCTTCGTTTATTTTCTCGCCTATCAATGCTTCCAGATTGCTCTTGGGAGATATCCTAATCACATCATTAAGAATTATCAAAGACTTTGTGAAATCGTTTTAGTACTGGAAATCTTGCACATAGATCCCAAAATTCAATTCATTCATGAACACTCTAACCAGGTTTCCAAATGAATAGGTGATAAAACTCCTCACCAAAAAGTTTGGGTGTTTTGACTTATCGATGCATGACATCTTTGAGAAACTCAAGAAATTGGGAGAAGCATAATTTATATGCCATGTGCATAAATTTGATTAGTCTTCCTCATCATTTGCTTCCAAAAGAATAAAATTGAAATGTTCTAGAATTTCAAGTTACAATATCTTCTTATAAATTTTAATCACCACTGGTTAATCCACCAGTCTAAAGGAATCTCCCTCTCTAATCACCATAGCTATAAATTAAGTCCAAAATACTTCAGTACTCCCCGTAATCAGTATGATGGAGTCTCTGCACCAAATATTCTATGGAGTATATGAAGTTTCAAAATCAAAGAAGAAACGCTGATGCTTGACATAATGTTGATGATCTAAAAAAATGAGACTAGTGTCTGTAAGTATCACTTAGAGAGTTTCGTTTAATTGACAATAGCTTAAGATATCTTCGTAATGGTGAACATTTGAAATCTAATGAACCTTTGGTGTCAGTATTATTTAATCATTGCATTGTTAGCATTCTATTTTAAAATCAATCACCAAACCCTTAAACCAATCATTCGGAATTTGCACTATCTTAGATTCCAAATACAATTCACCACGAGTTTAAACAGCCTCAATATTGGTCATCAGATTGAGAAAGGTTACATTTTACACTTACTCAATAACCCCAGGAGAATCTATTGTAAGATAGGATATATTCAGTTCCTTTCTGTGGATGTACACTGAATCATACTTAGATGTAATTACAGCTTAAAAGTCTTTAGCCACAAAGAAATTCTTAAATTACTTCTAAGACCCTGCGTGGATCAATAATCCAGATTAATGAAAGGCTGTGACTCCCAAGTTCAATTCATTTTCTGCATACCAACCCAAAGGAGCACTAGTAACTAGGCACTCTCTTAACTCAACCTCAGGCTGATAGATTAATAACACAGTTTATTATAAAACCGGAGTATATGCTTTAAGAAGAACTAAATTCATTTGAGAGAGTATTTGAAAAGGTTTGTGTAAAATGTAATGAAATAAAGGTATGACCTTTAGTAGATTAATTTTCCACATCCTTGTACTATATTCTCTAATTTCTTGTTTGTACCCATAATCTATGGCAACAAAGAAAGAATAGCTAGTTACTCCAACTGCAAGGGACTCACTATCTGAAAATGTAATGCAATCCAATAATCTGAAAGAATTAAAGAAATAGCCAATTATGATATTCTGATTGCCAGTAATGATCAACAGATTTGATTATTGCTAAACAGTCTTAGGATTGAATCGATAAGAGGGCACATCATATGTTGTAATAGTGTCAATGACTTGTTAAGAGACTAATGATATGATATCTATTTATTATTTTCTTTATTAAACAACAAACACATGAGTTTTAGATAAAGTAAATGAGGTTATTTCAGATTGCTCATCCTTTAGACTTGTAGCCACAGTGAACATTTCTTAAACAATGGATTGATTCAATTTGTAAAGTTCCAAAGTGTGTTAGAATTTGGAGATGTAACCAAAGATGACATAATTGTCATGGATCCATTAAAAGGAATCCTTACTCAGAATTCTATTAGGATAAAACTAATGAACTTTTTAGCAGTTCAATTCATTATATGGATTGCTGATCGAACATTGATATAGAGTGGCTTTGAGTATTTTGGATTGGACTAAGTAGTAAACGTATTGGTCTACTTCGCAGATGTCAACATAGACTGAATCATTGGGTTGATCATTCAGATCAGACCACACAATCCCTTTGATTTTAACATCTTCCATGTATCCAAGCTTCAAAGAAATGCTCTCGTCCTGGAGTTCAATCTGAGCCTTGATGTTCGATCCAGAGACTCCTATTTCTTAAAAAATAGGTACTTAAGGATCAGTAGGGTAATTAATTAGTTGTTTGATTTGATGTTGTAGATTGTTCTTCTTGTAAAGTTTGTTATCCAAATAATTGTAAATGACATAGTTGATGGTTACTGCACATTGATTTAATTCAGTTGCGATTAATAATAAGCTTTATAATTCATAATTGGCTTAATTATTGAGTTTCATGATAAGCAATCCAGTGGAAATAAAAAAGGATTGTTGTTGGGTCTCTTGAACCAAATAGATTTCACTCTTGTAGACATTGAATGTGACGATCATGGGACTTTCAAAAATGATAGTCTTGATTACATAGGATGGATTGATTTGATGTATCAAAAGAGAAGTAGAATTAAAGAGGCAGAGGAATTGCTATCTGCCCAATTCTCCAATGAACTCCATCTTAGTTTTCTAGAGAGCTTGATCTTGAATGGTCCATGATTGTAGATCGTTTTGGTGCCGATTAAATACGATCAATTAGTTTGTATTGAAGGACATGGCTAAGGTGTAAGAATTGAGATCTTTCAGCACTGAAAAGGAGTAGTAACTGGCATCTTAGGGAGTTGAGTAGATGTAATCGAACTCGAATTCATTTATGGATTTGACTTTTAGTGCAATCACTCCTTTGGTTGAATCCAACAGGAGGAGATCGTTCAATGCATACTTGGCTTAGATGATTGAATAGGTGGTGTATGTGTCTAGTAGACTGTTTAAGAGGCGTGAATCAATGACGGTGCCAGTTTCTTTAAGGGCATAATCATAATAGAGAATCATAACTTTCTTTGAGGTCGTTACTAATATGAAACCATTTTCAACCTCGATATCTAGAATCTAGCTATCTACAAAGTAATATTCATTATTTTTGGCTATCCACAGTCTAGTGTCATAAGCCAATAGGATGACATTATTTCTGATGACCCTTACAAACGAGCACTTTTGAATTGTTGAGTAGAACACTTGATCAATGGTCGGATAGCGCACTTGATATATTGAATACTTCCGAAACAGCAGGGCTCTTGAATTTTCGTGATAAAACCCATTCTTCATTGTGTGTAAATCAATGAAGGTTGCGTTTGCTAATTCTTAATTAAGTCATACTAAAATCTTCAGTGCTGTAATCTTCTGTTAGTGGGTTCATAATTTGCACAATATCGAAATAATCGCTAATTCCATTCAAGGAATATTCAACATTCTCACCTTAAACTAATTGGCCTAAATCTTTCTCAATTCGTTCGAAAGTGGAACTGTAGAGCGTAATTTGATTGACTCTAATGATATTCAATCAGTTACTGCATTTAAGTTAAATTGTTTGTACTATTAATTCAATCAGGAGCAAATAATTTAACATTATAATAATAATTTAATCAGCATCCCTCATTATTAGAACCATGATATCATTGATTTAAATAAATCATGTATTTCTCGTGTATATATATATAATAATTCATTCTAGCAAAGTGATGGAATTAACTACTTGGTCCTTAGAGCGAATCTTGAAAAACAAGTAAGCCAGCAGACCTAACACTATGATGCAACCAACCAGTATCAAAATAACCATCTACAATTTATAATCAATATCTTACTACGACGCCAAATCCCCCCTTCTTTACTTAATTCAAAATTACTATTTATATGGAATTCTCATAATAGTAATTGCTGGCCACCAAAGTGAATTCATGATTTTTCACACTACTATTGATAATTAGATATGAACTATTGAAGATTTTGGCCTAAAATATTATGGTAGGATCCTTATCTTTAAAATAAAGGAAGACTTCCTAGCCCTCATTTTCTAGTAAGAACATCAATTAATTCAGATTCCTGTCTAATTAAATATTGATTGCTCCATGAACCAGGACGGGACTCGACTTCAAATTAGTAGATACAGTAGTTGGTATTTTGTACATGGCAACCATCAATTCGAACTTATCAGGGACAATGTAGCCAAGAGCCAAATAGGATTATTTAACCTGAGTGAAGGTGACTACATTCCACAATTAATGAGTATGAAGCAGGTAGGCTATAGAGGTCTCGGATAATTTGGATCCCTTGAATTGCACAATCAGTCCATAGTGAAGTGAATTGGCTGTGATTATAAGGAGATAAAATTCAGTGTAGCCTTCTATATGGAAGTCTTTAGGCTCCTAGGTGGATAACGTACTTATATAGATTTAGTCATCTACTTCAAATAAGCCATTGCTTTACAAGAGAGTCTGCAAATTGAGATTGATCACATTAGATTTCACTTACATATATTTTTCTTGTGCCATATCAACATACAATAGACCATTACTCGTTTCAGTGAGAAATAGTTTGTAAATCATAATTCCATTCACCTAGTAGAATTGCATGCTGATATACTTGATATTGAAGTCTTGATTCGCTCTCTGCTTGTCAATCTTTTCTGTTGGTTAGAGTGATATCTGGAATTCGTTCCTCTTGATATCATAGATATTGAGCAAAGCTTAGTTGTATTTCAAATCTTTGCTAAGTGTGATCAAAGTAGAATTGATGATCATTAAGGAGAAGATGTATTCATCCTCTTTCATCAACTGAGGATTGCCTTGTTTCGAGCATTTCTGTTGAGTACATTAGATGAATTGTATGTACTAACCAGTAATATTCAGGTATCTGAAAGCAATCAATTTGGTGATGTGAGAACTGCAAAACACATTGCCAAGTTCAGCCTTTAAATCAGTTATATCTAAGGATTCGAAATAGTCTTGGAAATTAAAGTACATAAATTCAATGGTTTTATGAGTTAGAATCACGGTGATCTCATCAAGTTGACAAGTATTAATAACATCTGATTTGAAGGATCGTTTGTTCTCAGTCAATTGAACTGATTTCTGGATTTCCAACTGTGCATTCTCAGCTCTTAAATTAGTTATCAATCCAGTGAAGAATGAGTTGTCAATGGGTATTTTTATGTCTTATGTTATTTTAAACTCCTTCTGATCGACATTTTTATAGATGATTGTTTTTAGATCTACGAACTTGATGGTCTATTGATACTTTTATTAGAGAGGATAGTCAATATTGAAAAAGGAGGATTCCACTTGCAATTAATGAATAAACATGCTATCTAATTTATTATCGACATAGATTGTTGATCGCAAATCGTTTGTTAGTAAGTATATTAAATCTGATTTGTCCATGTGAATGTACATTATTTTTTGATTCAACCCACTCACTGAACACAAGGACTCCTGGTTATCCTCTCCGACATTGATCATAGTCAATAAGGAATCTCTCAATTCAACCAACACCTTATATATCAAAATTACTCGTTATTTCAACACTGGACTATAAGCGAATACATAAAATACGTTATCCTAATAATTATTCAGCATCTATTTTTAAAGCCAAAAGTGATAGGTTTAAAATCTCTTCTGATACACTATATAATGAGGGTCCTTTATCAAGTATTCCATCAAAGACAATTCAGATTCAATCTCAGCCAACACAATCAACACCTTCTCCATTTGAATCTAAATCTACAAACTCATGGCATTCTATATCACTATTTTATTCACCAAATCGCAAGTCTCATAACACTGAATCACAAGGATATCACCTCCATTAACAATAAAAATCAGATTCCAAATTTGACTAACTTTTACTTAACTGGGTTTAAACTCAGTCAAATAGTTCTTTTGTTATAAAAATGCCCCGTCTATTCTAATTTAGTCATCTCCCGATATTTAAAACAGGTAGACAATGTCCCCCCTCAGAATAACCAGGAGATTATTCACTTAAATTATCTAAGAGATCGATGATTAAATGTGCTACTCATTCTCGTTAACTAACTATACTCTCCTCTATAGACTCAACTGATTGACAAACCATTTGTATATGATAACGTCATTTTTATTTACAACATAGATGAATACTTCGTTTTCTTCCAGATTATAACTATAAAATATCTAATCTTGAGTTATGACAATATCAATATCTATTATGTATTCTTTGTCACAATGAATCTTCAATTATTGTCTATTGAATTCACAAGATAAGAACTCAGTATACAATTATTGATTTTGATAATATTGCAGTATAAAGTGTATTTTTTTGGGAATAAGATGATTTATTTCAACGTTGACACTTGCGAGTTTTAATCGTTTCTCATTCAATCCTGAAATTGGAATCATTTTTTTATAATCTGTGATAATGTTAATTAATTGCCAATCATTCTCTTTTACAGTTACAAGCATTTTCTGATTTGGCCCTGAAATTGAGACCTAATTCAAACTATAAATGGAGGGGAATTTGGGAAAGAATATAATATTAGGATATGGATTAGGATAGGAATAAGGCTTAAGCAATTGTGAATTGACACTGCTCGTTACAATATAAGAGACTCTTGCTTCGCATTCCATTAAATCACTACTGGCCACAACTGAAAATTCCACTGGACTCTTGATAATCTCTTTTGGTGGTATCAAAATTAAATAACCATCGGATAAAACAAATCTACTTATTTATCTTTCTTAGACAATTATCAGATCATTCAAATCTGGATTAAATATGTATTAAATGAGATCCAGGTCCTCCTGAAACATTAATACTTTTAAGCCCTCACTGAATTTATAAATAATTAGGTTTTTGCCATCGTGAATAGAACAATAAGTGGAGGATGCTTGTAAGTTAGCTTTTTTGATATTAATTTAGGAATCTAATTGATATTGTTTGTTCGTTTCGATAAAATACAATCTGTTGTCAGGTATAAGGACTACGACTATAAGATCTTGATAATTATCTAAGTAAGCACTAATTTTGAGGAGGTCAAACTCAAACCTCCCTAATTTTATTAGTGTAAACACAGGTTAATTATTCTAAATTTCAATTGTCAAATAGATCATGAGACTAAGTTGATGTGCAATAATAATCTAATCGGCTTTCACAGTAATATCATTGATGGAGAAGTTTTCGACTTGCTGCATCGTCAATTCTGATAAAGTTTATGCATTTAATTGCATCCCTCTCTTCTGTTGATAATATGTATCTATAATGCATTCATCTGCCACTTAGATGACTATCACGACTCCATTTACCATGTTGATCATGAACTTCTTCGGTTGTTACTTCAGCTGATACTGGAATTCTTGGATTTGTCCACCCACTTACACATATTGCAACTAATATAGAGTTCCTTCTGCACATAAAACTACAAACGAAGAAAGCGTGTCTTAAGTGAGATCAACGCAATTTCTTCTGGGCAATAGCTGAATTATGTTGTCAAACACGGGAGCCTATTGAAAATCGCACATTCCATATTGGATGTAATATTATTCCTGGGTTCCACGTAATAAGGCTAAGAGTTCTCCCCATTACTTTATGGTGATATAATCCTCAAAGAGGGGTTGTATTCCAACCAAATGCAAGCGTTGTTAGACTGTGAATTGCCGACTATGCGAACCCACTAATGAAAATCTCAAATTGGAACCAATAAAATTGTCATTCATGTTTAAGTCAAATCGTTCCCCTATTGACAACTCAAAATGGTGCTCGTCATTCAGAGTAGCTTAAAATTGTAAATTTAGTACTGCACTTCGTATTTGTCTATCGGAAGTATTGTTATAAAATCAATAAACTTAAAATCATTATTAATTTATTAATAAGTAAAAACAAAGAGCAGACCAACTAAGAGGAGGAGGGAATTCTATCACTAAACGATAGTTCTTCAATGCTTAAAGTTCGGGGATTATTTGAATCAGGAGTCAATTGCTTTTGAGATTTATTAAAAAAAGCGAGATGTTGATACATTGTTTTAAAGTCAATTATCATTAATTTATCTTTAATATTGTAATGTATATGCTCAATCCAAATGCTATATATTTGAATTCGTGAACTATATATTAAATATTAAATCATGCTTGATTAATGTTAGTATTTCACATAAGAGCAATCTCATCAATTTCTTGGCCAAAGAATAGAAAAGCGAATGTATCCCAGACAATATAGAGCCAAGAATAGACTCTTAAGTTAGCTTTTAGGTAAGATCGAAATCAAGCCTATGCCCTTTGAAATCATGTCTATTACTAATATGAGCAATGCAAGCAAGGATTGCGCAGTGAGTGACAACATCCAAGATAATTTGAAGTTACTTGATGATCCAGGAAAAACTGAAGTGCCACACACCGAATTGCAAGAGAAGGCCAGACAATGTTGCAACTTATTAGAATGTTCGAAGGAAGATATTCAAGACGTCGGTGAGTTGTCATAATTATTTGGTCAGATTTTAGAGATTTTGCAATAATCTAAATAGAAAAATTTGTACTTCATGACCCCATACAATGTCGAAGTGGAAAACAAGCAAAGGAGGCTCATGTATAATTCTGAGGCCTTGACCAACTTGATCAAACGACTGAAGGCGGGCAGATTGCAAACTCAAACCAAATCCCTTTTTAGATCGAGGATTCAAACTCAATCAATTGGGAAACAAATCCAGAAGACTGAACTCAACGAATAATTGAGTGTCTAAGCATTGAATTTATTAAAGTAATTAAAGAAGAAGTAATTGAATAAATGAATATATGTGTATTTAGGTATATCATTTTCTCGAACTACATTCCCCATATTATATTATTTTAGTTTACACTACCTTCTTAGTTTGTAAGGCTTTCAAATTTTCACTCAAACTAATGTTATTCCCTTTTTGCCTACTCTCCTTTTACTTGAAGCAATAATACGCTTCCTCATTCTCATTAATAAATGGAATCGGAAGTTTGAACACTCTAAAGTAAAAGATTAGATTCCAGAATTCCGTACTCTTAAAAAACTTCGGTTCAAACACCTTTAATGAGTCCAATTGGAAGTGCAATTGATGGATATTTAGTAGATCGAATTCTCCAACATTGAAAATAGTCATTTTGGGAGTAAATTGCTTGCCACAACCCTTCCTCTTTGAGCACCTTATGGTTTATCGTAAGTAAGTGGGGGGAATCTTATGCAATATTTCCTCTATCAAAATTTATCTCTTGCAATGAGGACATTCATTTTAAAATATAAATTACAAGTCATTCAAATCATCATATTACTGCAATTAAACATGATCCTTTTGTTGAATGAAGTCTTCAATATACGGAATCTCTTTTTTGAGATAAATTGCTAATTCATAGAATTCTTTACTATCTAATTAAGTCATATGAATAATTTGCAACCAAGTTCTATAGACTTGTGCTTATAAGGCAGTTTATTTGTCTCTAATATAATAGTAAGGAGTAAGATATGGGAAAAATGATTATTTTTATTTTGCTGGAAGTAATAGATTAGATTGATCATTAATATTAATAGTTTTGATATCAGCAAATATCTTGCTATTGTTATTTTCATTCACTTGTTAGAAAGAAGCATTAAAATAAGTAAAATAGGAAGCTAGTTATCGATTCGATTGATTGTTGTCTATAAACGAACACAAGAGTTGAGTTCTTGAGAAGATTTCCCAAAATTTACTTTTGACTGGATACTAGGACTGTTTCTTCTTTTAAAATGAAACGCTCCAGTTCCTTTGTTTGATATCGTAATCAAATGCATGATCAAGGATTTTCAAGTTTATCTTGAGGAAAATCTCTTTGATCTTCCTTGCATTTGGTTCATTGATTTCTTATTTGGTGAAAGGTTCTAACTTTCTCCTTAATTTATCAATGAGGGGCAATTCAGGAGGAGGAGAAACATGAAAAGCCACATTGCAGTCCAAACTAAATTTATATCCTTCAGATTCACATGCTGGTTGTGGCAAAGTTTCAAGTAAGCCCACAATATATGGCTCTGGAGTTTCGATAATTTATGAATTGTCGTAATTCAAATAGCAGATCAACAATTTTTAATATTGTAGAGGGTAGATGAAGGTCATCAAGGCTTCTATTACATAGCCTGGATTCACTATTGAATTCGAACATAGTCTGATTTTTCTCTCTGTTAAGACAGCGGTATAGAGTTAAATGATATTATCCAAGTTGATATTATTCATAACATAGTCTATTGATTTCAATTGGCATGTTGGATATCTGATATGCTTTTGAAATAGAAATTGTTAGTCGTTTATAATTAGTTTTAGGGAGATCTTTTCGAGATTGATGGGATATTTTAGATATTAGATCACTCTTTCAATATGTTACTAAAATTGATAATTTGATTTGCTTACTTCAATTTGTGGATCCTCTCTGATGGAATATAAGTAGGTCAACAATTATGAAAATTGACTAGTGAAGTTCTGATAACTTATGAGAGCCATGACTTTCGGGATGAAAAGATTGCTGTAATTCTCCAACCTAAGTTTCTAAGCTTACTTTTTGGTTAATTGTTCATAATAGCGTAAACAATAGATGTATATGAGATCACCCTTGGGAGATTGCATTAATTAATAATAGGTCAATGGGTTTAGGTTCTGCAATTGGGTTTGAGTCTTCTGTACTATCTGGATGCCTTCTGGAATGCAGTAATTGCTGATGGCAGGATTGTCATTGAACAAATTTTAAATGTGTTTCTGTTTTTGGGATTCCTTGTAACAAAATGGGTAGAGGTCAAGTATTTCAGGAGTGTAGGTCTGCTCTAAGGGAGGCTTTTCTAAGAATGATGTTAAACAAGAAATGGTTACATCTTATAATTTGTAATTGCTTCGTGCTAAATGAACTAAATTGCACAATGTCCTATAAATAGTGGAGTGGATCATAGTCTTCCAAAACCAAGTTTATTATTGGACGATAATCTGTTTTTCTAGTATAACACAGTACATAGCATGTATTCTATTCGGTCAAATAAGGACTAATGTCAAAGAGCTCCTTATCTTTGATGAGACCCCAATCAGTGATTTGAATTGATTTCATAACGTTCACCTTCTTTATGATCGGACATAGGCTGTATCTGTAATTAAATTGGATTTGGCTTTCCTTAACTTTGACATCAATAAATGCAATGTTAGTTATTGGATCCTTGTTTTGCTCATTATACATGCAATTCAGAAATAGTTTCCCATTTCCCAAGATATCTAATGATTCCTACAGAATTGTGAATTGTTCATTATATAAGGTCATGCATTTATTTTCATGCAATTCAATTGAAGTCAACGACCCTATTAAATATCCACTCTACATTACTTCTTTGATTTTTCATCATCGGACTTTACTTCTTACCCAACCCTACTAAGCAATAATTTAAAATTAGATTCTAAACATTTTCCTAACTTTGTTACATAAATTATATAATTATCACTTCAATTCAAAATAAATTTACATCAAACTTCTGTTGATTTCTAGAATCCCTATATTTTATTAATTACTTCTCCCCCCAAAACATCTTCTATGCTTGCCTTGCAAACTTAGTATTAATCCCTTCAATGTTTTTTAGTGTAAGAGAAACTAAACATTGATATACGCAACTCTTCCATTATTTATTAATATATATATATGAAAGCAATACATAAAAAAAGGTTAAAATTCCTTTATAAGTCATAAAAATAATATTTAATATGCGAATGAACTATGAAATCAAGAATCATTTAAGATTGTTTTGACAAGAAGATAAATTTATATCTGTCTGAATCAAATGATATAACTGAATTATCAAGACTATTTAAAAAAACAAATGTATATATATAATTATATAAGATAAATTTATTTGCTTAATTGAGAGTATAAAATCGATAGATTCATCATAATTATATTATTATTTATGCAAGATTAAGTTGTTAAGCCCATCTTTTTGTCTGTGAATTAATTGACTGAACTATTCAATAATTCTTAACAAGAGACTTCAATCTTAGATGATAACAATAACTTTTTATTTCTAACCTAAGATTCATTTGTTGACTTTCCTCTTGAGTTCAGTTTTCAGGCTTTACATATGATTAATTCCCAAAAAACAATAAAAGACATTTAAAATAAAGAGAAACCAATTAATAATGTTTTAGTTAGCAAAGATGTATATTAATAGATAATGTCCAAAATGGAGCAGAATAGAAATCTGAGTGAACAATATCAATAAATGATGAGGGAGAACCAAGAATAATTATAAAAACGCAAAAAATTAGAGGATTAGAACACCGCAATAATCGATTAAAACTTTTAAATCAAGAGAGAAATTTAAGAAATGAAACAAAAATTATTGATTTGCTAAAGTGCCCTCCCACTAAGAACAGACTAACAAATAATTGAATTAAGAAATCAAAGTAAAGAGCTCTAAGCAAAATTAGCAGAAAAGCCAGACACATAATAATTGGCAGTTCTGACTGAAATTAGCACAGTTGACTCTGACAAATCAAACTCCTATTATTGCAATACAAGTAGACTAGTAAAATTGGATTAATAGTCTTCTCAACACCAATCAAAGAAACCCTATAGAAGCAGAAACAATTCCTTTGTAAAAATAGTTAAAAATTGATCCTCAACTATTGAATTATTTGATTTTATTTATTTTGCCATATTTTTTAAGATACTTGAAGTTGAAATTAGTTGTTTAATTTAGAATATTAATAAAAAATTTCAACTAAGATCTAGTTAAAGGTATCCTTTAAAATTCAGGAATTATATACAAATTTAAGTAATTCATTCTATCTTGGCTTATAATGGATAGCCTTGTAAAAATTTATAAAGGACTACTTGAAATTTTTAAGATCATAATAAATGATGGCTCTGCAGTTGATAGCCTCGGATGAATATTTATCCTGTATCAAGATTTCATCCAATTTCTTCAGAGCTGTTTTATGTTTACCTAGTTTGTGGAAAGAATTTGCTATTATTTTATTAGATATAAATAAATACCAAGAGCCAGCAAGAACTATTTAGATTTGGGACATTGCACTAAGTATTGCTTATAAATTTTAATAGATAATTAGTATTCTTTGGTGGTATAATAAATAAATCCTAATCCAAAGTAGGCTTCATTAAAGGAATTATTTATTTCTATGGCTTTCTCGTAAGCAGTTCGAGCCTCATTATACTGCTGAAGTTGAAAAAAGGTATGCCCTTACAAAAGGTGAATTAGTTCATTTTCAGGGGAGAAGCTTAGTATCTTTTTAAATTATGATTGGGCTTTCTCATTTTCATTTAATTGTTTTAAAGTGATTGCCTTTTAAAAGATTGCCTCTATGTATCTAGGTTAAATACGTATAATTTCTTCAAAGCATTATAAAGCAGGCACAAATTGATGCAATTGAGACAATGATAGTCCTTTGTTGTATAGTGCCTCGACATTTTTTGGATCGGTCTCCAAGATCTTATTCAATATGTAGACCGCACCGTTATGCAATTGCAAGTGGGATAGGAGTGCACTTAATTATTGATAAGATTATTAATTATTAATTGCTTTATAGATTAGGATGGATTCTTTGTAAAATTTCAGACTTTCATACACCTTAGCTAATTCTAATTTGGATTAGACAAAACTGCAATTCAATTCACTGCTTTTTTAAAATGATTTGATTGCTGAGTGAAATTGGTGCAATAAACAATAAATACGGCCTTAATGATAGTAGTTGATGTAGGTTGTTGGTTTTTGTATAAATTGCTATCGATATTAAATAATAGCAGGATGCTAAATGTTGTTATCCTCAATAATCCATAAGCCTCCTAAAGCAATAACTTTTTCAAAGCAGTTTGCAGTCTCCGTAATGTTATCTAGAAAGTAATAATTGATACCCAAATGATACCAATATTCTGGTTTGTCTTATTTCAATTTTATTGCTTTTTTTAACAAATCAAGGGATTTATAATATAATTTAAACTATTATTGTATTAAACCTGAATTGAATAGCACCTCATGAGTTGGTTGGCATTTGCTATACTGCAACAAAGCTTTATCAAAAATTCCTAATTTTTAATACGATAAACCCAAATTAAATTTTGCTTGGTAATTTTAAGGATTTCTTTTCAGAGACAACTTAAAGTTTTTTAGGGCTTCTCTGTGTTCATTATTTTATAACAGTATGACTCCTTTATTAAAGTAAGGCATTGCGTTGTTTGGTTACAAGAGAATGCACTTTTCAAAGCAAACCAAGGCTTTTTCCTTTTCATTAATTTCAAAAAATATCAAGCCTTTACTATAAATGGCTTTATGATTGAGACCATCAATTCTTAAAATTTTGTCATAGGTTTTTAAGGCCTTCTTATACATCTTAAGATCATAGTAAATATCTCCTAGTTTTTGGATGGCCAGAATATACTTGGGATCTAATTTGATAGCCTGCATAAGATTTTTCAGGGCTGTTACAATACTATTTTTCTAATAATGAGCAACTCCTAATTGATAATAGACTTCCTTCCGATCGTTGAAATACTATTAGGCAATGGTGTAGCATTCTATGGCCTTATCAACTTGATTCAAGGCCAAATGAGCATTGCCTTTATCAAAATATATATTGAGTTGATTGGCTTGGAGCAAGGCTTATTCATAGCAATGCAAGGCGTGGATGTATTGTTCTTTTTGGAAGTACAACAATCCTAAAGGATGTAATTATTGATATAACCTTTTTGATGAAAAACTATAGGACTCTTCGGGTTAAGTTCCAACGCATAATCATATTGTTGAAGTGCTTTAAAACCCATTCCCATTTCAGCAAGTGCCTGGCCTAGATAACACAAATGAGTATACCGTAATGAACGAATTAAACAACTCTGGAGGAATCAACAGAGAGTGAAGGTAATCTTTTGGACATAAATAGTTAATAATATATAATTAATCATCTTTTGAAGTTCCTTTTTTTGCAGCCTGGAATATGTCTTTCCGCAGCTTATTCACTGAATTTACGACCACAACCAGGACATTCAACTAGGTCATCTTAAGGTTGAATATCGACAGTTCCTCCTGACTTCGCTGCATTAATCATTTGTCTAAATGCTTCAGATTGTTTCTTCCATTTGGGATCTCCATTTTAAGCCATCTACTTTTTCTTCTCAATAATCTTATCCTTAACCAACCCTTGCTTCTCCAATTTGGCTTACTCTTAATTAACTTATCTATGTGCTTTGGAATTGAATTCTTTTCTTTTGGATTAGAACACTTTTTTGCATACTTTAATATGTTTGTCCAAGACATTTTCCTTGAAACTTCTGCCGCATCCTTCTGGACACTCTTGTAAGTCCCCATCATCATCTTCCTCAGGTGGAATTGGATTGGTTTGATTTTTCTTAGCCACAGCAGGCAATTCGTCTATGGGATTATACGCTTTATTGTTGTTTGCATTCTATGATTGTGGCTATGGTTATTGTTACTTTCTGGGTTGCGGTTTGTTGTATTATTATTATTATTATTCTTATGGCTAGTAGGATTATTAGGGTGGTTTGTATAATTCTGGAATTGGATCTTACTGTCTTTCGATAGGTCTTTCTCTTTTTTCAAACTGAGGTTAAGAATTGTGTTGAGAGTACTTGAATTATTGTTGGGTAGGTTGTGGTTGTTGCTATTTGAGTGGAGATAAAGATTAAGGATTTTAATTGTAATTATATTGATTGTATGAGGATTGCTGCTATTATGAATTGATATTCTAATTTATATTTAGATTCTGATTCCCATATAGATTATACTGATTTGATTGAGATGACTATTATTACTAATTATAATTGTAGTTATTGTTATTGTTATTGTTATTATTATTGTTATAGATGTTGTTTTGGTTTGGGTTTTGCCACTACATATTATTGTTGTATAGAGCATTATTTGAGTAATTGTTATTGTAATTCATATAATCATACTTATTTTGCAATGAAACTGGCTATTGGGTGAAATCATAATTATTATTTTACTAATATCCATAGGATTATTATTTTTTAGTTAAGACATCATCGTAATATTTAGGAGGCTATTATACTAATTGTTGTTATTATTGGCGCTTGTTTAATTATTGCTCATAATAGCTCTGGGGAGCATTGTAATTGTTTAAGTTGTTACTCTTTTTGTATGGATCTTCCTTATACTTCTAAAGTTAATCGTAGTAGTTGAGTCTATTAATGGCATTCATACCTAGATAGGGATCGTTTCGATTGGCATTCTGAGGAGGGGGTACTTGTTGTTGTTTGTATTGTTGCAATTGTTAGTAATTGAGAGTGCGTGGATCAGTGATTTTAGGCTGAGAGCTGGATTGCATTTACTGCTGCTATTGTTGTTTCATGGTGTAGAAATCGTAGTCACTTTTGGGATAGAGAGGCGATTGCGATGGTTTGGTAGGTTGAGTATGGGGATAACCGTCTAGTTGCTGATTGGTTCCCTATTACCAAGTGTCGCGATTGCTCATCTTAGCCTTGAGTAGTTTTAGCTAGTTGGAGACCTGCTCGTTCGATACAGCCATCTGGCCTGTACGAGAAAGGTTGGATCCCTAATACATTTTTATTATAATTAAAATGGGAAATAAGTTATTGATCACTATTTTATCGCGATATCTCGGAATTTCTATTTCGAGTCTCTCGCAATCAAGAACACTTTGTCTAAATTTAACAAGACACGATACTTAAATATAAATATAATAAATTAATGCAATCCAATGATTCAACGAGAAGGAGACTGAATTTGCGTTCTCTCGCAACTGAAGAGCCACAGAAAATGCAAAATATGTAAGAGACATCCCTTCTATTTTCAGATCAGCCAATGGATCTTTGGTCCTTAGTCAGTTTCGTCTTAATTCTAAAGGGCTTACCTTCACCAAAAGTATTAAATCTCCTCCTACTCCAATAGACATTACTTACATGGAATCAAAACACTTCAAGGATCTCAAATTGGAAGATTTTGAAATTGTCTGTAAATTAGGCTAAGGAAATTATGGTAGTGTTGAGAAAGTACTTCACAAACCCACTCAAGATTATTACGCATTGAAAGTATCTTCATTATATCTTAACCCCACATAGAAAATACACTATGTTAGCAATGATGTATAGGAGTCTCTGTTGAAGAAAGAATTAAAGGCCCTTATTGATTGCAATTCCCAATATGTTGTCCAATGTTACGGAGCATTTTATTCAAAGGGTGAAATCTACATAGTGATGGAGTACATGGATATGGGATCTTTGCAGATAATCTTAGAAAAAACTAAGAAAATCCCAGAATCCATAACTATGTTGATAATCAAAGAAGTTCTTCAAGGCTTGGATTACCTGCACACAAACAAACACATCATACACCGAGACATCAAACCGCATAATATACTGATCAATAAAAGGGGAGAGGTTAAAATTGGTGATTTTGGCATTTGTTCTGTTAGTGAGAATTCGGATCAGAAATTTGATACATTTATTGGTACTATTTAATACATGTCTCCTGAAAGATTAAACGGAGAGGAATATGGTTATGACTGTGATATTTGGAGTGTGGGCATGATGACTATGCAATGCATCACAGGTCTCTTGCCATTCGAATTCGATGCCAAAAAAATGAGCATGATAGAATACATTTAAATGAGCAAGAATTTCAAAATTGATGATTACTTTCAGCAACACAAACATGCCATATCAGAAAACACCATTCATTTCATATCCAGATGGTATTTCCATTGTTTTCATTATACTTTTCATAGTCTCCAACAGGAACCAAAAGATAGGAACAAAGCCTAAGAGTTGTTGTAAACCAAAGCGATCAAGTACACGTCATCTCTTAAAATCGATGTCTTTAAACAATGGCTGCAATTGTCTATAGAGGAAATTTGAATTTACTTTTTATTTGATGATTACTTATTTATAATTAACAGAAATGAATCAGCCTCAACGAAGTCTTTCAAATTTAGGAATGTCCAAATCCCGTATTCTGTTTATCATCTATATAGAGATTATATACCCGAATAGAATAGGACATCCAGTGCATTCTATAAAAGAGACGAGCAAAGTCGATTGGATTAGCAATTGGCAAGATATGAGGAATTCAAGAGGAATTACAAGCGAAATGAATTACAATATTCTTATTACCAGCATTAACCCAGGGATTTGAATTAATCCTTAGTGGAAGAACGGTACTAGAATTCCTATAATTACCGACCGAATTATAATAATAAGCATTTATAAACGCAGCAATACGAATACGATAGAGACGTTTACAAAAAGGAAATAAAATAGAATTCTCCAATCAAAGTGGAACTAAGTTACACTGCCCCTTCTGGTGTCTAAAGAGGAGTGATTTCGGACTCAGCTGCCTATTTGAGGGAAAGGGAGAAAATTATGAATTCGTTTATGACACAATAAGAAATTGAAAGAATTAAAAGAATTTACTTAAGGAAATGATATAACATATAAATCTAGTCATTTTAGTATTTTAAATGAAGTTTTTCCTAAAGTTCTTTTGCATTTTGGACAATTGTGTCTTACATCTTTGCAATCATCTAAACAACAAGGAATGCAAGCCACACAAAAAAATCCAAAAGAACAAAGGAGAAGAAGGAATCCTACGAATACAGTGGATATTCCAGAATGCCGAGTAAGTACAGTTTAGACCTTATTAAAATTGGGAATACCTTGTTTTAGCAGCCAGAACAAATAATCAAAACAGAATTGCTATGACCGTCTCCAGAAACCTGAGTGGAAGATACCAATTTGATATCTTCTAACGTTGTAAGTTTGGGTAGTTTGCAATTAGTGCTTTTGTCTTAAATGATGTTTTGTTGATAAAATTGGGCATTATTGGTAATATGAAATTCAAGCGCATCTTAATTGCTTTTTTGAATATGTTACATAAAATTATATATATAATCAACTTCCAAGATATTGGGTTAAACCATATGAATTGGCAAAGTACTCTGTGACTTTTCTATTGTAAGCGGCCGGATTGTCTTTGAATGGTATCAAAGATTTGATGGTCTTCATACTCATCTAGTCCAAAACGACTGCAGGATTGTAAGACCATTGTTTGATTCGTTCTCCTTGAGGCAAATACTTATACTGTAATCTATCACAATCCATGCGTTTGTTAAAATGGCCCTACAATTGAAATTATAATTACTTCTCTCTAAGCATCCACCAATCTGACAATGATGGACATATTTTTGAGATAAAACACCTTATTGTTGGTGACTTGATCTCGAAGATAATCCCAAGCATCTTGTTTTTTAATATCTTCAATCACAGCTCTTGGAACTGATCCTCTGAACACTGGCAATTGATAACAGTTGGACATGACATAATTATCTGGTGAGAACACAGGCAATATAGTCCAACCAACATCAGAAATTGCCCCATCAGGTTTGGAAAATGGAACTGATTTAATGTCTAAAATGATATTCTGATATCTGTTGGCATTTTCCTTGAACTTGAACCAAGCATCATCATATTCAGGAGTATTTATTTTGGAATCGAAATCATAATTAGAACACATATGTCCCTGAGTAATGTCTCTGGGTTCTAGATAAAATGTTCCTGGTTATGATAAGGAATAAAACACCACATACATGTGTGATTGATTCACAACATTATGCAGTCCATCCACCGTCAATTTGAATCCTGCCTGGGGTCTATATTTGGCGAAATACATCATATCGATCATAAACGTATCATGAGTTAAGGATATACGGTTGTCCAAATAGTTTATTATTTCATTATCTTTGTATTATCTATTAATTTATTCTCCCTTAATCAATAAATAAGCAGCTTCTCGGACACTTATATCAGGTCTGATAGTTCTTTAAGCAAACAACTCATTTTCAGATTCTGTGATAGGAGCTAAGTCAGTATTGTAAGCACTTGCTCCATATTAAGGGCGAGGTCTCATGATATTCCTTGCAATTTGTTCCTTCAAACTTGGAAACTCCTTGATGGACAGTGCTCTTTTGCCGTCTTCACTAAGAGGTGCTTTGAACATTCTGACCAGTACTGTACAACATGGAGATCGTTCGTGAGAGTAGCTAAATGACATTTTATTATATACATCTTTTTCATATCAAATGGAGGTGTTCTGTCCAACTATTAACTAAAAAGTGGTATCTAATATGCACCAGAGTAGACCACATAATTATCTTCATTTTGATCTTCAGGTTGTGATTTAGTACCGGGATTTAAAAATAAATTAATAGCAGCATATCCAACAATTCTGTTATCATTAGTACTTTTATCTACTGTTACAACAGTGATCAAAGCAACAGCAGTAGGATCAAACTTTTCCTTTCTCAATTCTCTTCTGAAATAGAATGTTGGATTATATGCCATACTATTGAGATCAGGAGCTGCAGTTTCAGCATCAAATAGTTTTTCATATCTTCTATTATATACTTCCATGTACATTTTACAGGCTGTTACTTTGTCAGGTAAGAACCTTAATCCATCTATATAAAAATCTATTCCATGTCTTCTTTCAAATTGTTCATTTATCCATTATTGCTAGAAATTAGGTATATATGGACTATTATCTAATGGGATATCTTTAATCTCCTCTAATTTGGGTTTCTTATGTTTATTCTTCATCTACTTTTTAAATTCTTCAATATCCTTTTCTGTATACGAAAATTCATGCAAGGCAAAGTCTATAACTTCATCCATTTCCTAAACTTTAGTAGGATCTATGGGTGGTCGTCTTAAGGGAGGCTTAAACAACTTCATTTTGAATCTTCCAGTCAACAGACTGCCATCATCCTAAGTCAATTTTAGGAATTGCCATCCTTTTAAGTCGAATTCCAATCCTGCATAGTTCTTTTGTGTTTCATTCAGAACTGATTCCTGTAATTCAACCGGCTCTGGCTTTTCAACTACCTACAACCCTATATATAAGTCCTTCTTGTTCTTCTTAATCATGGCATATAAATTTCGAAATACTCTATACTCCTCCTAGAAAATGATATCCTGACCTGATGCCTTATTATTCATTCCATCATACTCTACATTGGGCTTGTGTAAGGGTATAATGTATTCATTCTATAAAACTTGTCTATTCTTTAGATCCAAAGGATTGTGAATTGAAGTATTAAATGCTACTGGCAATCCATTAGCGTCCAAAACTAAATTGCCTTCCTCAAATAATCCTGCCATAACTCTCAAATGCGATCTGGCCTAATGGTTATCGACTCTATAAATGATCAGTCTCAATCCCTTCTATTTTCCATCATCTTAAATGGGAGGTTCCTCCTCCCTAATTCCATACTTCTGCATAGGAGGTGGCTATCCAGTAATCTCGTATTCTTCCATATTAGATTTACCTCCTGCTCCTCCAACCAATTGACTCTCCTCTATGATCTCCTCAATCATCTTATATCCTCTGCCTCCATATCTGGTTTCATAGCTTTCCTCCATTCCCTTCATATTTTTCACCTTTTCTCTCTTTCCAAACAATCCTCTCAGATGGATATAAGGCACAATGTATTCATGCTGAGTTTATTCGGGATATATGGTTTTGACTTCCCCATAATCTTTATCATTAGGATATCCTATTCTGAAATAGACCCAACAATTAGGGATGGGCTCTAAGTTCTAGATCTCTTCTACAGTAATCTCTGGACTTGTAGGTCCATAATAGACTGGGCATTTAAATTTTCCGCGCTTCAATTATTTGTTATGATCAAAGAGATCCACTTAAGTCCATCCATAGGTTTCAGTTCTGCCTACGTTATCTTCGACTCTTTTGCTAAAGGGAATTTGAACTTCCATAATCATCAAAGTATCTGGATGCGCAGGTACCTCAAAAACTTAGTGAGCATCACCAAAGATGCATCTGTTATGATTTTAATTTTCTGTTTCACTCTCTCTTGGTTCAACCAATCTTGGCTAACAAATAACCTGTTATCCATTATAAACTCCGAAGACAACCTAACTGTAATTGCTCCTTCTAGGTAATCCTAAGGTGTAATCCCAATGAACTACGAATCCCTCACTTTGATTATATGATTGCATCTACTATCTTTTCTAGGTATTATCTTTCCTTAATCTATTCTCTATGATGAACTTCTTATTATCATCTACCCATTTCTCATTCTCCCATTGTCGATCATCCTCTCTCCTTTCCATCTCAAACTCTCTCCTTGCATCCTGTAGACGCTACTCCTGAACAATCTTCTCTATTTCAGCTCTCATCGTAGATAACTCCTTATATTACTCAACCTTAAATCTATACAACTCGGTCCCTACAGGAATTCTAGAAATTACTCTAAGACTATCTATTTCTTAAGCCTATAAACTCATCAACACTCTCTCCTCTTCAGTCAAATCAACACCTCGCACTTCATTCATCAAAAAAAACTCATTCTTTCTATTGAAAATGCTCCAAGGATCTTTCATCTTTTTGCCTTCCTAATTTAGAGCCAATTGATTCAAAGCAAACTGGCCAAAAGCAGTTGATCCCTATTATTATTATTGTTGCATCACTGGGTTGTAAGCAGGCATCATTTGAGGTTAAGCAAATGCATTATATTGCATCATAGGATTATTCATCATAGGATTATTTACAAATTACGGTTATTAAGCTTATTGAGGTAGCATTTGAAATTGATTATTTTGAAATTAAGGAATGGGAACACCCCAAGCATTTTTTAAGACCTCTATTTATTATTGTTATTATTATTGTTGTAGAAGTTATTAGTTAACATCAGGAAAACTCTATATAGTTTATTAGGGCTATAATCTGGTGGCAGGTGCTCTGTTGACTTAGGATGAGGGTTATCTCCTTACTTAACTCATATTCACACTCTATGACAAACTCTAATCCATCATACTATTTGCATGTTACTCAATTCCTTGTCTGAAAGCCTACAGTTCACCTTGAGTCTAGGGATTCCTACTTTTATACATATCCACAGCCTACTATCCAACAGTTGCTCTTTACCCAAAAGCCTCATCTCCATCAAATGGCATGAATTCAGGTTTCTATTGTTTCAATTGATTTATTCTTTGTTATTGATCTGCAAATCTTCCATCATGTAATTTGGCATTGAAATTCTCCATTTACTTCATATCACCCAAAATATTCTTAGCATTTGCAACTAAATTCATAGTACCTCCTCTTTAAGCAGCCTTCAAATCACCATTCCTCAATCTATCCAAGTTGTCCATGATTCTGAGTCTTTCCCCCTCTAATTATTCTCTCTTCAATTTTAACTTGGCCACATTGTCTGATCTCTCTTGAATTAGATCCTCATTTAATTTAGTATTGTTTTTTTGTTTCAATTGCATTCCTTCAATTACATTATTGATTTTGGAGACTTCTTCTTGCCTCATTTAATCAAGCATTTTCGTATTCTATTCCATCGATTCAATATCTTTAATGAGTTCATTTTCTTTCATTCTAAGAGCCTCCCTTTCAGCAATGAGTTTCTCCAACTCTCTTTTCCTCTCTTATTCGATAGCTGTTAATTTTGCTTTCTCCAAATCCATCAAGGCTCTTCGAATCTCATCCTTTTCAATTCTAGCCCTGATTTCCTTCTCCTTCTTCGATTCAACCTCATGTAACAATTCTTCGAATGCTTATCTGTCATCATCCCTTTTCATTTTGATCTGTTGTCTATCATTTTTGAGTTTATTCAACTCATCCTCCATTTCATCTTCTCTTCTTCTCTAAGCCATTCTATTTAATCTTTTGAATTCATCATCCTATTATTTCATCTAATCCTTTAAGGCCTCTAGAGATAGTTAGTTCTTCTATTATTAACCTGGCGGAGGTCTACCAGGCTCTATGATTTCTCTTGCACCAGGAGCATTGCTCTTTTTTAAATTCAATAATTCTCTCTAGTATTTCTCTTCTAATTTGTTTTAAGACCCATAATCTGAACTCACACAAAACTATGCTGTTAAATCTTGAATAAATACCTTCCTGACATGGTTCTCCAATTATTGTCTGGTCTCAAATTTCATCTTGCAAGCTAAACACTCATTGAAAAGAGTATTCTCAGACATGTAAAAATTAAAAAGTAAATTATTATTATAATATTTTTACTATAAACAATAAACAGAATTCTTTTGTAAAAATCACAATTACTTTTCGTAGTAAAGTGTTGTAGTGATATTATTGATTGGTGTTGAATGAAACTCCAGGACCTCTTTAACGAAATCTGACATAATTTTATAAAAATTACCGTCGGATTAATTATGAAAATTCTAGATGATCTACATGACAGAAGTACTCCTAGCGGAAGGGGGATGCATTTCCATGGAATCCATAGATTTATCCCCCACAAGGCAATCCCTCCTTCTTTCATGATATGTTGTCCATAGGATCATTAAACAACCAACACTTGGACAATACATCAAACAATAGTATCCTAAATTCGGAGAAATCGAAGATAAATATCCATAAACAATTGGAGCTGGCAAATACCCAAATAGATTCACATAAGTAGTTGTATTGGAATTAGCAAATGAGCGCATTCCTTAATTTACCGATGATAGTACTATTCCTAAAGGATAGTTTATGTTTTATACCAGTCATGATTGGAACCAAAGCACCTCCAAAAAAGAGCAACAACCAAATAAATCCTGTGATGGCCCACAAGTTGGTTGTAAGTGTCACACAAATTGAAGCCAAGGATCCAAATATTGCTGCAATGCATGTAATGTAATAAGCATTCTTAGAATCATATCCCCCATAATGTTGAGTTATCAATCCTCCTATGATTAACATTAAATGATTTAACTACCTAATACACACCCAAGAGTGGGACCTGTAATCGAATCCAAACTAAAAAGTGTATTAACCAGACCTTGATTAAAGCACAAGACTGTAACTAGATAATTGGATATCCAAAATTATATTCCTGTTACTGAGAAATAGAGCATCCCCAGGACTATTGTCATTACTACATATGGTCTAGATTTCAATGTTAATTTGATCAATTCAAAATACGGCATCTTCTCATATGTATTGTTGTTATCCTTAACATAGGGTCTCACATCTATGTTTTCATGAGGTTGTCTGGAAAGCAATGCAATACTTGGTACAAGTACACCGATTTGTAAATAAAATGCCCATCGCCACTTTTCATAATTTCACAATAATATTACATTCCATTGAGCTGCTATCACACTTGCCAATACATAGCCTACAAACACGCCAAAGGGCACTCCCCCTTAGAGGATTGTTAACCAGACTGTTTTGTTATCTTAGCCAAATGTGTCCACCCAAACGGGGAAGTATACAATTAATGGAGCTTGGGCTGCACCAGTTATGAATCGACTTAGATAATATGGCCATGCAATATCAAATTGCAAAGTAAACACAAACAGACTCAAAATCATAGTAATCATACTGATTTCAATAACTCTTAGAGGATTGTATTTCAAAAATATAAAGGAAGCTATAAAACCCATCACTACAGTGCCTGCATACACTAATGATCCTAATACTCCCAATTCCTAATTTGATAATTTCAGTGCACTCTGAACCTGTACGCTTGCTTAACATTTTAAAAAGTAAATACAAACCTGCAGGAATTATACCATGGTCAAGACTCACAAGTAAATTTGTGATCGAAATTAATACAAAAACTCTATATGCGTCAGGGATTCGCTATTATTATTCTTAAACATCTTTCATTAATAATATATATATGTGTTTATAAAACAAAAATCTATCCCTTAATTCTGAATTCCCCGTTATTGACAAAGCTTACAAGGGTCAACACCATCAAAATAAGTCTAATTAATAGAATTGAGGTAACCAAAAAAACTTCAAAGAATTCAGAATTCTGGAAAATTTCTATAAGATTTTTTATGATAAATTTGAAACAGAATCAAAGCAACTCTGTATCTCTTAAAATTTTATAAAACCTTATATTGCCCTTGTGGAGAGAAATGCTATTAAATATTATATAACTTATTTTAACACTGCTGATTACAAAGGCTCTATTTTCTCCTTTTTTGATCCCTAGGACAAACACATTTAAAACCTGATTAATCTCAAAAAACTCTAGTTGCTAATTCACTTGATCTAAAATAATCATCAAGTCTATCAGATATTATATTAATTTGATCATTAGACTTCATCATCCATTAGATGATACTCTTGTTCAAGTTATCTTCTTTAATATTTTATCAAATTATCTCGCATCTATAGTAATATTATGAGATAAAAATTCAAATTAGAATTTATTGGAATATTGGCTTGATAATGGTTAAGATTAATTAGTTAATCTAAACAATAAATATCGATATTACTTCTCATATTTATATTTAAAAGTGCGCTTATAGAGTTGAATATAATTTTAAGATGGAATGTAATTCTCTAGTTTTAAACTATTGGCTTATTTAATTAGCATACTTTATTTACTACTAATAATACATGGATATTGTTCCAACTTCTAGTAAGATCATTATGCTACGCCAAGAGATTCTTGATGTAACTTCAAAAATTCAGATGACAATATTTATTATCAGTAGTCTCCTAAAAAATTAAAAATCATTATTAAATTGATTCTATCGTTATTCACTAAGCTGATTCCAATCATTTTACAATTTTTCATATATAATTTTCTTATCAATTATAATTTATCAATTTTCTCAACCTCGGTATTTGTTTTTTATATTTCATTCAAATAATCATGGACATTCAAAACCTTATTCAATAATTCGGAGCAGGTTAAGCAGTCAATCCTGAAGCATCCATTCCAGATACAGCAGAATAAGTCACTATTAGTGCCCTTGCTTTAATCAAGATGCTTAAAGTAATTACAAAATAATCTTCCAGCATGCCAGAGCAGGAATTCCATTTGAAGTCATGGGTCTTTTATTAGGAGACATTGTAGACGATTATCACATTAGAGTTTATGATGTTTTTTCGATGCCTTAAACAGCAAGTAGTGTTTCTGTGGAATCTGTGGACCCAATTTTTCAATAAAAGATGGTTGAACTTCTCAATTTAACAGGTAGAATGGAAAATTGTATTGGATGGTATCATTCACATCCATCATATGGTTGTTGGCTTTCAAGTGGTACTTATTCATTCCTCATCATTTAAAAGTTGATATCAATACTCAATAATCTTATGAATAGTTAAATAAGAAATCAATTGCTGTTGTTATTGACCCTATTCAATCAGTCAGAGGCAAAGTAGTAATTGATGCATTCAGATTGATTCCATAATAAAATATGCTCAGCTAATAAGAACCCAGATAAACAACTTCAAATACAGGGCACCTATAAAAACCAGGTTTAGAAGCATTGTTAAGAGGATTGAATAGATACTATTATTCAATTAACATCAAATTTAAGTGCAATGATCTAGAATAGAAAATGCTATAAAATTTATATAAGAATAGTTGGACTGAAGGTTTAAAGTATATATATATCATCCTATTCATTACTAGATGTAATTCTGCTAGTGAAAATAGTAAAAGAAATGAATCCTGCGTTGAAGACATGTCCAAATTAGCTTTAGAATATTAGAAGTTGATAGGTATGGAGTCTTTGTTAATTGTAGAGGATGAATCCAAAAAAGGAGAATAGGAAACCAAAATCAAGAATACAGGTAAGAAGGATCCAAAGAGACATCTTGGTTTGAAAGTGGATGAACTGCTTGATGAAAATTTAAATGCTATATTGGGAAGAATGATGGCTACTAAAGGCATTTGATCTGATATATTGATAATATTAATAATGATTAATAATTTAATGTTTACTCCTGAGCAATTTGCCGCAAATTATTAAATCAATTTCTCTAAGTTGATAGGCAAAGGACATGATAGTACAGTATTTTTGACTATGAACAAATCAACGAAACAACAATTTGCATTAAAATGCTTGGCATAAACCAATGAGTAAAATGCAATTAATTTATTCGTAATTATAATATCATATTTTCAAGAGAACGAGATCCAGATACTTCGTCCCATTCAACATCCACACATCATCACTATGATTGGATATTGTTCAGACTGCTCTTGTATGCTTCTTGAATTAATGTCCAATGGCTCTCTTTATAAAATTTTACTCTAAGGTCCTTTACCTTTGGCTATTGCTAATGGAATAATACTCTAAATTGCCTAAGCTCTGTAATATCTTCACGCAAAAGGAATAACTCATGGAGACATCAAATTAGATAATCTACTAATTTCTGGGGATTTCATTGTAAAATTATGCGATTTTGGATTTGCTAAGATTAATGGACAAGCCCCAATTCCAAAAACTACTGTTTCTGGAAGTGAAGGATATACAGCCCCTGAAATTTGGCATACCCCAAGCGATTTGAGAAAATGTGATATGTTTTCGTTGGGAGTAGTTTATTTTATTATGGTGACTGGACACCCTCCATTTGAATCAAACAATCCATAAACAGAAGATGCTTGGTGGAAACTCATTTAGAAGGAGGAATGGAATATCTTTTGGAAGGAATTAAAATTAACCATATTACCAGAATATGTTAGAACAATTATTTAAAAATTACTCTGTGTAAAGTATCAGATGAGATACTCAGCTGATGAATTAATTTAACTATTGGCAGATAAGTCTGCCACCTCAGATCAGATAGTTGATGAGATTAAAAAAAGACTCATTTAATAAAAATGATTGTATTTAAATAATGAAACAATGTGTGTATTTAGAGCAAACGAATTTATAATAAAATCATTAAAACACTATCTTATCGACACTTTATCTTTAAAGTAAATGTTATTTTAATATTGCTTGGCTATATTGTTCCTTTTGACTTTTGAGATGCCTTTACTTTTAACTTTTTTCAATCATTTTATCAATTAACTTTTATTGTTCTCTCTATTAATGATTAGAGTATATACTTCTCTTTCCTCTGCGAATGCTCTTGTATTATTTAAGGCTCTTTGGTATTTCATTCTATTTTTTTCTGTTTATTCTTTGATTTTTATATCAATGCTTGATTAAATTGACAATAATCTACCCGAAATGTCTATTTTGAATTCAAATATCAATACCTTTATCATTTTCCTTCTTTTTTATAGATTCTATTTTCTGTTCCAAAATATGATTCAATTTTTCTTTGTTTTTCTTCACCTTTCTAAATTAAGTAGCTAATTTAGTTTTTACCTGTTCTAATTATTCATTCTTGATTTACATTTATTCCTCAACCATCTTATTACTCAAATCAGCAAATTTAATGTATTATTCAAGCTTATTTTATTGATATTCAATCTGAGTTTACATTACCTTTTACTACACATATTCTTATTTCTAAAGACTCATTTGTCTTTTTTGATTAATTTCATCTTTTAATTTTTATAGTTATTACTCTGTCACATACTCCTTCTCCATTTACTTCTCCATAATCTATTCAATCTATTAATCTTCCATATAAATAGCCAATTTCTTCTTTTCTCTCCTCTCCTCTTCTTTCCTTTAGTTTCTCTCCTGCTATTCTCTCAACTCTTGATTGTATTGGGAATTAAATTAAATTTTATTTTGTTAAGTGATTTCTTGCTTCTTATGCAAGTACTCCTGTATTTTGACTCTTTATTCTCTGTCTTTGACTTCTAATTCATGTATCTTTTCTAGAGTCCTCCTCTGGCGATCTTAAAAGATTTTCTTTCGTTCTTATTGTTTACTAAGGCAATTTATTGATTTATTACATTCTATTCATTTGTTTAACTGCTTCTACCTTTTTAGCCATAATAGGAACTTTTTGCTAATAATAATCGTGTAAAGATTTAAGCTTTTCCTCTTCCAGTTGTTTGTATCTACTAAGAGTTTGTAGGTATTCTTAACTTTTCTTTGCTTGCATTTCCAGTTTCTCTTCAAAGGATATCTATAAGAAATCGAGAGAACGTGTATTGAATGATTTTGACATAATAGTGGTCAACTTTGTGGGTATGACAAGAGCACCGCCATCAGTGAGGAAGCCTGATACATGTAATGGAGACTGATACTTGAGGTATTTTATTGAGTGTGTGATTTGTTGAGATTGTTTTTTGATTTCTATAGTTTCTCTTATTTTTTAATCAAATTTCTAGTACTCACAATTCGCAACAATTCCTTATACTTTTCTGTAAGGTAGTTCATATAATTTATTAGATTTTGAATGGGATGAAGTTCGGGCATTTGAAACTACTAAAATGTAAATATGTGACATGCACTCTCGCCTAATTCTAATTAATCCAGGGCTTCTTTTGTGCGAGGAGATTGAGGATCTAGTTTTAAAAAGAAAATTGATAGCTTGTTGGGATCTCGTAAAATTTTATCCTTGTCATCAAATGGCATAAAATCTTGACTTATGGCTTCATCTATGATTGGATTGGTGAGTGTTGGAAATTTGAGTTTTTTAGCAAAGAATTGATTGATGAGATGGAATTTCTGCTCTTCTGTTAGTTTTGGTTTGATTCTAGGGGAATGAACGTCGTCGCTGTTGTGACTATTGTGAAAACTCGACATTAAAAATAAAAAATTAAATAAATGCTCTTAGATAATGTACTCTTGAATATGTAATAAATCAGCGTTCATTTCTTTTACTTCTTTTTGGTTTATTGTTTCTTTCCACCTGCACCAATAACTATTTTATTGACATCTAAGTAATTGTGAATTAGGTTAAATACTTTATGGGAGTGTTTATTGAATTTTTTAGGCCTTATTCTTATCAGCTGTTTTGAAAGTGAAGAGGTATTTCTTTCCTCTCAACTTGAATTTGGTGATCTTCTTTGACTCTTTAATGTAGAGATCTATTAAAATGACTTTAAATTCTACTCTTTTTTGGTTCCTTATTGGAGTCTTTAGCTTATGCGTCACTACCCTTCATGAGTGAGAGGAACTCCTTAACATCCTGAATTTCCTTAGGCATTTAATTTAAAAAAGATTTAAAAATTTTAATAATAAAAACAAATTACCTATATTCACTTTTGAACATAATCCTCTTTGCTTTGCTATTCATTTTTGCCTCTCAACTTCTTCAATTGTTCCTCAGAATAATGAGTGATTTCAGCTGGTTTCTATTGCGTATCTTGATAACGAGACCCTTTCTTCTTGTACACTCTGAACCCAAAAATTCGTGGAACATACTGCTGATTATTAGGAGCAATTTGAATCTCTTAAACAAAGTTCTTATTAAATTAACCATCTTCATACCATGATGAAGATTGAAGGGAATGAACATCCAAAATATGCCCCATCAACATCTGGGCATTTCTTCTTTGGAATGTACACCTCCTCACATCTCGGACAGAATACTTTCACTCTAGAAGTTCTTAATTCCTCACTCATTCCTACAGGAAGTACATTTGATCTGTCACATAATACTCTTGGACAAGCACCGAATTTTCCTGATAAGAACTTATCCTTCATCAATGCCAATCCTGCCCAATAAAGTATATTGATACCTTTTGCTGTGATAATGAATCTGGCATGAATTAAACCATACAAATCAGTAGCTTCTTGATAAACCTCCAGGAAACGTTCATCTTCCAAATCTTCATCGTCAGGAGTCTCAGAACTTAAAATCAAATCCAATGCCTCGCTAATTGTTGAGTTTTGATATTTACTTATAGAAATTGAACTTGCTCTTCAATCCATACAAATTGAAGTTGTCTCTTATAAAATCACTATCAACTTCACATAGAAATTGATGATCTTCCATATTGCAAAACCATTAAATCCAACCTGCCCCTTCTGAATATGATGAATCCCCTGACATATTTATTTTATTAAATAATATATTAAATCATTATAAAATCAAAATAATCAAAACAATCATACATACTCCAATTATATGAGGAATATAGAATAGTCCTACCTATTTTTTATTCTCCTACTTTTTTTGTTCCAGCTGTTATGTTCTTGGAGTTCCTTAAACAATGTGCTTTGTCTACTATTAAGTACAATAAGATTTAACAGCATTCTTTATTAAATCTGTATGTTTATTCTTCTAAACAATCACTCTCTCCTTTGGTACTTCGATTTGTTCCTCAGATTACTTTTAGTAAGAATCCTCAATATCAGTAATGTGCTATAAAGAGCATGGCATCTTGAATTATTCACTATTGCCAAGTGTTTAGATTTCCTCTTCATTGTTCTCTTCATCTTGCTTAGATTGTGAAGGCAGAACTCTCTATGTATAAAGATCCTCATAGGAATTATTCATTGATTATTCCGAATTCTTATTTTGCAGTATGGTATTAATGGAATATCCATTTTTGAGTTCACCTGTTGTTTGACATGCTCTGATTTCATTAAAGTAATCCTTTAATTTCAATTAAATTATTCGACTCAAACGTTAAGACCCTGTCGCAATAGGATTTTGATCTAAAAATGATTATTCATATATCTATGTAATTTCATTCATTTACGAGAAACTTAATTATTTATTTAATTAAAAATGACCCTTTATGATATTAAAAAATAATTAAAATTGTTGTTTTTTTATTTTCTCGTTTAAAATAGAAGTTAAAATTGTAATGCTTGCAAATTTAATAGCTAATTATTCCTTCATTGACATTTCTTCAGGTTGTTGAATAATTTATTCTTCCATTTGATCTTAAGGTACAATCTCGTGATCTTAATCAAGAACACTTGTTTTAAACACCTTTCTGTTCTGATTGCATCTCATTATATTCAGAATACTCAGATAAAAAGTCCTTTTTTGGCATTTTTTGATCAAATTCTTGATTTACGTAATACCCTTTATGAAATTTGATTATGCCCTAATCCTCTTCAAAGTCAATCTTTATTATTAATTTACAAGTCTCTTCAGGAGGTGAGATAGTACAATAGCTGATGCAATGGGTATTTATTGACTTTAGTCCTGCTATATTTATTCTCTGATCTAATTGTTGGATAGATCATCCATAGCAGGAGGAAGTGATATTGTTTGATTAAGATCTAGGAAGCCATTGGGTTAAATAGTTTTTCTTTCTTATTATAGAATCCAAAAATATGTTTACAGTTTAGAAGATTTATACTTTTATAATTTATGAAGAAGAGATTGAGTGGCTAGTACAATTCTTAGTTAGGTGAATTTCATTGCCAATTTACTTGATTCATCTTCTCTCATTTCGCATAAGACTTTGCAGGCTACTTTGACTTAAGTTTTTCGTTCCTATTAATTAATAATGCATTTACACTTGAGGCACAAGACTTGGCTACAGAATAGCTAAGTAGTGAGCTTTGATCGGGATTTGTTTTAGCTCTACGGCAATTATCTGTTACTACAGGTGATTTCATAATTATAAAATTATGTTATTAAAAAAACTCTTTTTATTTTGTTATCCAGAATTATTGTAAAAGCGTCAGGATAAAATCATTCACTTAAATGTTTTGATTAAGATGACTTCTTCTGGTTTTTATTTTTAATTCATTCATTAATTATTTTATAGAAAAATATATTATTTATTCAAAATTTAATTGATTCTTCCTCATTTTTCCCTTAAACCCATTGCAGAACTTCCATTATGATCATGGTTGCGGACAATTGATAACTAATTTTAGGGGTCAATTTTTAATCAAAAGTATTAATCATCTGTTTCCAATATATATTGAAATATAAGTAACTAAGAAAATAAAAATAATTAAAGAGTAATTAAAATCAACATAAGAAATTATTTAACCGAAAGTAATTTTTGATTGTGTCTGTCCTTCTTATTCCAATAGCATCGGAAATTGAGGAATGTGAGTGTGTTAATATTTTTTAAATTTCAACAGTATCATAAATATGTTTAATTATTAATATCCAATAAAAAGAGGGTTAGTATGACCTTATAATGGAAGAGAAGGAAGAGTAGGAAAATATTACAAGGGAGAAGTTGGTGAAGTAAGACCGGGAATATAGTAATTTGAAATATAAAATATTCATTTTTAATTGCCTAACAAATTCCGTATTATGATCTTTTATATAAATTCGAAAAATGGTCTGGGAAATTATGAAATTTGACTAACAATAAGTAGTTGGAGGTTAGGGAAATATTCTTAAGGGAAAACAAAAGGATTGAGGATTTAAGTTTCGATAAGTATAACGCAGTAAATTCAGAAAGTGACATAGAGAGTATTTAGGGAGAACAAAATTTAGATTTATGAAATATTATTATTTTTATGAACAAGAATTCACCGTCACCAAGTTCACCAACCCCTGTGATCCTGGTGTTAGTCACCAATAAATAGGGGAAAGTATTAGAGCATAGTCAGTTCTTTAGAACCTTTTCAGTTTTTGGGCAAGTGAAAAAGGTACTTCTTCATTTTAATTTGTGTTTAGATCCTCATATTCGAAAGAAAGATCATTTGGAAGGTGTTCATCGAGTATGAGAATGCTTAGTAAGCCCAAGCAGCTTTAGTTTTAGACGGGACTCTCTTTGATTACCAACTCAAAATGAGAGTGCACCTCAGTCAACGTGATTCTCTGGTGTTTTAGAATAATAACAACTGTGGTGTTGGTAATTTTTGTTTTTCTATCATGTAGATTACACTACTCTTTAATCAAAGCAACAGTTTTTCTAACAGTTGAAGGAAGATTCAGGCTCTCTCAATCAATAACTACAGTAGAATCTTGACATGCTGAATAAGCTTATAGCCCAAGTAAGCTAAACGGCAGATTTAAAAGAACAAATGTCCCTAATCCAACAGATCTAGGAGTTCCGTAATCAAACTTAACAATTGACTGTTCTCTACCAGCAGCAATTGCGCAATTATGCATCCGTTTTACAAAGAGAGGGAAAGAAATAAAAATAAATCGTTTCCACCGTTACCACTCCATCACCTTCCCCCTTTTTACACTCCACTTTGGACTCAATCAGATAACAGATTCCAGAGGAGTCTTCAGAAGATGATAAAGAGGAGTTCTCAGATGGAGAGAGTATCTCCTCCCAATCTTCAGAAAAATCTTAGAAATCTACTCATTCCGAAGACAATTACAATGAAGTCTTTTGTAATGACTCCACTAATCCTTTTTCTTGTGGTGCCAGTCCTTTTACTCCTTACCCCTAAAAAAGAATTGGCAGTCCTTTTATAATGACTCCAACTACCCTCCCAATCTATTTGATGGTTCAGCATCCCAACATCAATCTTCGAGTGGTGTATAACATCTTTAGTACATTCACCCGAGTTGATGCCATCTATCAAAGCAATTATGGAGCTTTTCTTCAAATCCCTTCCAAAGAAGAAGCAATTCGGATGAAAAATCTACTTGGCAAAGCCATGCTTTTTGGAATGCCTATGAATCTTGTGGTTTCAGATCAACTTTCTCATGACGCTCGCTAAGTTAGTTTGCCTCCCAATGACAGAAAACCAGTTCTTTAACAATCACTATCAAACTCAATCTTGATTACTGGACTAGCTGGAGTTACTATAGAACAAATATATCAATATTTCGGGTGCATCACTCCCATCTTAAATATGAAGTATCCAATTTAAATTCATAATGTCTAGATTCATCAATCAGAGCTCTTGCAAAATTCTGTATTCCGACATAGGGTGCAGTCTAAGTGTCTTAGGATATATCTAGGATGCCAAGATTAATGGAAGGTATCAATATACAACTAATATCTAGATCTGTGTAACTTTCATTCACAGCTTTCTGATTAATGAATTTATAATATTATTTTATCAAGTGATAGAACAATTCAATAACATATCTTAGAAACATAGTAAACTAATTGCATTATAAGTGTTTTATAAACTTATTCAATTAATTATAAAATGTCCAATTAAGAACTTAACTTAGAACCAGATTTGTAGTCAGATGGATCTTCTGATAATCAGAATGTCTAACAATAGGAGCAAAACCCCAATCCACCGCTTACTATATTTTCAAAGGGTTTTCATGTCGAAAAATAACAAGAAGAATAACAATAATAATAAACTGAGTCAGATCAGCAAAAGGCTTTTCAGAACCAACCTATTCAAGAGGACGAAGATGAAGGAGATGAGTCACCTAAATACTTGTCATTTGATAAATAGCCGGAAGAAGGAGAAATTTAATTCAATTAATTCAGCAATAATAACTAAGACATCCAAGAACCACAATGGCAATAAATAAAGGAGCCAGATAAGGAAGAAAAAGAAGTAGATGATCTCTAAAAATTATATGAGGCTATTGGAAAGGAGAAATAGGAACTAGAAAATGATAAAGAAATAAAGGAAGAGGATAAATAGGATAAAGAATAAGAAGAAGTAAGTTCAGCTGAGGACAGTCCAGATTAAAAGACAGAGAGACAAAATACTCTAATTTTAAAAACTTAGAGATTATACATGTTGGAAGTTCAAGAAAGAAACGATGAAGCAATACGAATTGAATTAATTGAACAACTGAAAACTTAGTTTGCCTTTAAGTAAGCTCACCCTTTCGATTTGTTTATCATGTATGATGATGCCTTGGTTGAATTTTAAATCAGAATGGATGAATTAGATCATGCTCTTAAATCAATATCTATTGACTTACAAGAAGATTAAAAAAGGATAGTGTAGAAATACTATAGAGTACCAAAAATGGACACCATTTCAACTATAAAATTATGTTGCAGTCTCGTAGAAGACTTGGGAGAGTTAGTTATGATGGCCATAAATTACATAGTTAATAAGTATAGACTATTGTTGGATATCTTCTTTGAAGAAGTCACTGGGCCAGATAAACTGATCTCTGTTGAAACTTTGAAATTATTAAATAGGGAATGGATGTGGGGTTTGGATGAAGGGAAATTATAATAAATTTATAATCTAATGACAGACTACGGAAACAATATCTACAATTTTCAGGTTTTTAAATAAAAGCTGTCTAAAATTGCAGAATAAGTCGATAAGAAATTTAATTTTAATGCTTATTAAAATGTTGTAAAATCAATTATCAAAGATGGTTCAATCGAATCGATTTTTCGTTTATTAAGGGATGAAGATCAGGGGATTACAGATGAAATTTAAATATAAAAGTTCTTGACCATCATAACCAAATTTATAGATAGAGCTCTATCAAAACAAGAGTTATTGGCTCTACGTAAGTATTTAGCTAAAGATAAAGATGAAGATATCATAATTTATTCGAAACTTATGAATGATGCCTTGAAGGTGATTGAGGATGAAAAAATATAAAAGCAATAGGAACAAGATAAACTAAAATTATTGCAAAAAGAGATTATTTTAGAATACTTAAAAAGTGTCGTTGAAAAATCTGTTACATTGCCTGATTAATATTTCAAATAGGAATAGTTATTTAAAATGGACAGAGAAACCTTTATAGAATAAACAATTATATTAACTGGTTTTGTAATTGATAAGGATAAAGCCCAATAGATTTATGAAATGATTAGAGACGAAAAAATAGACAAAGAAGAAGAGGAAATTAATGTGATCGAATTCACCTAATTTATTAACAAAAAGAAATATGAAATTTCATAGCCTGAATCAGAAAAAGTTCAATAATCAAAGGAGGTTTAGGAGAAAATAGATCAATCTAAAGGAGCCTCATAATAAATGTTATAACCTCCTTCATTATTGAAGTAAGGACAATCTTAACAAGGATAATCCTTAAGGCAATAACTGCAATTGCCTTTAAGTGCAATATCCTAACCATAATCAGCACTTAGAGATAAGTAACCAGTGCTCTAATAAGTATCCAGTAGATAACAAGAAAAATCATCAGAAAGGTAGTAAGAAAAGGCATCAGAAAAGTAAATTGAAAAAGAAAGTAAAGATAATAAAGAGAGTAAGGATAATAAGGATAATAAAGATAATAAAGATAATAAAGAGAAAGATACTAAGGAAAAAGAAAAGGAGAAAGAAAAAGAGAAGGAAAAAGAAAGACTTTAATAATTATAAAGCATTTCACTTAGAAATGATATATATTGTTTATTTAATGAGCTGGATGAATAAAAAGTGAGGATGTTAACATAATAACAAATGTTTTCAGGATTACTTAGAATTGGAGTTGTCATCAAAGGATCAAAATTACTTAATTAAAAATCTTATGATTATTTCAGCTTTGAAAAAGTGATAATGCAACAATTGAAGTATTTCTTTAATTCAGCTAAACTGATTTACAATCTCAAAAAAGAATTGGATTAATACAAAGAAGAAGAAACTGATATAGTAAATATTCCATTATTAAAGTAATTTGTTATTTCATTATTCTAGAACTTTGTTTGAGAAAATCAGATTGAATGTGAAATTCGAAGATATACAGTATTTATTTTCTATTTTGGACAAAGAGGGAAGAGGTAACATAAAGTTGAGCAATTTATTCTATTTGATACATGTGCATCCCATACTAGATTACAAACTGAATGAATTATTATTTAGAGTAAGAAAAGCTTCTTAAATAGATGAAAGGATACTATGATAACTCGTTAAAGATGCATAAAGTCTTATACTCTAAACTTCCACTGAATTATTGTCGACCCTTCACTTCTAAGGCCAACCTTCCTAGCTATACTTTTCGATATAAACTGGATTTGTTGGGAAACATTCAAGTTCATCCTCCATGTTCTGGAAATAATTCATGCAAGATCAAATTATTAGAGGCATAAGGTATTCCTTCCCCAAAAGATAAAAGCACTTGTTTCAAAAGAGAAATAGTGGTGGCCCTTTACGATAACTTTTACAAGTAATTTTCTGAAAACAGTCTCGTTCTCAAAGCTAAATACCTTCCTGAAAATGAGGATATATGGTATTTTCCGGTGAAGAATAGAAATAATGGATTCTATTTGAATTGTGAGAATCAGAAGGAGAAATTGAATCTGATTTTGGTGTTTGAATTTATTAGTTACTTTAAAGAGAATAATCAGGTGCATAAAATCAGTTGTTGTTTTGCAGAGATACCAGTAGCACACATAATGAGGTTAGGTACATTTATATTGCCGTTGAAGGGCGGTACTATTGAATAAATAGTCTCAATTGCTAAGGATGATATCCGATGCAAAAGAGGAGGGATTTCTGGACTCATAACGCGACTAAGTGGGGATGTCTAACCTTAAATCAAAATCATTAGTATGAATAAATCCAATAGACCTTAATTGCAAAAGGAATTGCAAATGTTGCCTCCACTGTGTCTTTGTCATAGAAACATGACCTAAATTATTTAGACTTATAGAATCTTCTGTGAGGATAAGTTGAAATAAGATGAAAGTGTGTTCATTTAATCAATTGATACGTTTTTATTTTGTTTAGATTGTCCTTACATATGTTCAAAGATGTGTAAACTATGGAATAGAATAATACAAGGCAAGATGATTGGTCAAGAGTTAGCATCATTTTAGATATTGATTGGATAATTGTAGAAACTAATTAGATTGAAGGATTTTAATTTTAATCCTTATTCACCCCAAGAGGTCTTTACTCCTGAGATCAGTAAGCCAAAAAGGAATGTTGTAAAATCAATATTTGAATATGCTGAATATTTGATAGACAGTTCCTTCTTCAACAAATTGGGATTGGATGGCGATGAAATTTTGAAGGAACAAATGGACTTATATGGACAACCGTTGATTCAGGGAATCTTTGATGGTGGACATAATCCATTTGATAAATATTACAACGGATTGAATTTGAAGGCTTATGAAACTTATGTATAATAATTGTGATATATATAAATGGATGATAATTTTAAGAAATTGATTGAATCTACCTAACCAGAATCTGTATCCACAATCAGACTGTGTAGAAGATTAGGATATCGCCCAGAGGATCTCACATATAGGTACGGGGTTGTGTTATTAAATCCTATAGATCCATAGAGGAATTTTAATCTGTCAATCATGAGTTGAGATAAGTAAAATACGAGCATTACAAAGCTAGAGTGCTTAGTAAAATCTTAAATTTTAAATAAACTAGAAATAGTAAATGAAATAAACAATGTGAGAAGTAGGAACAAAACTACTGGTTTATCTGAGTTGCCTACTTAAACCAATGTGCAATTTTCTTCCATTGTTGATACTGTGGAGGAACATTCCCAAAACATATCTGCTAAGGAGAGAGTGCTTTAGAATCTCATTTATTAAGAACTTCTAAGACAGAAAAAGTTTGCTTAATATTATCAATAAAAGAATAAAATTTTAGAACGGAAATCAAAATTACCAACCCAACCTTCTTAACAAATTACTATATAATCAAAGCCCTCCGTCTAGTTGCTGAAAACAGAATAGTCACTCAAAAGATGCGAAACTCAGCGTGAATATGAGAACAAGGAGAAATTCTTTATAACTTCGACTGAAAAGTTTCTTGTCAAAAGATAACAAATTCTGCAATAGGAGGAGAAATAATAGGAGGAACAGATCCAAAAATTAAAAGAAAAGGGTACCTATGTATTCATCATTAGAAAAGAAAGCAACCGAAAGAATTCAATAATTCAAGAACGAAGTGAAACTGCATTTTCAAAAGTCCAATCTTGAAGAAGTGAAAAACAAGAAAGAACAACTCGATAATGAATAATATTAAATGTTGATTACTAAGCAATGTGAAAAATTGCAGAAGTTGAGACTAAAATAGAGCCAACTTAGCAGACCTTTCAAATAGAAAATTTCAATTAGAAATAAAACCTAATCATTGGTCTTTGATTCCGACTTGCAGTAAAAGATCGAGGATAAGATTGAGAAAGTGGTGAATTTGAAGTCTCAATTACTATCAGAACGATCAAAAATCATAGGCGAAAGACTGAAAATCAATTAGGATGATGTGAATTTCAATAAGTACCACAATGAGCAATTGAAGATTAAGGAAGAAATTAAAAGGATTGGGAAAACACAGAAGAATCAGAAGCAGCAGTCTTGTTAGATTGACTTGAAGCCTCAGTTGTTGGAGAAGCAGAAAAAAGAATCAGTATGGGAATAAGTGAATCGTGTTAGTCATTTATTTTCGAGTCCAGTAGAATATGACGGATATAGGACCTAGATGAAATTATTATGCAACAAACAACGAGAGACTCTTGATCCAAAATATCAGAATCGCGTAGATATATTATATAAATTGTTACCCTCTTAAATGGCAGAAAAAGTGTTATAATGATAAATTTCATATAATCTAACAAAATTGTTTACAGCAAGCATCAGTTTCCTCTTTATCTTCCATCAGATTGTAGAGTTTCCAATTTTCAACAATACGAACGTCAAACACTTATTGAGAAGGAAGTATTTCATCTCTAAAACATATGCGAAACTTTAATTATTTATTGATTGGGTTTCCAAATCTATCAACCCTAACATTCTGATCAATATCTGGATCGTCGTCGTCATCGAATTTCGATCTGCAAAGTTCCTGAATATTTTGCTGTTAATATTTAGGGCCCCGCATCATTTTTTTAATTTATTATGACTTTTTAAGAACACATTAATTGCTTGTATGTCTATTCGAATCTCCTTTTGAATGAATAACAAAAATATATTTATTAAGTAATCTAACGAGATCACACTTATGCATTTGTTTTTACCAAAATAAGTAAAAAACTATTTTGTTAAATAATAAATATTTAATTACGTTCTTATATTGAAAAATAAAAACAAATTTCATAAATAGAGAATTTTAAATTTAATAATTCTTGGTCCAAATCGATTTTGAGTAATTTGATATTAAAATTACATTCCCACAATTGTAAAGACAGTTCAAGGAAATTAGTTAATTAAATAATTTGCATAGCAATAACATAAACTAAATACAATGAAATTTAAGTGGTGAGTGCATAACATGTATTAATAAATTAAATAAGATCATCCATCATTTAAAATTTGAGCTGACTATTGTAGTAAACCTTGTAATGAGAAAGGGGATGTAGCCACATAAGGTGATTGATTGATAACAACTCTATTGATTTACTTTTGGGGACTGGAGTAGGAGAGTGTAGTTTAGACATCTTTGAGTAGTTGTAATTCTTTGGTTTGAGTATTGAGTTGACTCTTGAGAGTTTCACATTGCAATCTGAGACATTTTTATTAGTCATGTTGATTGGCGGAACCACAAATGCAATCTGTGGATGGGTTGCATATGGAGACATGAGTGATGAAATCTTTTTTGTACGTCTGTTAGCCACATTCTTGCTTAGGACATGTGATTGTATTGAACCCACATTTCTGTTCATGAATCCTCAAATCAGGATAGCAGAGTTCTTCAGGACATCCGTTGACTCTGTTTTGACAGGAGAATTTGACACTGGTGTATAATTTATGGAACATTTTTGGTAGTTAAGATGTTAAGACAGTCACAACTTCACAGTTAGGACAGAAGCCTCTGTAATTAATATCTTAGACATATTTCGTATTCTTGTTGATTAGAATGGTTTGAACAGTGATTTCTATTGGTTCAGGTATCTGATCATCCGCATAGGGTATGCATTTAAAGCAAAAGTTCTCATGACATTTTAGACATATCAATTGTTGTAGGGACAGTGATTTGCAAGACTGACATACAAGATGTGGCAGGAAAGTGGAGACTTTGGCAAAATTAGCAATTCTATTTTCAGGCAAAGGGAAATTCATTACAAATGGTAAAATAATATTTATTAACAATTTATATTTCAAACTCTTTTGGCCTCTTAGAAATGTTTAGCGAAGGTCTATGCGACAATTAATGGGAATACAAGAGTGGCCTCAGAAAATACTTTGACGTATTCTGCATCAATTCTTAATTTGCCCCAAGTGATTCCCTCTGAGGGTTTTGCTCCAGCATCACTTCCATCATATTGGATACCTGTATTAACAAAGACTGCCCAATCAGCTCCATTCCTCCAGATGTTGGCATTCATGATGTGGTGTTTAACAACCCCTCCTCCAAGAATAATCAATCCGGACTTCTTGGCAAACATGGCTTTCTTGTTTAATGCAACAACATCTTGTAGGATATCACAAATAAATCCTTCTTCCTTATAATTGAAATAAAACATCATGTCTCCAATGGCTCCGTCTGTTAATGCAGGACAATACACAGGGATATTGTTTTTTGCACACCAATAGTAAATTGATCTCTCATCATTGATTTTCTCTCCAAATCTTTTGATCATAGATGATGGTGACCAAATAGTTCCTTTTTCTTTTTATTCTTTATACATTTCCTAGAATACTGGGAGTAGCCAATCCTCTAGTTTTCCATAGTTTGCAGCAGGAACATAAATATTACCAATACGACAAATGGCTTTTAGTCTTATTTCTTTGTCATTGGCTTACCAATCTCCTTTGTGAAAGGTGGAGATGCATTTCATGAGATCTTCTTCAATTGCTCCAGCAGTAGTGACGATGGCATCAATCATTTTATGTTGAGCCAAGTATCTGATGATGTCTCTATTGCCTGATGATACCATATTACTAGTGTAACCTAAGAATATGGTACATCTGGTGTTGGGGTCTTCGTTGTCTTCGTTTGGACCCATTCGCCAATGAATCATTTTGTTGATTAGATCGATTGCTGTGCTCAATTGGGTGGCTTGCAATCCGAAGTTGGCATAAGAGTTTAGGAGTGCATCGAAATCGACTCCTTGATTGAAATCGTAGCCTTTGATTTCTGGAGTAGTCACTGGTTCCGGTTGGAGTTTGTAGAGAGTTTAGTATTATTCTTCTGCTTTTTGCATAATTAATATTTAATGGTGAATAATTGCGAAAAGATGTTATATTACAATTTATTAAGAATTATGGTTCTGATCAAATTATTGTCGTTTTTTTGTTAAACTTTGCAAATGCTTTGTGAATTCGTATGAGGCGAGCTGTCATAAACCTTATTATTGTGATCTCTACTTAGTGCGCAATTTAATGATGAGCAGGACCACCAGCAACAATGCCAGGATGATCAAACACCACAAATAGAATAAGTCGAAATATTTGCTGCATTGCACATATGTTCCACAGGAGTGGTAGTTTTCTTGGATCAAACAGCAAGTGTCGCAATTCAATTTGATGCAATGATTCTACTTATTTGATGACGTACATCTGAGTATATGGAGCACTCACTTTGATATTTGGAGCATTGATTCAGGTTGTTGCAACAAAGACTATTACATACAGAAGCCTCATTTGGGGACTTGCATTACATAATAAATTAATTAAAATGATAGAGGTCTCAAGAAGCAAATAGATTGACAAAGTAAAACTGAGTCTTGACTCCGACAAGTTCAACTATTTCTTGGCCCAGTCCTTGAACAAGGTCACCAGTCATCGTTCGTTGCAACAACTGGCCAAGACCCTCGCTGATCACTTCATCCAGAACCAAATAGAAATCCGCAACAAATCCAATCAATAACGCCAAAGACAAAATGCGCTCCCTTAAATAGTCAGACGCTCTCAACAATCCATCAAGGTCCTTCCCAAGCCTCCACGCATCGAACCAAGACAATCACAAATTCCTTTAAACAAAGTTCCCTTCACCATCCTTGAACCCCAATACTCCTATCTCTTGGGTGGAGGCAACAACCACGAACTCATCAAACGCATCATGGACACCAGACGAGAATGGCATCAATGCAAAAGTACAACAAGAGTTCATTTTAGATGGTAGTAATCTAATATAGGTTACAAATATTACAAAATGAATGCCTACAATCCCCATCGATCATTAGTCAATCATTTTGAATTTCACCAAGAAATAAGCAACAAGAAGAATCTCCTCTTGAATATGACCGCTTTTTGTGAATCCATCCATAGAAATGTATTTGACATTCTTCCCTTAACATTCGTTATCGATTTCAATGATTCCCAAATTGAGTCCCAACTTGTAGCCTTTCTCAACTATTACAACCAATACTCTCCCAATCCCGTATCATAAGAGGAACTCCTACTCAAAAAACAGGAAATCAAAAAGAAACTCAGAATTCCACCCAGCAAAGACAGGAAATTCATCGATTACTAGATGAAAGACACCTTTTTGGGAGATGATTACTTGTGGCTCCTCAAACCAACAGGATTAAACCGAGGCAGAGGTATCAATGTCTTCAACAACCTCGATCAGTTAACTGATCTACTCATTGAATACACCTCAGGAGTAAGTGAAAAGCATATTGAGACTCCCAATGAGAAGATATATTAGGGAATCATCATAAAGTCGCCTTCCTTTGTAGTATAGAAGTACATTGAAAAGCCGTTGCTTATCAACAATCGTAAATTCGATATCAGAGTGTGGGTGCTGGTTGATTAAGAATTGAATTGCTATTTCTTCAAGTATTCTATAAATATTAAATAATAGAGAAGGATACATAAGGACTGCATCAGAAGACTTCGTTACTAATGATGTTAACAACCTGTTTATCCACCTGACAAATAATGCAATTCAGAAATACAGTCAAAAATACGGGGATCAAGAAGCAGGGAATCAATTATCCTTTGATCAGATCTAGAAGATCTTTAAGAATAAGATTGATTTCAGATAAACTGTTGTTAAAAAGATGAAGGAGATTGCCTTTTTGGCAATGAGTTCAGTCGGTACCAAAATAAATAGGAACAATCGTAGAAACTGTATGGAAATCTTTGGATTTGATTATTTCTTGGACGAAAAGTTCAATCTATATTTAATAGAGGTTAATACAAATCCATGCATTGAGGAATCGAGTCCATTGTTGGCTCAACTGATTCCGAGAATGTTAGATGATGCGTACATTTTGACTCTTGACTTGATCTTCAATATATCAAGGGAGAAAGTAAGTCCATTTCCAGTTAAGGGTTACTAAAACAATGAGAATATGTGGTAATAGATGATACTTATTTAGGTAATTGCTAGGATCGCTTAAAGATTAAGCCATTTACTAATGAATTTATTCGTTTTTATAATTATGAAATATTTCATTTTGACTTTATTTGTTTTGAATGCATTTAGCTTCTCCTTGAACGATGATTGGGATGGTATGGAAGAAGTGATCAAAGTTTAATAAGATGCAATTTTGGTATAGAGAATAATTAAATAGGATCTAGTAGACTAATTAGACGTATATTCAGAAACTCCGATCACTCAACAAATAGAGAATCAAGTACAACAACTCATGAATCCACCACTTGAAACAGACCACACAAAATAATCAGATGAATAAAGTGAAGTTCACTCTCTGGAATACTGGTTGGAGAGATTGGGAGATGAATATTCAGATGAAACCATCTTATTGTAGTAATCCTAGACAATCACAGAATAAGTCACAACAGTATTAGATGATCTCATTCTGAAAGTAGAAGACGATCAACAAATAGATCAACAAACAGAAACTGATTCCACCTTGATTATAGATAGCATAAGATAATTTTAACAAGATTAGAATAATGATGAAAATATCAAGTAGTCATAGACTACATAATTGCAGAGTTAAGATGATCAATAACAATTAATTGATCTCAATTAAATCTAAGATCAATTTAATGAAATAGATTCAACAATATCAGAAGTTAATGTCCAATAACAATTAAATGAGAGTTCTGAAGACACTCTTTAAGTTTAAATTGATTCCACTGATGAAGATGCTTCCAATGAATCTGCGAATGAATTCTCTCCCATTGAGAATGCTCACAATATAATTTAGGATAGTAACACAGTATTCACATTCATGAATCATGTCCAAGAGGACTCTTATATTTAATCATAATAGAAGGTCAAAGATACTTACAATTTCAAAGAGTATTCATTCAATAAGGATACTGGAGATCAACGTTCCATATATAAAGAGAATGATGACTCCACAGTGGAAGTAGTAGAAAGAGAGGAGGAAAAAGAAAGTAGTAATAATCCACATGAAGAAGTGGAATTCAATAAAGCCAAATAGTCAACTTTAAATAGCTAACCAGAGGAAATCTCAGGTCTTAAAAAATACTTATTGTACACAGATTAACCTGAAGTAATTTCCACTGGAACCACTGAAAAAGAAATTGAGGAAGATAGAAGATTGATTACTGCTTTTAAATCTATGAACAGAGATGAATATTGGGAAAAAACAAACAAAAAGTAAAAAATAAATTCAGATGTTAGAGATGAACTATTAAAACGTAAGTATTTTAATATCCCTTTAGTTTCTAATGTTTCTGAAGATTCAAAATAGAAGGAACCCCAATTTTAGGAAATTACTGAAAACAAAGTGGAAAATCCTCATAAATTTATTTCATTTAAGGCCGACCCCAAAGTTGAATACCCTGAGAATACTTAAAAGGGAGAAACTGTTAAATCTAAATATGATGAATTACCTGAAACCAAATTGTAATCCAAGGAGGAGATGAAGAGGGATAAAGAATAAAAAATTTGTATAAATTCTAATTGAATATTTAGTGGAAATGCAAAAAATAATTGAAGAACAGTTGAAGAACAAAAAACTAATTAAGCAATCTGAAACTGATAAATCCTTTCAATACGAAAGTGAATATCTAGAATGGGAAAGAACTACATAAAGTAAAGTGTATCCTGAAATCAATTTTGTCATGACGTAAAATAATTTAAGAAAAAGATTATGATTAAATCTAACACAAACATTAATCAGCAATATCCTCCCCCATCATTCTATGCCTATTTCTTGTTTCCCTACCAAAAATACCCCCTTTCATTCGTTTATTTTGCAGACTGTATCAACTCTAAATTGTCATTTGTTAATTTACCATCTGCAATATATTAAAAGATTTCTGTTATTCCCTTCCCAGATTTAGCTGAAACCAAAAAATGCTTTACCTGGTATTCATTACATAATTCATCAACCTCTATTAGTATTTATAATTGACACATAATACATGATTATTCTACATCTCTTTGAATGTGCATATCGTCTTTGTTTCCCACTAGAACCGGTAGAACATTGTCATTTTATGAAAATTACTTTAATTCCTGAATCCATTAGCGAACCTTCTACAATGTTCCCTTAACTGTAATATCATACACTATTATCGCAGCATCTGAATTTTTAAAGTAAATGGGTGGCATACTATGAAATCTCTCTTAACCGGCTGTGTCCTGCATTTAATTAATGTGAACCTTACCCAGACAGCCAAATCAATAGGTCCATTTTTTGTTTAAATGGTCTTCTACTTGCAATAGCCACAGACAGTTTCTTCAGACTTTTCTGAGAAGGTATTATAGAAGAATCGTGTTATTATCGATGTCTTGCCAACTCTGCGTTCTCCTAGAGAGACAACTTTATATATTGGATCTTTGGACTTTTGTTTTTTCATAACTTTATTATTTGATATATAAAATGTGTATTGAAATGTATTCAAAATTCTAAATCCTTTATCTACTCTGTTGTGAATCTAAATTTTTATTATGTCTTTTCACAAATAAACTCGTATTCAGTAATTTTTTATTTGAATTTGCATTTTTCACATACTATCATATTATCATCATTATACACCAACTTTGAATTGCAAGAGTGAGTCCAAACGTGATCCTGATGACATATTAGACATTTGTGTTAAAATATAGGATGTTTCGATTAGCTATGCTAATTTAACTGTTCATTTTCTTCCATTACAGGAGGTAACTTTTCGCTATTCTTATGAGAAGAACGCTTCCTAAATCTTAATTTCATTTACTAATTCTTCAACTTGTTTTGCTTATTTCATTTACAAAAATTTATCATCAGAGTCATGAGAATTCTTAAAATAGGGAGTATTGGGCTGTTCCAAACTATGTTTCAGTTGATTTGATTCTCCCAAGTTTTTATTTTGTGGAGAATTCTTTTCGTAATTCAAATACATTTCTAAAATCTCTTTTATTTCTACACTTAATTCTTAATATTCATCCTACTCTGCTTATCTATTTGTAGGTGACAAGACACCATAATCATGTTGACGACTCCTTTAATTCTTATTGCTACAACACACACCCATAATAAAAAATTTATATTTCAAATAAATAAATTCAATTAGTCCTCATTTGGGGGGTCACCTAATACATTAAGATAACTAACAACTTCAAAATAGCATCCCTACTTGCTATTAATATAACAAAACTATGAATAATATCACATAATTTAATTGCTTAAAATAATTTAATGTTTATGAGGAAACAGATTATCTCACACATGGATTTTTAATATTCCTAAAATAATTATATTTTCTATTTTGAATTTAACTTAACTTATAAAGACTTTCATGGATCTCTAAAGAATATATTTGTAGTGTATTCTTAAAGAATATGTATTTTTAGATCCTAATTAATTAGATATAAAATTTCAAGCTAACCTTTTTATAATAAATTTCTGACGATCAAAATGATTATTGCAATTTAAAATTCAACCTATCTCTGAGATTGCTTTTCTCTATTCTTATATTCTGGCTGCATTTTAAGATGGGATAAAATCAAGATTCTATTCAAAATTACACAATCAACCTATTTTTTTTAATTAATAAATATCAACAACTCTAACAAAATTTTATAAAAAATATAATCTTTTTCAATAATATTTTTCATATCCATTCTGGTCTTAATTTATATAACTATTGAACATAATTTAATTTAATGAATTTATTCTTCCGCAATTTATTTATTTATTAATTAACCGTCAAAAATGCTGGTTTAACAATATCGATAGTTGCCTCCACCATCAAGGGAACTTCCTCCTAATTTGAATTAAGCTCACTTTGATTAGAAAATGAGATTCCAATAGCAACAAATTCAAGCAAGAGTGATTGAGGAGAGACCCAATTTTTAAGAGATGCAAGGAGGATAACCACCTATGAAACCTTGGTTAGGAGAAGATGTCTACATGGTTGCATTCTTGTTATCAGTGGAAAACGATAGATTGAGAGAAGAGAATGGAAGGATTGGAGAATATGTTAATTAGAATGAATTAAAATTTAAGGGAGTTGATTTAATTGAAGGAGAATTAATTTAATTAAGAAATAAAATAGGAGATTATGAGAAAAAGATCGCTTAACTATAATATGAAAGTGAATAATGGAGAGTGAAATGCGTTAACAGAGAAAAAGAAAATGAAGATTAACGCTATTAGAAAGAATTACAAAGAAGGATCTCCATAGATAGGGAAATAAGGGAATTGACAGCCAGATTTATATCAGATAGGAATCAATTGGAAAAGGAGAATAGACAATTGAGAACTGAATTGGATAGTTTGAAATTATCTAAAAGCAGCGTAGAAGATATAATGAGATAAGCAGATATCGTTTAGAAAGAAAATCAAAGATTGAAATAAGAATTAGACAATCTAAGGTAATTTAAATTATAAATAATATTTAGAAAAGGTTTTGATGAATTAGAGTATGTACTTAAAACAGCTGCTGATTTAGAGGCTGAGAACACTCACCTGAAATAGTAGATTGAAGCTCTTTAAGTCTAATTCTAGCATCAGTAATAGCAGCAAATTTAGCCAATTCAAAGGGTTGTTGCCAATTCAACAAATTTATGTAAAGATTAAGATATATTATTTAGAAAATTCGAATAACTTGGAATCAGAAAACAAGAGGTTGAGGGATGAAAATGATAGATTGAAAGTAATGTTAAATCTAGGTCAAGCTACAAGACCTTAGCCTTTTATGTGATATATTAACTACTTAATATATATATATATATATATATATATATATATAATTTGATCTAGTATATCTTACTTTTATTTTGAATGAGTCCTATGAATTCTACTGAAATATTATATAAAGTAATACATATACTATATATACATTCCAATAAAATAGAATCAAGCCCTTTTTACATAATAGAATATCTTTATAATATTAAATTCTAATAAAACTTAATGATAATTTATAGTTCACTATATTTTATAAAAAATACTCATTTCATTTATAAAATATCTTAACTTTCAATGTACTTGCTTATAATTGAATTCAGGTTGTCCATTTCAGCTGATTTAGGAGGTAACCTCAAAATTTTAGTGGGTTAAGAGTATTTCCTGGCTTCACTGATTTTCCCATTCTCAAAATCCCAAATTTTGAACTTCTTTTACTCATACAATATCAAAGTGTCATCCTCTTTGCATTACTACTTAATTTTAGTAGTTATTTCCTTAAGATTATGTGTTTTTCGAATACATTATTTAAACTAAGAATATTACTGTTGATAATTGCTAGTAATAAAATAAAGAAATACCTGATTTCTCTTTCTTGATTAGAGGATTAGTTTTGTAAATCATTGATGTAGTTATGGATTTTAGGAATTACTTTTCTGCTTGATTCTAATACCCGAATCTAATTGTTTAAATCAACAAGCATGCAATCTCTTTTTTCAAGAACAAGATTGTACATTTTACTTAGGATAGCACTGAAAGTAATTGAACCTATTTTATCTTCAACTGGGAACCAAGTTTCAATGACTCCTTCTTCTGCATCATTGTTTAAATTATGTTTTTCCACGAATGCTTAGAATAGTTTAGTCCAAGATTCTGCTCTGATATGTCCCAAAACGGCAATTTGTAAAGGGCATTGATTTTGTTTCTTATACTTAACCAGACTTTTTAATAATTCCAGAGTATCATCATTTTCATAATCAATCAAAAGTATCAAAAGAATTTTGTCTTTTTTCCTGGTGATTTCTTCATTACCCAGGCTCTTAGAGATAGACATCTCCTCATAGGGAGGTTTCCTTTTTTCCGCATAGGGTATCTTACCATATTGTTGATTTTGAATTCTTTCCACAGTGGGAATATGAGTAAAAAAGTCTTTGATCATTTTATTGATTCTGGCAGTAACAGGATCATCAGAACTCTCGCATTCACTCAACACCTTGTCTCTGGTATGAATCCATTGTTTAACTTGCGAAATGTATAGAGTGGATTTATAATAGGGAACAAGAGTGGAAGATTCCCAAAAAGGTATTTAAATAATGTTGTTTTCATAATTGATTTAAATTTTGATTTGTTTTTCCAATGCTGCCTCTATATTAAGGTTGTTTTCTTATATTTTTTATGTTAATGCTTTCTTCAACAATTACCCATCCCAAACAACACTTTTAGATCCGAGAGGTCTAATGAAAGATTCAGTAATTTGTAATGATTTTGGTGAGCAATTCACTTCTATAATGGGATTGTCATAAACAATAGTTTTGACATCCTTCCCATAGATAGTTCTCTTGGTGACACTAATATTGATTTTTCTAGTGAAAGGCTATTGAGTTTATTGAGCCAAAACAAATTTCTTTATTAGGCAATACTATTCTTTTGTGATGCTGCTATCTAGATTAGTTTGCTATTTTGCAGAGTATTCTTTCACACCTTGATTAATTAGGGTTGTTACTTCCTGAGACACTTCCTCAGAATCTGAGAATATATCCCACTCATGATTATATCTCTTCCATATTAAGTTTGTCCCATAAAATAACAGGGCACTAGCCTAATAACCCTCCTCTACTTCATTAGTATTTTCTTGGAAGTAGATGTCCAAGAGGTGATTGTCAAGGTTCTCCTGTCCTTCTGTGCAGATATAGATGTGTTGAAAGTTTTCCCATCTGTGATTTGATCGGACAAACTCCTCATAAACTGATTTCTACTCGATATTGCCTCTTGCCAACCCTATCAATTGCAAATCAACTTATTTTAGAGAGTCAATCAAATCTATGGCATGCTCAAAATTAACCATTTGTTCTCCTTGACTCCATGATTTTATTAGAGTGTATTTGCCCTCTTACAAATTCAGAACCTGATCTTGATCGTTGAATAAAAGTTGGAATTTTATTGAGGGTAAGGTATCACCTAATTCAAGACCACTCTGGAAGACCATTTTCTTGTCAATCACGCATTTGTCTTATTCGTTAGATTAATTCCTCAATTGCTTAAGGTCCTCATTGGCTGTTCGTAGCTTGGCTAGATTGATTGGTTTAACAGTCCCTTGAGTGGTGATGGTTTTGGTGTTGTCCTGCCGACCCAATCCGACAGCAGCATCAAACACAAATGAGTATTAGGTAGTCTTGATAATTCTGTAATTATCAAAGTCATTCATCAACTGGATGATATTTCGAATGTTAGCACTTTTTGATTCTCTTGGAATCGAGGGAACAACATTTATAATATCAGGAGTTGTCTACTATTTGCATTATTAACAAGTTCCCATAATAAATAATATTAATTATCAAATACAGCTAACTTATAGATATAATTTATTATAGTAATCAAAACCAGAAGCATAATTAAGACAGACAATTTCATATTATTGCCTAACCAAATAATACCATACAGTTCCATCTTTATAAATAATAATAATATAATTATTGTATGCTTTATAATTAATATGTCAGAAAGTGAAATTTCATTTGATTTCAATGAGGATGAACCTGTCGAAGAAGTGAAGTCTTCTCAAATGTTAACCAAACCCGAGAAATAATATATGCCATTCTCTAAAAGTGACAAAAAGGATAAAAAAGAGAAATTGAAGCAAATGCAGTTTGCAATGCAAGGACAACTCTCAAGCAAATAGTAAATGACCAAGGATTTATTATTCCTCCTAAAATTCGAATAGCATATGTTAAGTTCAATCAACAGTTTGCATTAGAGAATAATGAGATCCTTAGAAAGTGAAGCTCCAGGAAATTGAACTCCTTTTTAATATACATATATATATATATATGTTTATTCAATTAATCTTTTGAATCTTATTGTCTTCCTCTTCTTATGGTTATTGTTATTATTATTATATTTATTATTTCTATTGTTTCTACTGTTTCTCCACTTCCATCTCATCTATCTCAATTGTGACTGGCCCATCATTCACTATGTTCACAGCCATATATTATTAAAATGCGCCCTTCTTTATTTTCTCCGGTTTGTAGGCCTTCCCACACTCATCAACGAAATACTCATATAATTCCTTTGCGTTAATAATCATTGCAATACTCTTGCCTTCTCTGCGTCCATTGCGTAGTGGAAATCGGGTTTATTGCCTTTCATATATGCGTATAAAGTGAATTAGGAGACTATTAGTATTTCGTAATTGAAATCGACACATGATCCATTCCAGGCTTTATTCTCTTTCTCCCACAATCGTATTTTGGATAATTTGTGAGCCAACTTCTTAGCCACCTCCTTTGTGTCTCTCTCATGAATCTGAAGTCATATAATAGCATCAATACTCCTAGAAGGACGACTAAGCCTTTTCCAATTTGAGATACCAATTAATCTCCAACAGACACAGAACCACTGAGACATCTTTGAATTATTAATCTCATTTCTTATTTTATTAAATGGAAGAATAAGTAAAAAAACTTTAAATTATTGTTGATCATCTATCAAAGAAGAGTTAACAACCGAATTCTAAAATCTTGATGGAATGTTATGAAGTATTTTCAGAATGTATTTTGATTGTTCAAAGGGAAATCAATTTAGAAATTGGGAATGTAATGGACAAGCTCTTTATGATAATTAGAGAAATGGTCGAGAATTCCCAATTAAAAATTCAGCCTACAGAACCTCAACAGATTGTTGTGGCTACAAAAATTCCTGAGTTTGTGAATGCCTTACAATTGGGAAGTGTGTCAGTTTTAGACCAACTAGGCAATGGTGAATAAGTTAAGAACATCCACTAAATACCTTGGTGTGATTATAAATGCAAAGAATAAAAGCCTCGCAACTTTAAAGGATTTTAAGATGTTGGTACAAGTACTGTAATAGATTATTATGAAAATTGTTAAAAGTCATCGAGTTAATTTTTGAAGAACGAAGAGGAAATTAAAGAATGGATAGAATATACAAATGATACGATAGCTATGTTGGGTGAAGCAATTGCTAACAAGAAATAATTGGATATAGAATATTAAGGCAAGCCTGGAGATGTTGATTTATTAATTTCAGACATACACTTTAGAAGATTAAACTTGGAGTAAGTATTAAGGTCAGTGAATCCAGATAATTTTGGAGTATAGAACTATGATAACACTGTTCAGTTTCTTTAGTAGCATATACACTAGATTTAGTAACAGACTGCTATAGCTGTGATATAAAGGATGAAGCATAGATAGGAAGAAAAGGATAAGCAATAATAGATAATTAATGAAATGAAAGGGAAAATAAAGAAGAAAGTGATGCATAAAGAGGATTGTCGTTGTGCATAATACGTCAATGACATCTTGTCACTTAAAAATAAACTAGAATAAATTTAAACAGATCTTGCCAAGAAAGAACATTACATTATGGAATTAGAAATAAAAAATGATTAAAAGGATATTCAGTATAGGATGTTGCAACAATAGTTTTATTAAATGGAGAGTGATAGAATGGAAATGAAATCGAAATTAGACAATTATGTACGACTTGCAAAAAAGAACAGTGATAGAGGATATATATCATAGAGCAGTAATGATGAAATTGTAGTTAATGGTATTACTGCTCATCCAAGGACAACTAGCAGAGATCAATCATAATAATAATCTTCAAAATAATAAATTCTACTCACTCCCAAAGAAAATTATATCATTTAAAAGAAAACACAATAAATGGAGAGATTAGTCAAATTGGTTAATGCTCTAGATGTCAATAATTAAACACGACGATTAACTCAAATGCAATTCATTTTAGAATAGAAAGCTACGTCCCAAATTAATGATCTTGCTGATCTGATTAAGGATATAGAGGAGAATGACTTACTATAGAATGATGCAATTGATAATAGCACTGTTACTAAAGAGATAGAACCTATTTCATCTAGATTTCTGGAAAAATAATCCAAATAATTTACTACATAAAGAAACTCACTTTAAAATTCATTTGAAATTGAGATGAATATGGATAAGCCTACTATTAAAGTTAGCATACCTGCTGAATAGATTACCTATTAAAGGTAAGTCCCCAGTAATAGGATAATGTCTTCAGTTGGAGGGTCCTAGAAGAAGTAAGATTTATCAAATACAAATTATAATTAAAGATAAATGGATACATTAAAAATTAAGAATTCTTCATCAAATTAATTGTCTCCAAATTAATCAAATGGAAGAATGAAATCATCATAAAATATGAGTTTACATAGATAAAGTTCAATAAAATAATAATAATAATAACAATAATAATAATCAACTTAAACTATAACTGATAAATCTAAAAAATAGGCAAATTCAAAAAATATCAAAGATTAATATTAATAAACTGATCATCTCCATAAAATTGATATTTCAACTTAAACAGAAAAAGTACTAAACAAATAAACAACTGAATAAATAGATAACATAAGAATCATGGGTTCATATAATAAAAATAATTCTTAATAATTAACAACTAGTAGCACATTTCACTTTAATTCTTTAGGCACTTCTGGCAATATTGTTACACCTATTCAATCAGCCAGTAATTCTAATATCCAATCTCCTAGAAATTAAATCTCTCAACACCATCCAAATTCTACAATTACAGGGTCATTTCCATTACCCTCCCCATCCCCGGCTTCAGCATTAATAAAAAATAAATTACAAAGCGTCAAATCAGAATCTGAAAATTCTCAATTATTAGGGCGTTAATTATCATTACATACTCTTGATAATTAACAGTCAAAATAATCTCAATCTTTGAAATAGAGAATTTTAGAAAGATAAGAGGAGAAACATTAAAAGAGTAATCATCGTAAAATGTATACAAGTACTGCTACTTAATTCTAGAGTTTGACTCCAAGAGAAAACACTTCTTTTAAAATAAAATCAAACGATGATTTGAGACTGCAATAATTTCAATAAAATCAAGAAGATGAGCAATTGATGTCAGATTAGGTTTTGCATGATCTTCCTGAGTAGCATGAACATGAAATTATATAAAAAGCCATCAATAGAACACCTGGCTATGAGTTAGCATCTGAATTAACTGAGAATATTTTGTTAACTATGTTTGACAATCTTCAAAATGTTCCTGAGTTTATTGAATTGATTAAAAAATTAAATAAGAGTAACTCAGTCACATTTACTGAATTTAAAAGATTTGTCAATAGAATTTAAGCATTTCACAAAAAGTGTGGAAGAGAGTGTAATCATTTGCAGAGGTAAATATAAATCAATAAACTTTAAGATTCTATTTAAGATTAGGATTTGTGTCAACTAAGTACTTAAACAAGCGTAAGTAACTGATATTGTAAAAGCCAAAAGTTCTACCTGGTTTTAAATGATTCTTTTACACATTTATGAATATACACACTTACTTTAAAAAGTGTCTTTTTTATTAGTAAATTATTATATTTAAATTAATAATGTAATATTCTTTAAAGATTGATAGAGTAATTGAAAATCATTTTTTTTTTAATGGAGGCAACTCTAATTTTTGCTTAATAAATTATCTGGATTTAGCTGAATTCTCATTCAAGGCTTCCTCGATTGTTTTTGGTCTCACTATGGCTTTTTGTTAAAAACACTTTTTGAAGGAAGCTATAGTATATCTCTAATCTTCAAGGGTATTCAAATTCTCAAAAGAAGTCTTTGGCTTTGATTTTGATTTTTACCTTGATTTCTGATCTTTGGGACTTGTAGATCTCAAATTTTTGATTTTTTGATTATTTGACAAAACTCTTTACTTTTGTGATTGAGGATTTGGCAAGGATTAATACTGTTATTATAGTTTTTTCTTATCACTCAATTTTTATAATATCTCATCATCAGGATAGGGTTACTAAATGGGACAATTCTTCATTAGATACTATAAAAAAAAGAGCAGCTTAAATTGCTATGATAATAAATCACTGTATTTACATTTCTAATCTATTGATCTTTGATAAACTAATGGATTTGTTCATTATAGGTTAAAGGTATTTTGTCCTGGAAATTACGAGTAATCCAAGGATGAATCAATGCCTATCCGACACTATACCTTTCAATGGGTTCAATTGTAGTCAGCTTTTAAATGAGATCTTTTGCCAAAGGATTCATGCCATCTGAGAAATGCCAGACAGGATTCATAATTTTCTTGATTACTTATTCTCTGGTTTCATTCTTATTATAAAATGGATGCTAACCAGAATTCAAGAGCATGTACATAATCACTCCACAACTCCAAGAATCAATTTATTTACTATACTATCTATTAATTATAAGTGAGTACAAATTTCTCTTTAAATTACTCTGGAGCCATGTAAATGATGGTTCCACATTTTTTATTGAGCAAACTATAGAACATGCCTTCGGATGCAAACTTGAAACTTAAACCAAAATCAGCAATCTTAACAGTCCTTATATCAGTGGAGGCGAACATGATGTTTTCTGGTTTGAGGTCTCTGTGAATGATTCTTTTCTCGTGCAAATAGTGAACTGCCATGAGAATTCCTTTCATTATAATGGCGAACTCTTCGTCGGTATGTTCTTGTTTCATACGCTAAGCTAAGGTTCCTCCCTTCATTAGTTCCATAATTAAAAAAAATTAATTCTTATTTTCTGTTATCTTCATAAGAATGCTAAAGTACTCTTTTGCATTAGACAATATGAGGATGATTTAACTACTAATATATATCTGACTCGACTTGAGCATCTTTGAAAAGTGTTTTAGAAACAACCTAAATAATCACAACTGTATTAACCTTGACAGCACATTCCGTATTATCGGTTAAGTCTATTGCCTTATATACTTTTCCGAAGCTTCCCTCTCCGATCTTTCCAATTTCCTTTATTTTGTACATCTCTTCCAGGAAGTCAACATCCTCTCCTTAAAACATTAATTTTATAATTAAAAAATATTATAATTATTTTCACTCTTGAAAATGTGGACATATCATTCATAATTTTAGTTGATCAACCTTAACAAGTTGGATTCATCACAAATGCTAATTCGAGTTTATTATTCTCGCAAATTGTAGATATTATTTGTGAATCTTCCAAAATATCTCCATTCCACATCAAACAATATGAATTGATTCCAGCTCCGTCTAGATATTTTATCATTTCATTATAAATTGCTTATTTAAAGTCACCAATAATCAAATTTGGCTCACATTTATAAGTTAGTTTCCTTTCTCCAACTAAAATTGAGAAGCTAAAGTCCTTACATATCTAAGAAAAGTTCTCAGACGGTTAATTAAGTTCTTCTTTATCTTCGAATATCAAATTCTCACCAATACTCAAATCTATTTCTTTGATCTTCGTTGTTAATTCCAATGCTTCACTCTTAAGATAAATTTTTTGGATTTGCACTTATAATCGATCTATCAACATTTCTAGAGTATCCTCTGGTTGCACTTTTATCTCGTGCTACTGTCCATTCTTTTTACTTTCAAATGTAATTAATCTTTCTTGATACTAGATTTTAGATTTGTTTTCTATGGGTTGATCCTTTATTTTTGTCCCCACATCTAATTCTTTATACTGAAAAGAGAAGATCCACCCAACTATCTTGTTTTACAATGCAACCTACTCTAATGTATCTTCTAGGTTTGCTTAAACGTTCTATGAGCGTTTTGTTGTGAGATTTTCGAAATCCAACTCTAAGTAGGTTAGAAACTCAGCTGTCAATTACTTTTTTGTTTGTGTTATTATTCTTCTGGTTTCTAAAATAGATTCTTTTGGATCAATCAATTTTTCACCCACCATCAATTTAATAACTTAATTTTATGGCAAACTATATTATATTTTGATTTAATCAAAAAGAGACTAGCAGTCACTATCCTATGGAACCATTAATTATTTAGGAGAATTAAGCCCAACTATGAATACACAGAACTCTAGTTATTTTATTGAGGTTTTTGCCTATGTTTTAACTTCTTGTCTTTTCTTGAACTCAAATTTGAAGTTTGGATATTTTATTAAGAAGTCCTTTAATTTCTAAGTCTTGTTTTCAGAATTAACAAGCTCAAAATTCAAAGAATTATCAATCCTATGTTCATTTCTAAATTGTTATTCTACTTGATTAATTTAAGAGTTCGAATCAATAACAATTTCATATCTAGCTTGATCGATAAAGGCTTGTATTCTTTAAAATTCAGTGAAGTAGTATAATTCCTAATTCTAAGCCAAATTCAAACTCTCAAATTTAGTCTTCAACTCAACCTATTTTTCATTTTTTAAGAAAACTTTATAATATCGTATTCCTGAGATAGTTTCATTCATAATAACTTTTTGTAATTCTTATTCGACAGTTTTAGAAGTGTCAACAATAACATCGTCTGTCTTTTTTGTGTTTTTATTGATAAATTTAATGGTGAGTGACTCTTCACTTGGCTAATGTACCGCGGAAAACTGTTCCATTATAATGCTATTTTAATCATTAAACCAAAAAGATTGCTATTTTTGATTCATGCTACCTTTATAAGCAATTTCGCACTCAGATTTCAAATTTAATTGACTTAGACTAGATTATCTATCTTTCAAGTCATTACCAACATAATAGGAAATATTCTCATTAGGTTATATGAACTTATCTAAATCAGCTAGAGTTGAATTTATATCCACTCTCTCTATTTACTTTTTGTGAGTGATTTTATCTAACAACATAATATTGATCTTATTGTCAGATGGCTCTCTGATGAGATATAAAGAACTAAAAGATTGTATATATTCTTGGGTCAGCAAATTGTTTATGTCAAGAATATTGTCATTGAGTTTCTACTTTAATTGTATTGGTATCGTTTTGTCTAATTAAAAGCACTCTCTCGCCTTTTTAGTTAAATCAAAAACACTCCCATCCTTTTGTATTTTGATCATCTTTGTCTCTTGGGATTCCCCAATTATTTTAAATTAGAACTCCTTTTATTCCTCTGCAATCCAGATATTTTCTCCTGGAACATATACTTCCTTGTACAATTTATCTGGGAATATCTGCTTAAAAGTAATGATGTCATCGTTAACATTAAATTTACTCTTAAAATAAGCAATAATCTTTGCTACAGTTGAGAAAATGTCAATCTCTAATTCGTGTATGGTTTCTTTGAATTTGATTTTCTATTAATTTGTAATTTAGAGTCCCACCTTTATATTTTTAAATATGCCATATTTAGCCCATGCATCTATTCCCAATTGAGTTCCATTTGGTAAATTAACTACTAAGATCTAGCATGAATTGATATTGACAAAATTTTTGATCAAATAGCTTCGAAATTAATTAATAGAAGCAAACGCATCTGCTTCAAATTTTATTTAGCCTAAATGTTAATGTTCACACTCGATGGTGATTTGTTTTGAGAAAACAACTTCCACTTATGAATAATTGTGAATTTAAAGGGCATTAATTGTTAAACTGGAATCCACTACTTCACCCTACACCTTTAAAACAGTCTAGATGCTTTTTCTGATCTCCTAATCCAAATCCAATTTGTTGAAGAGTTATTGCAAAATATTAGTGCCCTTTTGATTAGGTTACACTTCAATTGAATAGGATGTGTTGAGTTGATTTACAATGACATTTATTTTGATCATTTCTTAAATACTTATTTATAATACTTCATTAATATATTTCTACACTAGTGAATTTATAGAATTAAGAAATTAAACATCTCCTCCAAAACATCATTAATAAATAATTAACTTTATGGATAATCAGAAGCACATTATAATATCGCAATTATATTTTATATTAATAGATACATCAAGAATAAAGATAGTAAATTTCATCTTCTTATCTTGCCTTCTCATGAAAAGTAATTTAATTTTTTATTATTTTTATAATAAATCTAATTATTTAGATACAGAATTTATTGATTGTATTCACTACTATAATCATCTTGTCAATATTTGTCTTTACACAAACAACCCTCTTAGAATGGTATTGAAAGTAGAGCAAATCCTTTGCTATGGATGAAAAGGAAATTTCTAGAATAATTTAATATTAAGCCAATTAAGATATACAGTCAATTATTCAATATTCAAGTCATTAAGTCTAAAATATTAAGTTTATCGCATTTTTAACTTGATCAGATCCTTAATTTTTCAATCTTTCAAGATATTGTTTGAACTCCATCTTATAATAATTTTTCACATTTTATTGAAAATTCTATTAATTTGTGCCATCATAATTTTCAATTAATTTCATCATGTAATAAAAATCAATATGATTAGTCTCCTTAGGTTAAAAGAATAGATCTTTCAGTATTTAAGTTTTTAGTTATGCATATTTTAATGATTCTTTGTCTGGGTTTTAATAAGTAGAGAGAATCGAATTCAGAAAAGGGAAAGTCTATTTGCTTAGTTGATTTTTTTGAATTTCATTAGTTGCTTTTTCCAAATAAAGTTTTAATTATTCTGAAAAATACCACAAACTTGTGAATGAATTCAACTCTAATTTTTATAGCTGTAGTAAGTAAACTAAAGCATCTCTAATTTTCTATCGAGTAGCAAATAAACTAGGAGTGTACGAAGTTTCAAAACCTGCAACTTCATCAGAGACTAATGATGACAACTCACTAGAATCAAATAATTTTGTACTTATATTATCTAGTATTCATTTGATTGCAATCTATTTTAGAAGCTATAGATAAGATATGGAGAAACTAATAAACATTTTAAACAGCTCTTGGATTTGTTTGAAGTCTTACTTGATGTTGTGAGGGCTAAAATATTTAATTTTATAATTGTTATGGAAGCTATAATGGTGGTTGTTTGTAATTCTTGTTTTAAATAGCAAAATATGTATGTTTACTAATTAATTCTTAATCTTGGGGTAAAAATACTTTGAATTCCATATACTATAAACATATATTCTTCTCTGTTTTTTGATGAAATTCTATAATTCTCTCAATTAACAACTTCAGTTTTACAGATCGAAGTTGCTCTAGAAATGAAGTCAAATCGTTTATAATTTACTAATTGACCTCAATTGACAAGAGTTTAGTTAATTTACTTTATTAACTAATTAAAAACTCTTTGGAACAATCGCTTTTATATATCAACAATATTTGTCTTAGGATGTTGGAACTTGCTTCGCTTAAGGCTTAAACAAAATTCATGGGTCTCGGAATGGAAACATCTAAAATCAATAATATAGTTTCAAATTATTTTTCATCCAATTAAACCCTGCCATCCAAATTGGTTCGTTAAATGAAAGCTCTTATAATCATTGAAAATAGGTCTTGAAATTCCGGAAAAATATTTAGGATTTGTTTCAATCCTTCGATAACATTCTATTTTTAGGCTTGAATTAATGATTGAATATAAGTATTTAAGATTTCTAGCATTGTAAGATTGTTTTGGGTTCTAGTGATCAAAACGAAACTCAGCAATAATTTCAAATTGGGATCATCTTCTCTAACCAAAAGAAAGTACAGATATTGCGATAGTCTTTGGGAATAAACTTTCATACTTTATTATAACTATTATCCTTTTTGTTAAATTTTCGGATTTTATTATTATTGTTATCCTTCTTGGTCACTCCTCCTGTCCTCTACCAATACATTATGAAAATTTATCAATGATGAAAAATAGAATTTCTTTAAAAACTCTAAAATATTGTTTTGTGATTAATCATAAACAATTTGCTGATTTAATCCGGATAACATCTACTAAATAAAATAACCTTGTGAGTACGTACAGATTGAATAAACTATTAATTTTCAATGGATAACATTTACTACAAGCGAATCTAAATATCCTGATATTCTTATTTTGCTGTTTCAAACTCTACTTACTTTTCAGTATTGTTATACTTTTGTTCTAATTCTTATAATAATTGATTGGATTATTGCTATTTTTCAACAATCAAAAATTAATTCAATTATTTAAGTTGTGACAATCTCATTTCTAATTTCTCAACAGCCATCACTTCTGCATATGTTTTCGCTGTTCTCTCAAGCTGATTATAGAGTAGAATTTTAATCGGTGCTTGAGAATGCTAATTCTAAATCTATTGCTAATTTTTCCTATATAATTATTAATTTATGAACGACATACATCTGTGTATCAATAATTTATTTCATAGTTAACTTCAATATAAAAAATAATAGAAAATGGGAAATTATTTGATTTTGAATTATACCAATTAATTTTTAGAATATAGTATATGATGATTATGGGAATATAATATTTTCTTTTAATACAAATTGTGAGTACTTTTTATTACGTTTTATATTTATATTTATATATAAAATGAATTCTGATTGATTATGTTGCACAATTTAAATAAATTTAAAATAAATCTAATAAAACATTTATTACCCTTTAGGATGAAAAAACTGAATAATTTATAATAAAAGTAAAATATATTATATAACTCGATGTAAACAAAAAATATAGTCACTATACTGATTTTCTTGAACGCGCTCAACATTCGGAATCAAGTTCATCACTCATATCATCCAATCTGAATTCATTTTGACCTTCGCAAGGCTGATCTTCAGGAAGAGAATTCATGTGTCTATACTCACTATATGATAGTTAAATTCAAATTACCTTCCCATAACTTCATCCCATCTATAACGAAGGTATTTGTAATACCTATTCTTGACCATGCTGACACTCTTGCCTGGAAATGATTTTGATATTTTGTAAAATTTGGGTCCTATCTTAAGAACGAGCTCCAAAATTCTCTTATCTTCAATATTGGAGAAAGGATGGGCATTGGATTTGGGTTTCTCCATAACAAGGCACACTTTCAATCCATTTTCTTTTATATGGATAATGGGTTTAGGAGCAGGGCGCTTCTTCTTCTTATGATAAGTGTATTGAATTCGTTTTGGAGGACGTCTCCTTTGAATTGGCAATTTTATCTTTTGAATTTCTTGCTGTTAAGGAGTCGATAAATTCGAATCTGAGATATTTTATATTATTAGCTACCTTAATCAACGCAAGAGCTTGAACCTTGGTCCGACAAAATTAGAGTATTTGGCGAACTCAAAAACCCAAATAACTCAAGTTCTTCCTCAAATTAGTCTAGTTTTTAATCTTCATAAGTATCCACATAGTTTATCATTTATATTATTTTATGATTATTAATGATTTTTTATTTTAATTTTAATTCCAATTTATAGAGTTGAATACCAGTGTTAATGACGAAAGGTAATTTATATTGAAAAATAATTTAACTCATTTGCATCCACTTGCGTTATCAACCTATGTGAATTCTAATATTATTTGAGATATTTAAATCGTATTTATAAAATTGCTAAATCTTTTTAATTTTCTTTGATGGATCCCCATAATGGCTGATTAAGCAGTTTTCATTCATTTTTTGTTTAATTTAATTGAATCAATAAACTTCAATAATTTTCTATAGAAAAGTCTGAAAACTCTCCCATTTCTAAAAATCAAATCAAATAGATGGCTTGATAACAATTCAATAATTTAATTAATGAAATCCAATTAAGTCATCACTCAATATGCAATATTGATGTAATAACTAAATCCCAAAAAAACTGTATATTTTATGTAATATATACTTAAGTTTATTTGGAATTTTATTTATTTTGGTTCAATTTGCATAGCAGTTATTTTTTTATAATTCTTGGGTAGTTCCTTAATACACTCCAACAATTATCAGACCATAGTCCTTTTTATTTCAATTGCATTAATAATTGCTTATAATCCTCAATTAGATCAAATATGAAATCAATATTTTGAATCTAGAAAATAGGTATAAAAATATGTTAATTTTAAAATTCATTGGATCTTGAAATCTAAATTCTATGGACAATTAGAATGTGTTTTTGTATACATAAATAAATTAAATCTTAGGATGTCAGTAATTTGATTAGATTATCAAATTGATATTTAGTACTTCATCGTGTGGGTCTAGTTCTTAATTTATGGATGGATTGAATGTTAATTCATCATTTGATATGATGAATTAAACAAAATATAATAGTATGACATAGCAAATTAATCAAATCTAGCATAATTAAATAATAAATTTATGAGAATTTGCATCATCATTTTCTGTACTTTAGTACTTTTGAACAATGCACAATTTATTGAGACATCCAGATATTATGATGGAAGTAATTGAGAATCACAAATTTATACTAGGTAAGCTCACTGTGAATTTCCAAAACGTAAATCCAGGAGAATATTATAAGAATGTGACAAGTCCAATTTACCCAAATTTCACAGTGGAAGTGACTGAGGATGGAAAGAATCAACTTACTCTCCGTATTCTGAACCCTTTGGATACATTTGAAATACCCCATAAGTTCCCATTCCCATACACAAAATCTGATAGTAGTCATGGAGAATACGATTATTCAGTCAATGAGGATGGAAATTTTTTCTCTGTTTCTAGATATGATGGAGTATTTCTCATTGTAAATATTAGTCCCCTGTCTTTACTATCACTAATGCCACCGTTCTCTCTTTGTTGTATTCTGAATTACATACATAATTGTTATCAGAAGATATTTTCGGATTTGGAGAAAGACGTCTTCATTCATTTAGAATTCCAAAAGGAGAATTTTCAATTTGGAATCACGACTTTTGGGAATTCGATACTCAAGTAGGATTTTCATTATATGGTGCTCACCCAGTTATCCTACAGAAATATAATTCATAGTATCACATAGTGTTGCTCAGATCAAGCAGACCCATGACTTTGGAAAGAACTGATGATGAACTGATCTACAGAGTTACAGGAGGACAACTTGAATTCAAAATATTCATAGGCAGATAGAATCCAAAAGAATTGATCAAATAATATCATCAATATTTGAATGGTTGGGAATTGCATCCATTCTGGTCATCTGGATGGCATCAAAGTAGATGGGGATATGAGAATTCTACAGTACTCAAGAATGTGGTTAGAAACTACAAAGAAGCCAAAATCCCATTAGAAGTTATATGGACTGATTTGGATTACATGGAAGAAAGGAAAGACTTTACTTTGAATGAAGACAATTATCCAAGAGAAGATATTTAGAAAATCACTGACAGAACTAAACCAGATGGAGTTCATTGGGTTCCTATTGTAGATCCTGGGATTGCAGTAGATAGTGACTGTGGAAGAGATTTAGTTAAATCAGGAGCTTACATTAAAAGTAACAGATAAACTAAAACCCCTTATGTTGGTGTAGTGTGGCCTGAGGAGGTCTACTTTACTGATTTCAATCATCCTAAAGCCTATGAATTATGGCATAAATGTCATAAGGATTGGTTCACAAACTATCAAATTGCACCAAGCGGTATTTGGATTGATATGAATGAATTGGCAAATTTCAGAGATGGTGAGTAAGTCAACGGTTCTAAATTGAATGATGAAATATTTGAATTGAAAGATTTACCTTGGGATGCAATGGGAACAGTGACTTTGGAGGGTCATACAATTGCAATTGACGCATTGCATGAAGGAAAAGGAGTCTATTTCAATGGTTCAACAACCTATATTCCCGAATTGGATCTCCATAATTTCAATGGTTTTCTTGAGCAAATTGAATAGAGGAAGTTATTGTAAGCAATTCAGAACAAGACTCTGATCTTTTAATTGAGTAGATCATCAATCTTTGGAAGTGGTAGATTTTCAGCCATTTGGTTTGGAGATAATGGATCTACTTGGGCATGGCTACGTTCATCTGTTTATTAGATGTTTAATTTCAATCTTTTTGGAATTCCATTTGTTGGTGATGACATTTGTGGGTTCAATAAGGATACTACACCTCAACTATGTGCAAGATGGATTCAGTTGGGTGCCTTCTATCCATTTGCTAGAGATCACAATGCCTTTGGGTAAAAGGATTAAGAACCATATCTTTATGAGATCACCAAGATTTCAGCTCAAAAAAGCATCTAACTTAGATACGAGTTCTTAAAATATTATTATTATCTATTCATCTCATAAAGAGACTCAACTCTTTAAGCAGGATCAGGTACTATTGTGGATCCATTGTGGTTCAAATATCAGAGTGATCCTCAGACTTTTAACATCGAAACTCAATTCCAATTGGGAAATATTATTGTGAATCCAGTGGTTGATGAATAAACCGACGAGTCTCTTAATTACACCGAATTACAATTCTATGTTCCTTTGGGTGCCTATTGGGTGTCCTTTGAGAATGGTCAAAGGATTCCGAATGGGTGGAATACCATAAACAGAACTTTCACAGACAATGCATATTTGGCACTTGAAGCAGGATCTGTAATTTAACATAGCAATGCCACCGGAGTCATGAGATTGAGAGAGATGTCATCAGATATCGATTTGATCGTAGTGTTGAATGAAGTATAATAGATTTAGTAATATATTTAGCTAGGATAAGCCAGTGGATCATACATGTCCATCAATAATTACGATGACGAGGAGACCATATTGTAGAGATGTTGGAATGATCAAACCACCTGCATTAGAAACATCTCAGTCAGAACATTTAAGGATTCATTGCAATTCACAAACGCCAAGGCTAAGAATGACAATAGCGAAGAGATCAACATCAAGAACATTATCATTTATAGAAATTAATAGATATTCAGAGTAGAAATCAATGTGTCTTCATTTACCTAAAGTTGGTAAATCAATTTCTGAATATAATTTAAAAATATTGAATGAATAAAAATTGATATCTAAATATTTCAATATTTCCCTTATTCAAATTAAAATAGATCTGCCATCTCTTCATCTTCATCATCAGAACAACTTAATTTTCTCATTTCTTACTTTTCTTCCTGAATTTTAACTTGTTTGAAATTTTCAGCTTTTTTTTTACTGGACTATTCTTCATCACACATCATTTTTTGGGGTGATTTTCGTGGTTGGATTAATTCTTTTTATAATGAAGCTTCTTGGACCTACGGTAATTGTTACTATTTCTTTTCATCTCCTTTTATAAATTATGCGACTTTGTCAAAGAAACTAGGTTGTTATTGTTATTAAGGAGGAGGTTTTTAGACTTTTTCCTTTCTAACTTCCTATTTCTACACTGCTGTTTGTAACTTCAGATTGTGAGCCTAGAAACTAAAATTCTTCTCTTTATTGGCTATATTGTTATTAATAACAGCATTTTTTTAAACATAACCATCCCATTAATCATTGTATGACTATGCTTCCTAATAGTTTCCTTTCTTTGCTATCTAAGCAGTCTTCTATGCCATTCTTTTATGAATAACTTCCACTTCAGCCTCTTCCTCAGCCTCCTTCACATTCTCAGTTGTTGAAACCAACTAAGTGACTACTCTCATAAGTCTGTCACCATGTAAATTTGTGTAATTGACCTTAATCTGGAATGGAACATTCTTTAGATCCTTGATATCAATCTACTCCTTTTGTAATTCCTGATCATTTTTTAATTGATATTCAAATGTTTAGGTGGTAGCAATTGTGGCATTACCAATGTCCCTTTTAAGTTTATTGCTCAGAGTTGGATCATCTTCTCCTCTGAACTTCAAAGCACGATGCAAATTCACAAATAACTGAACTTAAGTTCCTACCAATTCATCCTTCAAAATATTGGCAAAATCCTTTTCAATATCTTCAGGCTTGACTCTGGTGACAGTTCCGTTAGTTTTCTCTGACAAGGCTCCAAGGATGTCCACTTTGCATCCCTCTCCCTTTATGGTGACAACTGAAATCACTACTCCACATTATGAAGCAAACACACCCAAATCCTCATAGAACTATTTATTTGCATCATTGTCCAAAGATCCCAATCCCAAATTGGCTAATCCATCTGTGCATATAATTATCATGGACCCAGGCTTGCCAATCTTAGCTAATTGCAAGGCGGAAATCAAAGCAGGACCCAGAGCAGTCTGACCCTTTTCTTAGAGTTTCTCAAATTTCTTCAAGAGAGTTTCAGCTTGTGCTTTGACTGGATATTTCATGAGTTATTTGGCAGTTCCATTCAATAAATTCTCGATTTCGTCTTATTTAAAGAGTCTGTCTCCTGCAATGGTAATGGGGACTTCAGAGCCATCACCATAAACCACAACTTCATTGTTGAATGTGACCAATCCAACTATTTTATTGGGGTTCTTCTTTTTCAGTTCTCCTATTTGTTATTCGATAGCTGCCATGACACATTATTTCCTGGACACATGAGTAACATGTTTGGTGTTAAATTGTGGCCATACTTAATGTTCGTCTCCAGGTTCGATGAATTATTTGAGCATCTCGTACTCCTCAGCAGATATGCCGTGTTTAAAATTGACCTTGCCTTTGATCTCCACAGTACTCGACATGGAACCACTATTGTCTATACAAAATATGATTGAGTTGTCAGCATCCTCTATTTACATTTATTACTCCTAAGCTGATTAGATGAGGTAAATAGTGTCTTCATTAGTGGGTATTTCCTCTTTCTCTATTTGAACGTAATTCTTATGATTGCAGAACTCACATATCCAAAGTTACTTTCCGAATTATTGATTTTAAACATCATCTTGTATTTTTGAATGTTTATTGAGAACAGTCTCGCATTGTTAACACATAACAGGGTCACCCTAATGTATTTTAACTATGTTGTCCTTCAAACAGTCGAACTTAACTTGGAATATATTTGTATCGACATCATCTAGAGGATAGAATTGATAATTTACATTTGTTATCCACACTCCTTCTTTTCAGATAGGCCTTCTTAGAGCACATTGCCATCATGGTTTTTAAATGAATATTATTTATAAATCTAATGAATGCAGGGTGTACGAATAGATTATATACTACAAATGCCTGATCAATACTATTATTAATAATTATAGATATAAATAATTATGTAAAAGCAGAAGACTCAAACTTACAAAGATTCTCACAACCTGGAGGAGAGAAAGAAACGAGTGTAGGAGCAACTAGCAAAATATCCTGAAATGATTCCCATAATTGTGGAAAAGATCCCAGGTTGTAAATTACCTTAATTGCAAAAAGTGAAGTAACTTTATTTAAATGATTGAATGTAGATTTTTGGTGAACTCTAGTTTCTGCTTCAACGAATTCAAAAATACAATCAAGAAGAAATTGAACTTGGATGAGAAGACTTCCACTCTATTTATGTATTGCGGAAAAACCCTGATGAATGAACGTACATCTTATCATCAATTTAACTAGATGAGAAACTCAAAAAAATCTACGATTAATTCAAGGATCCAGAAGATGGATTCCTCTACTTGCAATATGCAGATGCAGAAACCTTCGGTTTTTGATTTAATAATAATAATCTATATAATAATATATTCAAGCACCCTCCTTTTCATCGATCCTCCTCAAAACGTCCACCTTGGGCACCTCAAAACTCAAGTGAATCGTGTGTTTGTCTAGAATTATCAATACCCACATACCCTCCTCATTATATTTCCCAATCATTTTCTTTAAATTTTATTATCTCCAATTGTTATAATTCTTTAACTATTCCTCGAATTCTCGAATCGACAACCTCAAGTACTGTTATTGCATCTCATTTATCTCCACCTCGTGCTTAGCTACATCATTATCCATTTGTGTTTACAACCCAACTTCTTGTGCATCACTGGCCGAGGTACTATCACTGGCTTCAATTGATTCTGTTTAGACAGCGATTCGTCCTGTTCTGAAACCATTCTCTCCAATTTCTATTACTCCATCATCTTCGGTTCCTCCTACTCTTGACGCTTCAACTCGTATTCCCTTCGCAACATCTTGTGCACCAATCTCTGATAGTAAATTTGATGATCCTGTTGGTATTCCCTCTGATTCTCATTTATCTTAGCCTGTTCCAACTTGCTTAGGAATCTCAAATATTTCATGTAAATGTAATCAGACTAAAGGATATTGACACACACATCTTTACAATCAATTGTTATTGAGGCTGCCGATTCTCAAAGTAACTCTAATTCTTCTTTGGCCTGTTAATCAAAGTGTATTGTTGTATGATCTATCTAACTATTATCAAACATTGTTTACTCTTCATCCAATCCTCCCACTTTTGAAGTCTTGTGCTAATGAGACACTCTATAAAGTAAAAAGTAGTGGAATACTAATCTCACTGTTCGACTCCAATGCAAAAACAACTTAAAAACAGCCTTCTCAAATATAAATTCACATATGTCTTTCTTAAAGTCGACTATTCAATTGTTAAATTCATGTTGTTACTTGGAAACAAGGGATAAATATTGTATATCAGCCAAACGCATTTAGCTATATTGATGGCATGTTCCGAATCGATTATAATCTGTTTGATTCCTTTCAAGAAAAATGGGTAATCGAATTAGGCAGGCATAGTTGTCAATGTAGCAAAACATGTATCCAATATTTCAAATGTTTCTATTACTTGTTCTGCATTATATAAACTTATTAATACATAAATTACTTTGTTTTATTGAATAACAAACTCACTACGATTCCCAGTAAATTCTGATTCTGAAGCAAACTCTTCAGAACCATCTTCATAGCATCTGGGACTGATTCCTACTATTTCAATTCACACATGAACGACTTAACCAATATTCTATAACCTGGAATATCTTACCAAGGCAGTATTTTCACTTACAAAATATTCCTAACATACTTAGCCCATTCCTCTACAAAAAAACTAAAATTTATAGATCTGTGTCTGATGTGTTCCTTCCAGCTCTCATCATCTAAGATTTAATTCAAAGTCGATTGATTTTATATTCCTTTGCTCTTATCAGACAAATAAGTATGAAAGTAGTTCTGCCAATCAAATATTTAATTATTGGTTTTTGTACTTTTATCTATATTAGTTGGATCATCCTCCTGTATGAATTCAGTTCCTCTTAATTCAAACAACTGTGGATCATCGGCTTTGATAATTAACTCAAGGAATTTGGCTCTGAACTCTGGAATTCGAAAATAGCTAATTACTAAAAATTTGATGAACAATTATCTTGCTTGTTGACTGGGATCCTTTTGATACAATTTTTAGAGAGTGAATCGAAGTGTATTGACCAAAAAGGTTTGATATTCTAAACCAACCTCTGTTTTGAATTCAGATTGCTTCTTACTTAGAGCCTTAAAGAATCCCAATTATGATAACATCAGTTCTCCTCTATTTAGTACTTGATTTAAGCATTCAAAGTATGAATTGAATGATGCCAAAGTCTTCGAATAATCCACTAAGTGAATGGACAATTGAATCAACAATTACTAGGCTTTCATTAAGTCATCCTCTGATTTGTATTGAAATGTTTTTATGTTGGTTCCATGTGATTATCCAAGTAATTGTGCCAACTTGTTCAGTTATTGATCCATATCCTGACGTACCTTTAATTTGTCTTCAACATTTAGAGTCTTGTGTTCAATCTTAAAGATGGAACTTGATAGTTTCTGAAACTCAATTTAAATCATCTTAATCTCTGTAACACTAATATTTTCCACATTCCCTACTACAGATGCAGTCGAGACTATCCCCTTCTCAGTTTGCACACCAAATGACGATTATTACAAATAATTTGGTAATTTAACATTGATTTCATAATCTATCTTACCTACTTCAACACCATGATACCAAATTGATTTTGCCTATTGGCTGTTAATAACAATGAACTTAGCTCCCAAATCAGCTACTAAGTTATTTTCTAAATGCTATAAATTAATATAAGTTTCTGCAACCAGATGATGATCCTAGATTTCCAGATCCAGATATTCTGAGTCATGCTTATTCTAAGTCTTTTTTATAGTAGTCTTATGAGGAGACTTGCTGTTCCCCATATTATTCTAATTTGAAGATATTGACCACAAACATAATTGAATAGCAGAACCCTAAAATTCCGAAATTGGTAATTCTACTATCAAAGTGAGTTCATCTCCAGAGTGATCCCACTCTATCCTGTGATAAGGTTGTGAGGCAGGTACTTACCCTTTATTTTATGGCGTAGCTGCAATAATCGAGTCGAGAGAATGATTAAAGTTTTGGCTGCTAGACGGTGTTTTCGGTAATGATATAATGGAATCTCTCAAAGCATCTTAATCTAAAATGCTCTTACGACTTGAAGACATTACAGTCCTCTACTTTTCATTTTGTTTTCGATAATTTGGATTCACAAATGTAGTCGAGTGTTCAGAGATGAATGAGAACTACGAAGTCTTTTGTATTTAAGTTGATATTCATACCACCAAACGCAAATTATAATTATATCTAACATCGCTCAGACTTTAGTTTAATTCCCATATAATGTACTTACTCTAGAGAGTTGCCTACACAATCTAATTCATTTTCAAATCAAAAGTGACATTGCCCGCATGTTGTCCTCTGATTGGTAATTGAAAGTGAAATGGACCTACTGCTGCCTCAAACAAATTGATTGTCGCAGATCCAATCACTTAAGAGTCCATCACTGAGATTTTCATATTGGATTCTCGCATCAACTACTCACTCATCTTTAAGGTACCATCGAAACTAGCTCGCCACTTCCTTCTATGAATTTAATACATAATGTTCTCCATTGTTATCTATATGCACAGGCGATGTGTACTTGCACTACCCAAAATCGAATTGAATGGAGCATTGTCTGACTCCACTCATTTTTAAAGTAATGTTCTTCAGCAACACCTTAATCTGTAACTCTCCACTGGTTGTTATTGGTTGGTTCAGCTTGTGAACTTAGTCTTCCTAAGTTTTAGACCTCCCTTAACATATGCCCATCTTGTAATATAAATCGTATTAATATAATTAATGTTCACTATATTTTAAGATCAAAAAAAGGTTAGGTAACACAGGATTTGTATTACATTATTACTTATATATCATTTGTTAAATTATAATTTATTATTTATTTTTTGGTTCATTTATTATAACTTTTATATTGATCCTTTTTTCACTTTTTACTCTATCATATGGCTAATGACTATCGAAATTGTAAGAAAATACTCTGTGATCTTTGCTATTAAATTAGACTTCACTTATTAATACGAGTTTGAAAGAGAATTTTTGATGAATTAATTTCTTGGCTCTGCTAATTATGATGATCATTTAAGTATTGTTTTTTCAATTACCTAATATCCATAATTCATCTAGAGTATTAATTATTTTGATGCTATATAAATCGTTAAAAAATATTATCTTCTCCAACTCAATTGGGTATAATGATTGATCATATAAATAGTTATTAATATTTCAAATAAGCAAATTGATAAGAGTTTATTTATTGAAGAGTTTATTTTTATGTAATGTTTAATCAAATTATGGCATGTTATTATTTCTTATCTTTTAATAATTAAAATTGATTTTAGATATAGATTTAGATTTCAATCATTCATCTATTTCTTAATTATTCCCTCCCCTAAATCCTTTATTTTCTTAATTCATATAAACTGCTTAATCTGGATTCAAAATATCTAAAGTATATACATTGATTATAAATAACAAGTAATGCAATAATGGCAACCTAAAAATAAAAACAAAAAGAAATTCCAAGTCTCCATTTCATTATGGATTGATTAATATCAAAGTGTCCATTTTTATACTAATTCTAGTTAATAAAATGGTAAAGTTGGAAAATTAGCAAAAATATGAATATTATCAGGTTGCCTCAATGAATAATCACGAGATGATTATGAATTAAGGAAGCACATAATTATATAAGTATAATATAATATTTCAGGGTATAATTGCATAATCAATGAAATCTCATCGTGGAGTGATTTATACAAATATCATCATATGTAGTAGTTATATATCATATCAGAGTGGTGATGCAAATTGAATCAATATAGCTTATATTAAATATAAGTTAATTCATGAGCCGATTGATTTTCATCACAAATATTTAATTTTAATAATGATATTAATTATTTATTTTATTATAATATGAAACACACAATCACCCCAGTATTCTAATTTTCTAATTGATAATGCCTTAAGCATCCTTGATAGCAACATCGATACTTTCAATTTCCCAATCATTAGTTTTTTTATTCTTCTTCCCCTTGACATAACAAACCCCTGCCTTCTACCCATACATGTCAGTCTCAAACTCAGCCAAGTCCCTTATCTGTCCCCCTCTCAATTGTTGATTGAATTGAATATTCTGACCAAACAACTTCTTGATTTAAGGATTAGTCTGTATAATAATTAATGATTGTCTATGAATTTGAGTGTTCAACACACTCAATCGCTAACCAATATAAATATATCATACTCTATTTGCCTTCACATAATTGTAAATGGCCATAGCTCCAATGATGGTGCTAATAATAGTGATATTTCTAACCCCACCCACTTTCCTATACAACTCTTATTGTCTATATCTTCTAGCCTCTTCTATTTCTTATTCAGTAGTAGGCACTTTTGGTTTGCGAGCATCTATTTCCAACTTTAGATCATAGAGAGTTCTACGATCAGTAACTAGAGGCGGAGTCATTGCCTAAGCCACATCCTTTTTCAACACTTGATTTGAATCAACCAGAACTATTCTGAAATCCCCTTGCAATCCAATGTCAGCAACCAGATGGTCAATCTTCCATAATCTCACATCTGGAGTCAGTTTCCAATTTTACAATGCTTCCACATCTTTATTATACTTCATTACATCTGTCATTTATTTTGAGGATGGAATATAATATTATGTCTTGTTTTGTATTTCCTGTAATTCCCTTGATTGTCCCATTAACTCCACTTTTGCAGCACCTTTAGGACCAACAACCTGAAATGAAAATTAACACACATCATTGTTTTGTGTTGCATTGCTACCCATATTTATCTAAAGTGATAATGGATATCCTGCCAATTGGACTATCTAATCATTATGTTGCAGTATTCTCAATGCTTCCTACACAATCGGATGATCGTATTTCTGTTTATGCAAGTAACTTGTACCAAAATAACCCACACCAGAAAATCCTAGAAAGCATAAAAGGAAGTTTGGACCAGACCTAAATGGAAATGAATTCTTTAATTTATTAAACATTATTTATAATTTTTATAAAATATTCAATCAATCCAGCTATTCCCTTAAAATTGTTAATTAAGTATTGATTATCTTTAACTTTGGAACATGAGAATTTAGATTATTTTTGTCAACATATTTATGATACCTAAATTTAAATTTATGAGCCACTTCAATGGATTGTTATAATAATAGAACTGCAAAAATAACTTTTAGAATTAGCAGAAATTAGAGGTTTATTAATAAAATAAATAAACAAATACTTATGTTTGATTTCGGATTTCATGATTGGTACAATCCTCAGTAACTAAGATGCAGGGGACTTATTCATTATGGAAATAGATTTGAGAAGCTTGAAAATTTGTATTTCATTCCTCTTACTAATCCTGATGGAGATTAACTTCATATATTATGTGAGAAATGTAGTAAAACCGAGCGAACTTAAAGAATTAGTGTACAATCGACATACACTTTTGCAATATCGTGGTTTAAGCAATTTGAATTACATTATTTGGGGTATTTGACCAATAATACTTTACTCACAAAAAGGTAAGAAAATGAAATTTAAAAGAGAGAATTCTAGGAGAAGTTATTATTATTGTCATCTTGTATCAATGACTTAAATCATAACAAAATCGACTCCTTTTTATAAACTGTATGGAATTCTAAAATGATCTAAAATAAAATAATTGACCAATCTTATGAACAATAAGCATTTTTGGCTTATGTAAAATAGCAAAGCAATCAACTGTTCGCTTTGGCTTCCAGACACTTTTATAATATCTTTCTAAAAGCAGATGCCAAACTCAAAAGTTAAGATGAGAGTGCTATTGTACAAATTGAAGTTTCAAAAGACTTCGTAATTTTATTGGAAAATTCTTTACTAGTTAATAAACAATCAATAATTTCTGTCTATCTCTATCCCAGTTTAGAGTATGTTGATTCCACTAAGCATGAAAACTTAAATGTTAAAGAAATAGTGATAAAAACAAGTGTGTTATCTAATCTATTAGTAATTCAACACAAAAATTAATTGAGGGTAAATGAGATTTCTGTTAAAACTGGAAAAAAAGAGGAATACACACTTTAATTTCTTCTTAATTATTAATATCGTCACAATTGTGAAATTATAGACTCTATTATAGAGGATAATAGAATAATCTTTATTGATCAAACCTATAAACTATTTGCTTTAAATCCCTAAACGAAAGAAATTTAATTCCTAACTAAGAAGCTGTAAGGTCTTTAAAAGGCTAATTAAACACTGGTGGCTCTCTTTCATTTTTATAAAGAGCTTCTGATTATTGAATTATGCAATAAAGTACTTACTATGTCATTAAAAAATTGTAAATTCTAGAAATCTAGTTAAATTGTAGAAGAAAAAACTTTGGCTGTGTCTCATTTTTGTAAGTCTAACAAGATCAAGTACTAGGTTCTACAAAAATATGAAAATACTGAAGGCATTTTTAAAAATGAGATAGTGGCATGTAGTTTTTAATGCAATAAACAATTGAGAAGATTAAAATTAAGAAATTCTACAAAGCAAGGCAATATCAAGTTGTCACTAAAAAAGGACTTAAGAACTTTAATTCTGCTATCTAATGAATACATTTCAGTGTATGATATGTAGAAGGGTGTTCTGGTATTTTGCTTGCCATTTGCTTAAAAGTTTAATGCTAACAATTACGATTTTTAGGGGTACTTTTTAGTTCAAAATTAAGAGAGTAGGGCTTTGATTTGGAAATAAGAAAAACTATTTGAAAGAGACATTAGATTATTTTTCAAAAGACTTTGATATTAAAATCTTAAAATTAGAATATATAATCATATTATATATATATTTTTAATAGTGAAAATTTATTAATACTTAGTCTTATGAAATTTGCAGATAAATTAATATAATAATAAAATCCTCCAGCACAGGTTCACAGGATACTGAAAATTGGAGACAAGGACTACTAGAAATTATCTTAATATGCTTAGCCGATTTAGATGATGTCTCAGAGAATGAAATAGATAATCTAATGTCTAAAAATGACAGCTGCTCAAGAAAATGCCGTAAGTTTGTCTTGCCCGTAGATCGGGTACAATTATTCAATTTTTGTTATGTTGAGAAATGTGAAAATGAACCAATGGTGTTACAATAATATATCAGTGTCGGATTATGCGACCTTCATAAATCCTTAGAAGTTGAGGCAAAGCAAATTCACGTAGGTGGAATGGGAGGAGTGTCCTTCATTTCCTTTTTTGATGGGGAAGGTGGAGAGGCCTTACAAAATCGAATATCAATTTATTAATGAAAAGTTTAAATTAATTAAACATTCTCGGAGGTATAATTGGTATTGTATTACAATAGTGGTTTTGAGGCTCGAGTGATTTAACATGAGATGGATCATTTGGAGGGGATCACGTTGGACAGACCCGATAAGATGTTGTTGGAATCGAAGAGGGAGAGTTTCAAGTGTGACGATATCAATTTTGAGGGGTTGTAAGAGCAGTTGGCTGATTTAGAATTGGCTTCTATGAAGATGAAATTAGATTAATTTAAAAGTAATAAATGAATTTAAATGAATTTAATGATTTTAATTTTTATCATATCTTGGAGATATCTTAGGGTGTATCTTAGAAAGTAGAGATGAAAACCAAAAGTACTCCCCTAGCAATATAGTTGAGGAATCTGGTGGAGAAAATGATTCTTGACATGTGATTGGGTGTTAATTCTTTGAGTAGAGTATTGAGATCTAGAATTTGATTGGTCGATTAATCCAACAAAGGAATTTTGAGAGTGTTTAAAATTGAACTGAATTATCTATTCTGATTATTAAATTAAACTCAAAATGTCATCAGGAGGAAAAGGAAAAGCAGGTAAAGGAGGAAAGGCAGCTGGAGCTCACAAATCAGTTTCCAGATCTCACAAGGCTGGTTTATAATTCCCAGTCGGAAGAGTGTCAAGATATTTGAAATAAGGAAGATACACAGAGAGAGTTGGTGCTGGTGCTCCAGTCTATTTGTCAGCCGTCCTTGAATATTTGGCTGCTGAAGTTTTGGAACTCGCTGGAAATGCTGCTAAAGATAACAAGAAGAACAGAATCAACCCAAGACACATTCTCTTAGCCATCAGAAATGATGATGAATTGAACAAATTGATGGCCAATACTACCATTGCTGATGGAGGTGTCTTACCCAACATTCACCCACATTTGTATTCAGCTAAGGAGGACCCAAGCCAAGCTGTTTGATTTAATTTTATTTAGTCAAATAATTAATATGAATATTGATAATATCAATCTGGGCTACTTTCAAGGAGATCACTCCTCAACATGTACTTATTGTCACAAAGGGAAATCGTATTCCCAAGGATTTTCGACAAGTAATTATAGTAATCGTATAACCCACAAGATAAGTTGTATCCCTCCACATATCAATCCATGATGGATAGAGGATGGAGAAGGTGTGGCACTTATTATTACAAATACAATTTCGCATAGAATTGCTGTCTCTCTTACACGATCAGAGCCAACGCTCTCTTGTCCTAGCAGAAAAAAGGGTAAAGGAAGATAGCCAAAACATTTTTAAAGGTTGTTCAATCCGATTTACTTAAAAATAAACTGGAATCATTGAAACCAGCCATCCAACAAATAAGCAACAATCTAAAGAAGCAACAAGAATAAAAACAATCAAACAAATAGCCATAATAATTAAAACAGAAGGTTGAGCCTAAATAAAAAGTAGTAGAACAAAAATAGAAACCCCAAAAGGTATCAGAAGAGATAGTCTAATCATTGAAATTACACTTTAAATAATTCCAAGAATTGATAGCACAAAAAGTACCTGAAGTGATTCAATTGTTTAAAGAGTATTTTGAAACCAAGGGATTTAAAATTGAAGATGTTCAATCCATATTCCAAGTTAATCTCAATATTGATACAGTTCAAATATTCCCATCTAAAGTGGATAGCAAAGGAGACTATTACAGCAATTTTATGATGCTCTTATATGGTCTGAATAAGAAATTGCTATTCTAAGATTTCCCTGTCACTAAATTTGCCTTACAATTTATCCCCTTTGTTTAGAAGTATTTCATTAGCAATCAATTCTAATTTGTTTAAGAACCAACTGGGTTTTTGTCAGTATTCACAAAAGAAAACTAATAAAAGGCTGATGTCCATTTATAGAAAATTGAAAAATAAGTGGTTTAGGAAAAGTAGAAGATCATCATTGAGTAAAACATTGTGAACCAATAAAAATGTATGTATACCTATAAACCATCAAATAGAAAACATAAAATTAATAGATGCTGAGACATTTAAATCAAATTCGTTTTAGATAGGAAACATGAAGGTCTTGTTGAAGCCAGCAGAATGCACAGATGAGAACTTTTAATTGTATTAGAGATATTGTAAGGAAATTCATGGGAGTGCCAAGGAAAGTAAGGATGGGTATTCGTCATTTTTATGTGAATAAGGGTTGGATTAGAAGAAATTCATATAATCGTAAATTGATAAAAGTAAGATCCTGTTTATGGGCTGCTTTCATATGAGGTATTACGTAGGGGACATATTGGTGGCAGTTGGAGTCGTAGATATCACTGAGACAGCTTTGAGTTCGGTGTATTTCTTCTATGATCCAATATTTGAGGAATTCAATTTCGGAACCTTGGGAGCTCTCGTTGAGATTGAGTATGTGAAATTGATGAATCAGCACTTCCCAGATTTCAAGTATTACTATTTGGGATTTTACTTATAAAATACCAATAAGATGTCATACAAAGGGGATTTTGAGCCATGTGAATTGTTGTGTCCAGAAACATACACTTGGGTAGAATTGACAAAGGAGTTGAGAGCAGAAATTGATAGGAGATAAGCCTAAGCGATCAATTAAAGACGGTTGGGAATCAGTAAATAAAATGTGGGAGTTATTGATGATATGAAATTGAATGACAAATCATTTTATGGATAGGTTCAGGTATCGATGAGGGGGAAGGTGATGAAATTGTCAGCGTTGAATTTCAATATGACTAAACTGAATAATTATTTGGATAATGCTTTCAGTAGATTTGGAAGGTAATTGATGGAGAAATTGATATTTGAGTTATGATATTGCAATAAATATTTATATTTATATATAATAAATGCAGGAGAAAATCATTTAGGAAAGCTATTCTTATTTGCATGACTTGAATAGTAAAGTGAGCAACAGTAATAAATTGGTATAAGAATGCAATTATCAATAAGGTCGGTATCTACAAGGGGTTCATACGAAACATCCATTAATCATTTTGTACTCTCTCAATGTAATTAACTGAATACTCGGAGTAATTTTATTTGGAGTTGGCATAAACTTAGGAAGAAAATGAGTTGAATCTCTTCTATTATAATCAATTGTCCAACGCCATCATTAATTTTGCTCACAATCTAGATGAATTGACGAGTGAAATGAAATAAGGCATTTTGGAACCTTACGAGGAATTCACCCAAAATTACAACTAAATCAACAACGAATTAGTCACTAAGGGTCAGGAATTCTTGAAGCAAGTTGAAAAGCAAAGAGAAGCTCTGTTTCTCAAACAACATGACTATTTAAAAACAGCTTATGATTTGGAAAAGAAGAAAAAATCGAAAACCTTGAAGTTGAAAGCAGACGAGTTATTTGTTGATTATCGATAGGAATTGGCTAATGTAAATTAATTATGGGATGTTTTCAACGACAAATTTAAAAAATCATTTGACGAATACGATTCAAATGAATTGGGTAGAACCTCTATTACAGAAGCCACTTCAGAAAAGATATTACAACACATTTCCAAGATCACAAATACCTTGAATGCGAGATTGTTGCAATAGTTGCAGTAATCCAATGACAAATTACATTTGATTCAAAACAAGTATCATATGGAAAAGTTGCCCATCCTGAAGACCATTATGAAGAATAGGAAGTTTAACATCTTCAAGGTGACAAAGCAAGACAACTTCATTACTTATGATGATTGGAAAGCCAATATGGATTCTCATGATAAGTTTGATCCTGCCAATCTACAGAAATTCAAGTTGTCCTAGCAACTCGTCTAACAAATCAATCAGTTGACTGATGTTATACAATCTATATGCAATAACACGTACTCAACTGCTCTTGGACAATATGATTATGAAACCTTATTTCAACATGCTGACACTAGGATTAAATTGCTGGATAATATCGTTGATATTATTGATAAAGCACCTACAGATACAATAACAATTAATCAATAAGCTAATGATCTCTTAGTGTTGATTGCCAGAAACTTAATTATCAGTAAATTTATTCATATTTATTATTGTATATAGACTTGTAAAAAGATCAAGCTTTTAATGTTATGGAATTCAATGCTTTATTAAACTTCATTACTCAATTTGGAATGAGAGAAAAAAATCAATTTATAACTGTAGGATCATAGGCAACTGAAAAAACCTCATTATTTTACGTCAAAAATAATTGGTAATAATTATTATTGTTTTTAAATGAGAAGGAGAATCTTGAAAATAATTCAAACAAACAATAAAACAATAAGAAAAAAAATAAACCCAAGAAAAATGAAATCTTGAATTTCCTCTATTAGAAGAAACGAATCATCAAGGAACAAATGACACAAGAATAAAAACTCAATTACCTTAAGGTCCTCTTAAATCTATAAAAAATCTGTTCCATGATGCTCAAACTTGATATTAAAATCGATTATGCAAGTGAAACTATTATAGTGTTAGCCAAGATGTGCAATATTAAAGTGCAAGACATCGTATTATTACTGGAATAATTTGAATCCATTAAAATTTACATGGAATAAATTCAACCATAATCACCAAAAACCCAATAAATGATTTTGGAAAAAAAGAGACTATTTTACATCTTTAAGAAGTGTCTTAAATATTTGCCATTATAGGATCAATTGAATATAACTTTTGTCAATAAGGAATTTTCCACTTTAAACACTAAAGTTAAACAGCATTATTTGTGTTTTAACAACCTTAGCGAAAGATTATCAATGAAAAGAAAGTTGCTATGGACAAGTTTGCTATAACCAGATTCAGTGCAACTTGACTATTATAAACTAAAAGAGAAATATTCAAAGTCAGCTGGATCTAAGGAAGCATCTTTGGAACAATAAATTGCTTAGGATGTGTAGAGATCATTCAATAGTGTTGGATTACAAAGCAAAATTAATCATCTTACTTTACACAATTTACTCAAATTATATGCTTATTACAATAACACTGTCTCATATACTTAAGGAATGAATTTTGTTATGGGATTCATATTCATGATCATGGTTGATGAAGAACTGACTTTCCGTTGTTTCTCTGCACTCATCAACTAGTTGTTAAAGGATGTCCTCCTATATGATCTAAAGTACATTAGAGTGTTCTTTTACAAATTGGATCGTTTGTTAGCCATATTCATGCCCAAAATCCATTTACATCTCAAAGAAGAGAAAATCGAAGCAGGCCATTATTCTGCTCCTTGGTTTATTACTCTATTTACTGGGTCATTCATGAAGAATGAGTTTTCCACAGTGCTCTTTGATATTTGGGACCTGTTATTGAGCAGAGGATGGTGTGGATACTATCAAATATTATTGGGTATCTTTGAAACCTACGAGGAGAAAATCCTATCAATGAAATTTGACAATTTATTGCAATTCTTAAACAATCTAACCAAAGCTGAGTTTTTTACTTAGAATACAGATGTATAAATATAAGTTATTGATAGGAAATAGCATCTTTGAAGACTCTAAAATATAGAGCCTTGAAATTTAAAGTGACAAATAAATTAATTGCAGAATTGGATAAGGAGTACTATTTGGTCAGACAAAAAATCAATAATCTGATGAACTCATGAATTAATATAAATTATATTGTTAAATATATTAAATAAACTCTTCCTGTGTTTGTTCATTTTTGAACAGACTTTAGCTGCCATTTCTAGAAATCAAGTTTACTAAATATAGAAGACCATTTGTATTAACTATCGAAAAAAATATTAAAAAATGAATGGAAACTCCTTTATGGAAAAATGTGAATTGATTCCAAATAATCATACCTCTAATTTGATTTATTCATTGAAACCATTCATATTCTTTTAAATTATAAATGTATTCAAACTAGAATTTTCATTATTTGAGTCTAAATGAAAGGAAATTTACTTAAGTTATATAAGGGTTTTGATAACGTTAGAAACCTTCTTATTGGATAACATTTGCAAATATTTGTCTAAGAAAATGATGACATAAACAAAAATAATAGAATGGTTAATTTTTTTATATTTAAAAACAAACTTGATTTGAGATTGAATAAAAATTTAAAATAATAAATTTTAAATTCATAATGTATCTATGGATGATTAAATTACTTCAATGGATTTAATAGTACTATGAAATAGTGGTCATTGCAGTTGGTTAGTTTGCAGACTATCTAGTTCATAATATAAATAAAGCCTGAAGATCATTCACTAGAATTAACATATAGTAGATTCTAAGGATATCATATTTCATTTAATATGACTAACTTCATTAAAATAACGACTGCAATAGGATATAAAAAAGTATGGGTAACTATGGAGAGATCAATTATTTTTTATATTAATCGAAAAAATTATGCATGATAATAGCAAAATAGTCAGTTGGCGTCAACATTGATCATGAGGAGGAAAGAGTATTTAGTGGGTTGAAGGATTTGATATTTAGAATAACTTATGCAGAGAGGAAGGATATGATAAATGATTTTTAATATATAAAGGTTATATAAATAGATGTAAGTGATTATAGATATTGTGATAATAAATATATTTGATCAAGATCTTTTCTTTTTGAATGGGTTTTCATGAGTCATTTCAAAATAATTATCCACAAATTTAGTGATTTCACATTGTTGATTTGCAAAATTCTTAGTTGGTTTATAGACATTCTAAAATATATTATGAAAATTTACTAATTAGTTGGCAAACCACCCTATTTCTTGGTTTTGTGTCATTGGGAAATTGTATTTTTATCTTGGAATTTGATTTCTCAACTCTAAAGTCTTTTCTAATTTCTGATTTGAAAATGCTTCTTCAACAGGATCATCTGTATATGGATTTCCAAAGATGTCATTATCCTTTTCCTTTCTAGATGACTAATGTGATTGAGGTTCTTGCAATTTCATTATGATATATACTTATATGATTGGGTTTTTCAGCCAAAATGACAACTGAAATGGATAACAATTAATAAATACCTCTATTGGGATTCAATTAAAAATGTTCAGTTCTATTCTTATCAAAGAATTTCATCTCGTTTCTTATGTTTTCACTAAACACAATGTCCTTATTCACCACTTGACCAGGGTCTGGTTGTTTCAGTTATCTCTTTTATGCCATTAATTTATTAAATATATGAATATATAGCTTTTACTACTCATTACTAATAACCAAAACAAATGGTGCACAATTCATTTATTAAATAATGATAATTCTCTTATTTTTGTATCATATCATGTATATTCATTTTATACCAATATTCAAAGAACAGTTATTTGTTCAAATACCTAATAATTGGTTTTACATATAAGTCATTTAATTTAAAGAGAATGAAATGAGAATCTATTTTAAATCAAATAATTCAATCGGTTATTCAGAGTAGTTCTTACAAATTTGAATTCTCATCAAAATAGATATATCCTTAATATTTCAAAGTAGAAAGAATTAAATAATTTGATCATAATTCTACCTACTGATAGTCAATTCATTAAATCAAAATAATATGAATACCTCATCAATGAGTTAATGTTTTTCAATTAATAATATCCTTTAAAATATACAATTTGAAATCAAATAGATTACTTATATCCAATTTGATGGCAGAGTGAATTGTAATGAAATTTATCACTCAGGTATTAATTTTCAAAATATTTTAGATGATAAGAAAAGATAATTATGAAAAAGGAGAAATCATTGTAACTCACTGTGTATATATAGGATATATTAATGAATGATAGGAAATACAGGCTATGAATACTTGAACCTGATCATGATTTCAGTATACAATAACTAGTTTTAAAACAGGAATGGGATTATGAGAATTAATAAAATTGTTGTAATTTTGATAACTAATCATAATTCGAATGAGTCATGTTTAATTCTAACTTTACTTTCACTCTGGGTTAAGGGCAGAATCCAATAGATATATTCAGAGCCAAAGAGTTCTTTAAAATTGTCAATTACCTTTGACTTTGAAAATGGATTGTCTGTTTTCATTTCTTCGATGTGGAATTCAACGGTTGTTACATTTTTGGCAATATGATACAGATGAAATGCTAGAAGTGTTCCCATGGAGAGGCAAAGGAGGAAGGAAGTTAGTACACACATTTGACAAAGGAATTTTGAATCTCCTTTGAGTTGGGTGTCACCAAGGAGTTCGATTGTGATGAAGATGACACATTGGGACATGCACAGTAATGCATAGATAATGAATTGGCAAAAGAATCTGTGATTCTTCTATCCTATGCAATTGTTGACCCAGGGACAATGATGATCCTATTTAAGTTGTTGTGTAATACCATTCTGAGAATGCATTTATTACATTCTTTGCAATGATGGGTTCTGGGTTATTTGACATTTTTGCATTTGAAACAATAGGAATCAAGTTGCATGGCTTAAATGATGTCACTAGATAAATGATATGATATGGGGAGTACAATAATTCATCTTCTTCATCGATGGCCAATTCGTATTTCTTCATTAGTTTTTGTTTTCGTTTTTTTTGGATGATTTCTGAGTGTTTTTTGGTTCTGCTCTTGATTTCTTCGAGAGTATGTTCTTGGTAATTTTTGGCCTAAGATTAGGGGGGGATGCGAATACCAAATCAGGAGAGGGATGTCCTGGGGATTGGATTTGTGCTTGGATGTAGGCCCAATGAATCATGAAGTAGATGAGTGTAAATTCAATCCCAATGATGATTGTGGATCCACTATTCTATATTAATGATAAATATAATACATTGCTGTATCTATAAGGTAAATAATGAAATACAAATACATAATACTCACTCAAGATGATGCCATAGACAAAGATCACAGACAAGATGCCTTTTGGGTTTTAAAATTTCATAAAATTAATAATTAAAATGGACCCCAAATAAAGAAAAGATCGTTCAACATCAAGGGATAAAAAGAAAACAAATAAAAAATAAACTCAATATAGTTATGGATAGCTGAAGTAAGTATTTGTATAGACTATAAGATTTGGGGAAGTACAGAGTAAGACAAAAAAAATATCATTAAAAACATTCTTTGGAAACCCTGAATTTGAAATCTTTTGTTTGAGATTCGATTTCGAGGATCAACTCATAGCAGCTGGATGTTCGGATGGAACAGTCAAGGTTTTTAACATAGTGTCTGGTATAAAGAAAGCAGAAATATTTAAGGGAAATTGGCATTCAATTTGCAGGGATCTTCAGAAGGAGCCAGTCCAACAACTGCAATTAGATGGAGGAGAGATGTAGCCAATAAAGCCAAAAGCGTGTTTTTATCAGCGAATTCTGATGGCTCCCTAATGATGTGGCAGGCTCAAACGGGAAAGCAATTATTCAGAACAGTCGAATAGGGCAATCAATTATTGGCCTTAGATATAAGATCAGACGGAGATCAATTTGCTACTGCCGGCAAAGATTTTAAAGTGAGTATTTGAGAGTGATTATAATAGATACGTGTTTACGACGATGAAAAGAAAGAAGTGATCCACACTTTTGACAAGGCTGATTAGTAAGATTTCATTATTTACACAAGCAATCAACCAGGACATCAGAACAGAATCTTTGCTCTCAAGTATTTGGAAGAAACACCCAACATTCTACTCTCTGGTGGATGGGATGGTAATCTCTTGATCTGGGATCTTAGAGATCACAAATCTATCGGAACTATCTATGGTCCTAATCTTTCTGGGGATAGTTTAGATTTTAGGTATCCACATTTACATTCTATATCTAGAAATGGTTAAATCTTGACGGGCTCTTATAGAACAAACAACTAAATGCAATTGTGGGATTTTGGTACCAGGCAACTAATCTAAGAGATACCATGGGATAAAAATAATACCAACAGTGATTTCTATGTCTATTCTTGTCAATTCAGTAAAATAAATGGAGACACCATCTTGGCTGGTAGCAGTGGTCGATAAGAATTAAAGTTGTTCGATATTAATAATCAATATTAAACATGCGGTTACATCCAGGACTTATAAGAAGGTATCAATAATCTCAAATATTCGCATAGGAGTTTACTGTGTGGATTACGGAAATAAGAGTAACAAATTTGCTTTCGGTGGAGGAGAAGGAGTGGTCTACATATGTTCATTGACCAATTCAAAGTGATGAATAAATAATAATATATATAAAATAATGGACCCTTAATAATTAATTGATAATTTAAACGATATCTTACTGAGCGATTACTTTAGGTACATTGAAGTCTTGGGAAGAGGCAGTTTTGGAATTGTGGTTGCAGCCTACAGTTAATAGTTAGATAAAGTGGTGGCTATCAAAGTATTGCCTTTTAAAACACTAGATTACGCCCTATTTTGAACAGGAGAATGAGTCATCGCTTTTGTAAGAGAGTTCTCATCCAAATATTGTCAAATTGTACAAGGTTAGAATTTCTCCTTATACTCCTTAAGGTTCTGGTTGCTTATAATTTTATCTACCTCATCATGGAAAGACTAATTGGAACTACGCTAGATGTTGTCTTGAAGGAACAAACACTTGACGAATTCCAAATTAGAAACATTATGCTCTAAGTCTTAAATGCTTTGGCCTTCATACATCGCAAAGGAATCATACATAGAGATCTCAAGCCTGGTATTTTGTCAAACTAAAATTAGAAAACATCTTTATTTCTAATGGCAATCATGTGAAATTGATAGATCTAGGCCTAGGATACTAGATTGTGTGCAGAGGCATCATCGGCTAGCAAGTTGGAACTCCATATTATATTGCACCTGAACTCATAAATGGTTGTGAATAAACGCAAGTATTTTATACTATTTAAATAAGGCGCTTGATATCTTCTCTCTTGGAGTAATATTTTACCAGATGCTGTGCAACAACAAGCACCCTATCTGGACTGAAGGGCAAACCAAAAAAGAATATTACCATACTCTTTCTCGAGAATTTCATATCACCTATCCCCCTCATCTATCGGAGTATATCTTATTCATAATATCTAAGAATGGCCCAGGATTTCATCAAGAACACCCTTACTCGCAGTCCGATCGATAGAATGACAGCAGAATAATGTTTGGAACACCCCTGGTTATTGGGAGAGGACCGAAAGTCTCATCCGATCACCAATAAAGAAATCATTTAAAGATACAATTTTATTTAAAAGTTTCAGCTTGTACTTAAATTAATTTTAAAAATATTTAGATAGTGAAGGCATTGTAGATGGTCAAGGTCTTCAAATAGCAATGTCATGAAGAAATGTACTATCTGAAATCATAGAATTCTGATGAAATCAATGAGATCTTCCTTAATGATGATGCTCCCAAAACTTAAAGAGTCTACACTGATACGCACATCAATATTCGTCATCATCAGAAAACCTACTACAAACCGCAGAGTTTGAAGACTATTTAATTAACCAAGATGACTTCCTCCTAAGATCTGGTGTCGAGTACTAAAAATAAAATGCTCAATTCGAATCGATGCTACAGTAACTACGTCATATAATAATAATTCTAGATTGCACTTCCAGATACAAAACTTCTCTGGACATACAATTGCCAAAAGTCAATAGTTAGAAGAGAATTCATTTGCAATTACCTTCCATCTCTCCTTATTAAACAAGATAATCTAGCTTTGTTTTTAGATAGTAATGATTTCTTTTTGTATATATAATAATATTTAAAATATGGATAACTAATTTTATAATTAAGACTCGTTAGCATTTGGTTCCCCTTAACCCACATCCCAGCTCCAACCTTCCAAAGCAATTAAGTTTGAAAATGTTTCTATATTCATTTAATTCTATTATAGGTACCCACAAAATAAAATAAACAACATTCCAATGTCAAATTCAAAGAGGCTTCAAAAAAAGTTTCGCAATAGAAAATAGATTCTGTCCAAAAAGTCCGTCCCTCAAGTGCATAGAAACAGGAGAAGTTCAAACCCTCCTGGAATGATAAGGTCGAAGCCAAGCCAAAACCATTTGATAATTTGAAGAAGAATGAAATATTCAAAATTGAAACCAAATTGTAAAAGGAAAAAATTGAGAGAGAAAAAGAGAATAAAAAAAGACAATTAGAAAACCCACCTCCTGCAGCTGTTAAATCGTACGCCACGATTAAAGACATCGAACAAGTGATCAATGATTGTAATGAATGTTATCTTAATTAGAGCAATATAAGAAGGATGTATCTGAGATGAAGAAATAGAAGAGAGAATTGGAACAATTGCAATGGATGATAGACTAAGAGAAGAAATTGAAGGCAGAGTAGAACAAACAATTTGAAGAAAAGTTAAAGCAATTGAAGACACAATAACATCCTGATATGGCCTAAGACATTATGAATGCCAAGAAGAAGGGTATGGAAAATAAGGAATCCCCATACAAAACAAAAGAATAAAAGAAACAAGATAAAAAAAAACAATTAGAAAAAAATGTTGATGATATCTATGTTGAACCACAATAAAACAATTATCCTAATTGGAAGGATGGAATCCATTTAATCCATTACGAAGCCAAAAAACCATTATTACCAGGAGAGTATGATTAAAATGATTTGGATTTGATACCTTAAAAATAACCTTAGTAACAGCCATAATAAGTGAGGATTGATGATAACAAATTGAAAAATGAATTGATTGAAATCCAAAAAAGAGAATTGCAAAGACAACATGAATTAGATGCCTTAATAGATAAACATTAATAATTGCTGAGATCTGAAGCTCAGAATCCGAATAAACATTATAAGGAAATCAACGAAAAATTGGATAAGATTAAGGGAAAAGTAGATCCATTGGTTAAGAAGATTGATAGTGTATAAATTGACTATCCATTCACTGGACATCTATTAGCAAGAGGAGTCTCTAAAATGATTTAGGTTCATTCCGAAAGATTGACTGAATTGCTGATTGATGATTTACTATTTGAAATGGTAGACATACTCGATACTTTGGAAATGAAGAAGAAGGAGGAAGAAAGGTAGAGATACGAATAGATGGCATTGTGTGATTACATAGAAGCTGTGAAGGATATCGCTTTAGATTAAGACAAGGTTGAATAGAATTTCTAATAAACACGATAACAATTTATGAGAGATAGTAATAATAGATATATGTATAGCAAGACTTGATCAATATGTACCTGTTGAATAATTGGGTAGAGACCAATAATTTTACATAAATCCCATGGACCGTTTTCGTTCAATAGAATTGTCGAGTGGATTCATAATTAAAATAATGGAGGACAGAAAGAAGAGGATTTAATTTGTTAATCAAGATAAGTAGTATTATCCTAAGAATCTTGAGTAATTTGATTTAGTAATTACTTTGTTTATACTTCTTAGATAACAGAAAAAATACTTGAAGAGATCATTTGGGAACGAGCAGCTGCATTGTATTCGAGTAGCGATGAAATGGCAGAATAAATATTTATTAATGAATTCAAATGATGTTTTTCTTATAGTATTAACTTATTAAAATAGATTAATCAATTAAATAACACAATTAAATGAGATTAAATATCCTCAAAGAATGTTTCTCTACATTCCTGAAATCTGGAGACAAATCAAACTTTAAATATGGCCTGGTTGACTGCTAACTCAAAGATGTTTAATTCTAATTTAAATCACCTTAATTTAATGATATTGCCCAATAATATTACGAAGCATATGAGAAGAAGGGAGACGAGGAATATGAAAAGTTGAATGAAGAATTATAATAATTGATCCAACCCTATTATCTTTAGGATGTGTCTCAAATAATGAATCATTTTAACATGTTAGATTTGTCAGCCTGGTAAACACTGGTAGTATAAATGTGCAATAACCTAGAAGCTATTCCACTCACAGAAATGACTATTACACTCAAATAAATATTCTTGTTCATGAGTAGAAAGTTTAGAATGCAAGAATCAAGCGTTGAGTAATACCATTATAGTGAATATGAACTCCCTCTTGTTTTTACAGAAAATCAATTATTTACTATTCTCAATCAATTGAAATTCGATCAAACTCAAATAAACAATTACTTAGAAGCTTTGACTACTCTACTTAGTATATTTTTCAAATTCAGTCGAATTTAACCAATATCCTTTTATGATGTTTATGAAATAGTTAGAAAAAAACTCTAAATTGTATTGGATAATCACCTAGATGAATTAGATCTTAATAACCTAATAACCATGTATTAAAGTTATGGATCTGAATCTGAAATAATTGAATAAATCATTCAGAGAGTAAAATAACTCGATTCTGCAGTTCCACATCGAGAATTGGATAGAATATTAGAAATCTGGAAAACCAATGGAAACATTGATTAGGATTTATTACTCATTTTAAAATCTGAACTTCTATATTAAATTAAATTGACCAATAAATATTAATAAAATAAAGTTTTTTAGAGAATATTTGCTTTAATCTATGCAAATGTTAATGATGCTGAAATATTACATGTTATAGAAAAAAAATTATAAAAATCTACAAAATTGCTTGAAAGTAGAAATTATTCATTTTAAAATGTATTTTTATAATTTCTAAACTATCTTAGGGTTATTTAACTTGCATTAAAATATTAAAACTACGTCATCCTGAATTGTCACTACCTCAAATCTAAATGAAACCTAAACGCGTTAGTAAATAGATGTAGAAGTCTTTATAAGAAAATATACTAATAAATTTCTTCAGATAATATATTAATTCCTTAGATGAAAAAGTTAAGATTAAAGTTGATGCTCCTTGCTGGATATATCTAATTGATGTTGCATTGTTGTTTCAAGATGCTAAAATTGCGTTTGAACTATCAGGCTCAGTTTATTTCAGAGGCAACAGCTTAACAGGTAAGAAATAAGCCAAAAAGGAAATTATGATTTCTGAAGGATGGAAACCTATATTCCTTGGAAACTAGGAAAAGATTTTATTTAACAATTTTAGCTTCAATCAATAATAATTACCAGAATAAATAGAAAGATTATTTGATGATTTATTCGAGAAGGCGTTGGGTAGAAAACTGTAGAAAAAATAACATTGAGCATAATATTTTCATATTTATTTTTATTGTATTTTTCATTTTTCATCCAAACTATAGATCTATAAAAATTAATTTTGGGGGGCTTCCTTATCTATTTGTTAAAATTAACCAACTTGTGATACACTATCATCCTCATTATCTATCAGAATAATCTATAGTTTATTCTCAAAATGTTTCTCTTCCTTCATCATAAACTCTTCCTTTTTAATGGAGTCCATCTTTTTGATTGTTTTTCCTCTTTTCATTTAGTTCTCCCATTTCATGGAGTCCTCCTTTTACATATAGTCCTCTTTTTCTATAGAGCGTTCCTTTTAAATGGAGTCTTCATTTTTCATAAAGTCTTCATTTTACATGGAGTCTTCATTTTTCATAGAGTCTTCCTTTTTCAAGAAATCATTCTTCATTATGAAATCTTGCTTAATCTCATCTTCTTATACTTAAGGACTGATTTTTAATATGTTATCTTAGAATGACTACTAATATGCTGCAGCAGGGTGTTGTTCGTTGATTTCTTCAATTGTATTAGACACTTTGACTAAATGCACTTTGTCATTTTTTCTATGGTGAATGTAGCATTTATAACAGCATATCCAAGATATTAGTAACATTATACAAACAACTATCAGTGCATAGAATACATAGGGATTAGAAATTGGACTTTCAGGGTAAAGATTAGATGTTAAATTACATTTACTATCCTTCAAATAATAACCAGCTATGCAAGAACTACAGATATTTGGAAGTGTACAAACACATTCACTTGGACATTCAGGATCACATAATTTAGTCTTTTAGTTTCTTTAATATCCTGCAGGACATGACACTTCAGTACAGGAATTACTTGAATTTATTTCGTAACCACTTACACAAGATTAACATACCAAAGGTACTTCACACTAATTGCAATAGAGACCACAATCCATGATGCATTAATTATCTTAAGATAGATAATAACCATATGAGCATCTATAGCAATTTAATGGAGATTAGCAAATGTTACATTCTTTTCCACATAATTGAGAAGTTGTGACAAAGTACTCTTGTCCTTATTTATTATAGTACTTGATTTGAATACTATCTCCCAAAATAGATCCATCAACATCTAAACCTTTGGATATGTATGTAATGGCAAACTAATCATCATTTATTATTTGAATGTTAGGATTTTAAGGATATTTTCCTGAAATGGCTACATTTATAATCTAAGTCAATTAGACACCCAACGAATCAAATATTTAGAATTTTATTCCATCTGCTTAGTATTGTGAATCTGTAGTTTACCATGCTACAATGAATCCATTATTGAATTATTTTAAATCTGGTGTTTATTCTTTAACTTAAGGACTTCCAATTCCCTTAACTTCACTTTTTGAAGATAAATCCTTAGAAACTAATTAATAGTTAAGACTTAACATGACTTTGTAAGTTTGTACATTCTTGTTTTCCCATAAGAATACAAACATTCCGCTTTGAAGATAAGCTGTTTTAAGTGTAAATATTCCATCATCACTAATGGCTTAAGGCTAATTAACTGGATTTCCAAATTAGGTGATTTATTGGACAAACACATATCCATTGCTTGTGTAACTAATATATATCATTCCTTAGTCTCCCTCTGTAATTGAAGGAATTGTTTAATAACTCACATTAGGAATCTCTTAAACTGAATTGATACCTTAGAGATTAGGATCAATTAATTAGTATTTAAAGTTGTAATTTGATTAATCTTCAGGGCTTTGAGTCATGAATGATACAAGCATATTCTTATTGGATAGTGGTAATAATTAACAAGGTTGAGTCAGTGATGACACAACATTGTTATTAGATACTCCAATTGACTAAGCAGATGTTAATTTAGTACCAGTAGAATCGAATTCTTGTAAAAGGAAATTAGTCTAATCTGAGGTAGAATCAGCCCAAAGAATATAAAAGTTGTAATCAAGAGCTGCTAAATGAGCATAATATTATTTCGTTATTGAAGAATCCACTAACAATCTTCTTGTCTAATCTGATACTATGATTTCACTTCCTACCTTAGAATTATCGACAGAGTATAATTAGAAATATACTCCTGCTTTTTCACCATTTTAGTACCACACTAATACATAGGATCCATCTGGGAATGTATATCTTATTGGTGTGCTCACACTTGTATTTTTGACTTAATCAATAACAGTTTAGTCTTCAAATTTACATTTAGCATCTGATGTCAATACAAAACCTTCAGGACAACTTGTACAAATCAATGGTAAGTCACAAGTTCTGCAAGTGGATGGACATTAAGGTAAACAGTCTAATTGATTCAAATAATAATTATCTTGGCATTAATAACATACAATGTTATTTTATTCCTTATAACATTTATCACAATTATTTGGGCAATTTAATTTGATGCACTGATAATTAATTAATTCATAACCAGTTTAGCAAATCTCGCATTAAGAAACAACTGAACATTTGTTGCAGTTTGTTGGGCATTATAATACACATTATGAATTAGCATCTAAATTGTAATTTGTACTACATTTAGTACAAAAACTTTCATTTATACATTCATCACATTATTACATGCATTTGATATTTTAACTATTAGTAATTTCATTTCCTTATTCATCATACTCCTTAAATAATATCATATTTTATTATGTTAAGCATATTTCATCCAAGCACTTTCTTTCTTACCAAAATATCTAACAACTTTTCTCTAATTAAATAAACTTTATAAATGTATCAGATTAAAATAAGCCAATATATATTTGTGAACCTAGTTTTGTACCAGAATTTTCAAAGTATTAAATTACCAATTAGAACTTAAACGAATTATAACTAGGATATTCCTTTAATACTATGGCAAATGTATTTGAAAAGGATAAAAATTTTATAAATTCTTGCTATTGCAATTTATTTTCATTTATTTTCATTTCTAAAGTTATAGGTGTGTATTCCTTATTTAGTAGTCTGTAATAACTCAATTATCCTCCTTTCACAAAAGCATTCGGTTCGAAAAAAAATTGTGTAAATATTTAGATTAGATTACCATTTTACAAGTCAAATATATTACAGGAATAGCTATTCAAAATTTAAGAATATGGGCAATTCCTCTATATCAATTACTCTCCTGTCCATAGAATTATTCCATTTATGGAATAAAAGCTATAAGTAGTAGAATCAATTCTTTCTTTTGAGCTTAAATTCTCTTATTGGAAAATAACTTAGGGCTATCCAATAGGAACTAATTCAGAATCCAAAGTTATCTTGTAAATCTTTCCTTATGAACCTTTATCATATGCATTTTAAATGTAAGTTAGAGAATATTAATTATTTATCAATGCCACTAAAACGGCCCAATCTTTATATGTAGATGAATCTGAATCGATCAATTGGAGATATATAACTTTATGTATGATCACTTATTAATTTTAACCAATTCTGAAAACCTCTATTTAGTCATAAAAATAACTAACTCCTACATAATCTTACTCAATTTTTTAAACTTCTAAATTAGTGAAATAATTGATNAATAACAGTTTAGTCTTCAAATTTACATTTAGCATCTGATGTCAATACAAAACCTTCAGGACAACTTGTACAAATCAATGGTAAGTCACAAGTTCTGCAAGTGGATGGACATTAAGGTAAACAGTCTAATTGATTCAAATAATAATTATCTTGGCATTAATAACATACAATGTTATTTTATTCCTTATAACATTTATCACAATTATTTGGGCAATTTAATTTGATGCACTGATAATTAATTAATTCATAACCAGTTTAGCAAATCTCGCATTAAGAAACAACTGAACATTTGTTGCAGTTTGTTGGGCATTATAATACACATTATGAATTAGCATCTAAATTGTAATTTGTACTACATTTAGTACAAAAACTTTCATTTATACATTCATCACATTATTACATGCATTTGATATTTTAACTATTAGTAATTTCATTTCCTTATTCATCATACTCCTTAAATAATATCATATTTTATTATGTTAAGCATATTTCATCCAAGCACTTTCTTTCTTACCAAAATATCTAACAACTTTTCTCTAATTAAATAAACTTTATAAATGTATCAGATTAAAATAAGCCAATATATATTTGTGAACCTAGTTTTGTACCAGAATTTTCAAAGTATTAAATTACCAATTAGAACTTAAACGAATTATAACTAGGATATTCCTTTAATACTATGGCAAATGTATTTGAAAAGGATAAAAATTTTATAAATTCTTGCTATTGCAATTTATTTTCATTTATTTTCATTTCTAAAGTTATAGGTGTGTATTCCTTATTTAGTAGTCTGTAATAACTCAATTATCCTCCTTTCACAAAAGCATTCGGTTCGAAAAAAAATTGTGTAAATATTTAGATTAGATTACCATTTTACAAGTCAAATATATTACAGGAATAGCTATTCAAAATTTAAGAATATGGGCAATTCCTCTATATCAATTACTCTCCTGTCCATAGAATTATTCCATTTATGGAATAAAAGCTATAAGTAGTAGAATCAATTCTTTCTTTTGAGCTTAAATTCTCTTATTGGAAAATAACTTAGGGCTATCCAATAGGAACTAATTCAGAATCCAAAGTTATCTTGTAAATCTTTCCTTATGAACCTTTATCATATGCATTTTAAATGTAAGTTAGAGAATATTAATTATTTATCAATGCCACTAAAACGGCCCAATCTTTATATGTAGATGAATCTGAATCGATCAATTGGAGATATATAACTTTATGTATGATCACTTATTAATTTTAACCAATTCTGAAAACCTCTATTTAGTCATAAAAATAACTAACTCCTACATAATCTTACTCAATTTTTTAAACTTCTAAATTAGTGAAATAATTGATTTATTTCTATATTGTTAATTTCTTAGTTAATTATGACTCAAAAATGAAATAAGCATTCCATTAATAATTTTCGCTATCTTGTGAACGATATAAAGTGAAGAAGCATGAAGTTCCATCACTTGAACTTACCAATGCCTTAGTTTCACCCTAAATTTCTTAAGGAATTAAAGGTTAAGGTTAATGATAGCTTGGCTTTAGAAGAGAGCATAATCCTTAAATTTCTTCATAGTATCCATCCTTACATTGAATACAAACTGAAGGCATGATACAACTCTTACAGTTCTATTAGCAAACTGGATGACAATACTAATCTATTAGTAAATAGTCACCCACGCATTATGTACATTCATATTGAGTGATACATTTGGTGCAACCCTTATTACATTAGATTATTAATTGAGTGGAATGTTCTCCTGTGCCAGTCATTTTTTATATCCAAATATTAGAGTTGTCATAAAAATCAAATATGTTCACCTTAGCCCAGATCACAAAAAATGATTGATCCACTGATTCAGCGATTTTCATTCTTGTTAATACGCTCCAATTATTTTTGATCTTATATTAATTCATATATTGAATTTCCATATTAGAATTTAAATAGTACTGTTCTTATGTTGAAGATTAGCCATTTTTAACAAATTCAATTATCACAGAAAGCCCTCCTTTATATTAATCAACTTGAATATAGGAAATTTACATGTACTTACCATCTACCTATTAGGGAATCGATTTTATCAATATTTTATCTCCTGAAGGCACAAAATTTTAATCATAAAATTGAGCATATGCTGATATATTATTATTATCATAAGTATAAAATACTAAGACAAAATATTAAGAGATACTACTTAAATAAGCTTAATTTAAAAAGAATTAAAGCATAAAATCTTTTGAAATAAGTAATGATCCATCCAATGAATAAATATGTACTTAAAATGCATGTATAATTGCAACATTCTAATCAGTAGATGATATCAAGAATATATCATCAATTGAACTAAATTGTTCTATAGTTTTAATTAAATTGCTAATTTACTAATTGCCAGAATTATAGAACTTTAATTTTAATGCTTTTTATAATGGCTCTCCAACTAATGTTAAGTATCCAATTACATATCCTCCATTCTTTAGTTTAATCACTTTTGCAACGTTATCATTAGTAATATCAAACCTATAATATCTAATTACATCTATATCAATATCGTCACCAATTCGTTATTAATTTTTGGTGAATCTGGCAACCTTTAGTATTGCTCCTTCTTCTGGATTACCATCAATATATAAGATAATGGCAGTATCATCATTTAATATCGAAATCTAAGCCGAATGTTGGTTTCCTTGAGTAATTTAATTCACTTAAAAGTTAATTCCTATTTTTTCTCTCTAACTATCTAGTACCTAACCTTAAACACCCCAATTAAATCCATCTTCATAATTACCATTCCAGATTGCCATTACGGAACCGTCACTAAATCCAGCTATAGAAGGCTTAGTTTGAGTGAAATAGGTAAATTCATTAACAACTAATGACTTAGATTAGAAATCATCAACTATACAATCTGATTCATAAGGATAAAGCTATGAAGGGCAAATCAAACATGCATCACCTTAAAGGTAAAGACAAGAAGATTTATTCTAAATTTTGCAAAACAACCCACCTTTCAATTTATCATACCAAATTTCATATCCATTCATACATGTTTTACATTCAGTATTGCTTATGCATGACTCGCAATTAGGTGAACAAACATTAATTAATAACTTATCTAAATCTCCAGTATTGCTAAGTATTGATAATTATAATCCCCATTGTGCTTCACTATTTTAATATTCCCATGCAAATCCCATTTGCTAATTAGAGAAGGAAACTAGCAATGGTCTACTTATTTATGAATCAATTTAAATTTGTTACTAAATTATAGTTTCTCCATCGCTATTCAATATTTTATAAACTAAATATTAGTTTAGTTTTTCACAAAAAGTGATAGCAATCTAATTCTAAAATATTGCAATCGAAAAATCTGTGAATCTTTAATCAGATCTATAGCTATTAAATAGGCACTAGTAAATGTCCCTACCAATACTAAATACCCAATCTTTTTTTCCCTTTAATTTGTACATTAATACAACGAATTCTTTACTCATTTCAAGTTTGACTTCAGAGACATAAGGAAAATTAGTACTAGTAGTAGACTGGTAAAGTCCATAGTCACTAATTACCATCAATTTAAGACTAAATTGATTGATATTTATTAAATAGATCGAGGAATCTAATACTTTAATAGCTTTAATGATATTTTTATTACAATCATCAATTGTAAAGATTTAAGGATTATTTATATCTATCTTTTAAAAGACCATTACATTTGAAATATCATAAATAAACAATGATTATGATTATGCAATTTAAGAGACTCCATCAAATACATAATTCTTTAGACAAGTAATGAAAAGAAGATACTTCATTGGTAAACTTTCAATTTTAATATCTTAAATATCTAACTCACAACTTTGATCTAATTATGGTATCAATTTATTTGAACTTTCATCTAATTTATAAACCTTACTAATTTTTTTATCTGAATCATAAACCATAATTATGTAGATTTGATCATTTACTATAGTTACATCAAAAAGATGAATATTTTCAACAGTAATTTCAACAAATTTTAATTCTTCTCCATCTGAATTGAATTTTCTCATTCTCAACACATTCTAACAAATATATAGTATTGCATAATCCTTGTTAGAGTATTTCATAAGATCTTTAATTGGTTATTAACTGCATTTATCTGCAATTTCAATACCTTTTCCATCTTTGATAGGGTCCTTCATTATTAATTAAGGCTGGTCTGGATCTGGTAGATCATTTTCTCTATCAAATATCGTCTAAAATAAATGACTAGTGCATGTTTCATCATTACATTCATCTTTTTACATTAATATTTTGAATCCATTGTTATATTAAATAATTTCCAAGACATTTTAAGGTAAAGAACAAATATATATCTAATCTCCTATTTTTCTGCCGGTATTATATATAAATTAAGCTATCAAATTTTTTTGCTCATAAATTAGTTCTTAGTTTTCTTGTTAAATGAATGTGACAAATGAGTTGATATATTTTAATACTTTAACAATTGTTTATCTATTCATACCTTTATTCAAAACATTTGTATTTTAGAATTTAATTTCACCTTATCCATCTTCGATTTGATATTAAACTTTACTATCAAATAAACCAATAGTAAATGGGCTCAAAGCCAACGAACTAAATCCATATTCATTAAATAATTTGATTAAATTCCAGTTTTCTGATACGGGTAAACTACATGAGTCTCCTTCATACAATCGAGGGGTATCACAGAACTTTTCTTCTATTTTATCTTTTTGTATTTAGAAACGCTGACCATATTAATCAAATAATGTAATATAATCAAATCCTTTAACAATGTTAAACCTATATTATTATACTTATGTAAAAATTATCTAAATATCTTCTACTTTTTATAATCCTAAATCTAATTTAGCATAATAAAAATTAATTTAGTTTTCATTTTAAATTGAGTTTTCTATCAATATTTCTTCATAAAATGTAAGAATATATTAGAAACCCTAAATTGGTTCTAAAAATATGGCATAATCTGAAATCTAAATTTCTGAAAATTATGAAAAGTCTAACATAACTTAACTTAATAACTTGGAATTTAAGTCATATCTTTGTACTTATATTTCTCTATTTTAAGAATAGAAAATAATTATGACATTTTCATCTTCATAAAATATTGTTACGTATGTCATATATTCTGAACTTTAATAATTAACAGAAAAACTATTTACTATCTATTCTCCATTCATTATCTTAATATTTAGATATGAAAGGAATAAAGAAAAATAAACTTACTAATTCTCATTCACAGTTTTTACTTTTTAAAAAACTTCGCCTACTTAATACTCTATTAACAATTAAGTTTAATATATAGGAACTTTAGAGCATTTTCCTTCTTCAATTAAATAATAGTCTTTTTAGCATATAGTACAATAATATGGAAAATTACAGTAAGCACATCCTACTTCGCAAATAGCATCACATCGATTTTCATTTTAGTAATAATGATCAAGACATTGATCACAATGAGTAGAATCCTAACATTTTTAACAATTCAATAGACAAACAATCTAATCTTTTACAATTATTTATTAATCATATGATAGAAACTATAAGTAAAGATGATAATTATCGAAGACACTGAATTTATTTTACTTTATCCATAATATAAAGAATTACTAATTCAAGGATGGAATGATCTTAAAGTTTTTGTACTCATTCATTTTTTACAAATAAGAAGCATCTATGCGGAATGTATTTATTAAGGAAAATTATTTGTCCTTTATGAAATAAAGCTCTTAAATATCTTACTGACTAACCCACAAATGGACTAATAATAGTAATCCTTCATCACATTGATTCATTTAAATTTCTTGAAAGTAGTCTAATTATTTAATTGTTAATGGATCTCCAAATTCAATAAAATCTTTATCGAATAACTATACTTAGACAAAATATTTTTCTTGATACATTAAATATCCTACTGCATAAAAATCGCTTGTATGCTCTAAAAATACCCTATCAAGCCGAAACTAATTGAACATATTCAATTATTTTTTTTTAAATAAACTACCTTCGTATGAATACAAATTAACTGCAAATCCCATATTTTATTCACAATAGAATAAAGCAACACTAATATCATTAGCAGCTAATAAATGAGGATAGAACATTAGATTTGGTTATCCTTCAATTGATTATTAAGCTACTAAATTGCCTAATGAATCATAGAAATTTAGGCAAATTTAATTTTTAACTTTAGTTCTCTGTGTTAAATATTCAATGACAAATCCTCCATTTTTTAAACTTACTATTTTCCATTATGCTTCACCAAATAAAGTCTTTTCAATATACCGAATTGTACCAACTTCAAATTCATCTCCAATTCGTTGCATATACTTATCAAATTTTGAAGCCTTTATTATCGCTTCACTCATTTACGGATCACCATCAACATAAATTATTACAACTGTATCATCCGATAGAACTGCAATTTTTGGGGAGTGCTCATTACCTTTAGATTTAGTATTAATTTATAGATTATCACCAATTTTAACACCATTATTATCAATTAATTGACCAAATACTCCCCAACTATTAATATCTTAAAAATAACTTGACCATACTACTATTATTGAACCATCACTAAATTTAGCTCCCTCTTAATTTGCCAAACCTAATGAAGCTTCTTAATTAATTCGAATTGATTTAGCTTACACTTCATCTAATATGCATGAATCATTTTATTTATAATATGTGTCTTTGCAAATCTAACAATTTTTGTAATAATCACATGATAAGCAATTAGGGTCACATGATTTCTAACAATAGTTTTCGTTATAACCAATTTCTTATATCATATATCTAGTTTGGCATTATGTACAGTATTTCTCAGTAAGGCATGTTTAACAATTTTCAGAACACTGAATCTCAATTTTATCAACAAATTATCCACTTTAATTCATGACAGCATAAGAAATTACCCATTCACCATTTTCGTTTTGAACAGTCCAAGTAAATCCAATATAACCTTTCATCAAAACAGTTATTTAAGTACTACTAATCTAAGCATCACTAGATATAACTCCTGTTGAAAGTTCATTTCCTTACAAATCTAAGAACTAAAATGAGGAATTTTTCAGGTTATCATTTTAAGTCCATTATATGAATAGGTTGTTAGACACAATGGCCAATTAAATATCTGAATTTCCAGGAATAAAGTCTAATTTATCAAAAATGATTATTAATATCTTATTGCAAATTCTTAAACTCCAATCTTATGCTTCAAATGTCTTGTAAATAAAGATAATAGTTTCTTAATTAATCTCAAATTTAATTTTTTCAATATTAGGAATATCTAATGTAAATGACTATAGAACTATTCCAAAAGAATCTAAAGATATTAATTGCCCTCCTGTTTAACTTATTGCTAATGTGTATATGATATTGTCAACAATTTTAATTTCGGATACTTTGTTTTAATTACAAGTATTCTAAGTAATTCCATCAGGATAGTTGAAATCTACTTTGTTAGCTGTTTATGAAAAACCAAAATCAAAAATTGTTAACATTTGAGACTGACAATTAATAAAAGTTTAGTCAATTTCAACTTATTTATCATTTGAGATTAAAATTACAAAATTTTGAGTCATTGGCTGAAGTTAAATACTATGAATAATAGAATCCGTATTTATCTCTAATTTATAATTTAAAGTTTAAAAACTATTATCGATTGAAAAAATTTGATATTAGTTTGGTCTGTTTACAAAAACAATTGCTAAAATAATTTAATCCTAAAATAAGATTGTATCTAAAATAAACACAATTTCAACTGTTATGCTTATGCTCTAAATTTCCAATCCATCTTTATTAAATAATCTGGCGCTAAACATGCTATTACAAATATAAATAATAGCATATCTATTATCTACAAAATTAATTAGCTTATTCTGCATTTGTAAATTACATTTATCTCCAACAGGATGCTCAATAGTTCCAATATTAATAGGACTATTAGGATCAGTTGGATCTGTTGGATCAGTTGGATCAGTAGGATCAGTTGGATCTGTAGGGTCCGTTGGATCAGTTGGATCTGTAGGGTCTGTTGGATCAGTTGGATCTGTAGGGTCTTTTGGATCCGTAGGGTCTGTTGGATCAGTTGGATCTGTAGGGTCTTTAGGATCAGTTGGATCAGTTGGATCAGTTGGATCTGTTGGATCTTTTGGATCAGTTGGATCTTTTGGATCAGTTGGATCTTTTGGATCAGTTGGATCAGTAGGATCTGTAGGGTCAGTTGGATCAGTTGGATCTGTAGGGTCTGTAGGGTCTGTTGGATCAGTTGGATCTGTAGGGTCTTTTGGATCAGTTGGATCAGTAGGATCAGTTGGATCTGTAGGGTCCGTTGGATCAGTTGGATCAGTTGGATCAGTAGGATCAGTTGGATCTGTAGGGTCAGTTGGATCAGTTGGATCTGTAGGGTCTGTAGGGTCTGTTGGATCAGTTGGATCTGTAGGGTCTTTTGGATCAGTTGGATCAGTAGGATCAGTTGGATCTGTAGGGTCAGTTGGATCTGTAGGGTCAGTTGGATCTGTAGGGTCTTTAGGATCAGTTGGATCAGTTGGATCTGTTGGATCTGTTGGATCAGTTGGATCTGTAGGGTCTGTTGGATCAGTTGGATCTGTAGGGTCTGTTGGATCAGTTGGATCTGTAGGATCTGTTGGATCAGTTGGATCTGTAGGGTCTGTTGGATCAGTTGGATCTGTAGGGTCTGTTGGATCAGTTGGATCTGTAGGGTCTGTTGGATCAGTTGGATCTGTAGGGTCTGTTGGATCAGTTGGATCTGTAGGGTCTGTTGGATCAGTTGGATCTGTAGGGTCTGTTGGATCAGTTGGATCTGTAGGGTCTGTTGGATCAGTTGGATCTGTAGGGTCTGTTGGATCAGTTGGATCTGTAGGGTCTGTTGGATCAGTTGGATCTGTAGGGTCTGTTGGATCAGTTGGATCTGTAGGGTCTGTTGGATCAGTTGGATCTGTAGGGTCTGTTGGATCAGTTGGATCTGTAGGGTCTGTTGGATCAGTTGGATCTGTAGGGTCTGTTGGATCAGTTGGATCTGTAGGGTCTGTTGGATCAGTTGGATCTGTAGGGTCTGTTGGATCAGTTGGATCTGTAGGGTCTGTTGGATCAGTTGGATCTGTAGGGTCTGTTGGATCAGTTGGATCTGTAGGGTCTGTTGGATCAGTTGGATCTGTAGGGTCTGTTGGATCAGTTGGATCTGTAGGGTCTGTTGGATCAGTTGGATCTGTAGGGTCTGTTGGATCAGTTGGATCTGTAGGGTCTGTTGGATCAGTTGGATCTGTAGGGTCTGTTGGATCAGTTGGATCTGTAGGGTCTTTTGGATCTGTAGGGTCAGTTGGATCAGTTGGATCTGTAGGGTCTTTTGGATCAGTTGGATCTGTAGGGTCTTTTGGATCTGTAGGGTCTGTTGGATCAGTTGGATCTGTAGGGTCTTTTGGATCAGTTGGATCAGTAGGATCAGTTGGATCTGTAGGGTCTTTAGGATCAGTTGGATCAGTTGGATCTGTAGGGTCTTTTGGATCAGTTGGATCTGTAGGGTCTATAGGATCCTTAACATCAATAGGGTCTTTAGGATCTATAGGTGATGCTGGGCTATTCGGATCTTTCACTTCTTCTTCATAATTTGGATTATAAGTGTCTTTAGGGTCGTTAGATTGTTGATTTCTTTCACATTATCCAAATTCATTAAATTAGAATCCATCTGAGCATTAGTCGCATTCACTAAATTTACATTTGCTGCATTCAACTTAGAGACATAATTTTTCACAAAGTAAAGTCTAATTATTCTTTTGGAAGCCAAAACTACAAATATCACATGCAATAGATGTTTCGCAGGTAATACAACCTTGTGGACAAATTTTTTCATTTACAGGCCTTGTAACTCCCAACTAATCAAATCTTGCAAAATTTATCTTCCAATTATAGTTTATATTTCCGGCGTGAAAGAATACAATAAAATTATTATTCTATAACTTAGCCAACCAACTATTTTGTGTAGGTATTTCAGTATAATTCATGTTAACTTAAACAGTAGTTTTAAGTAGCCCTTACATTGAATAATAATATAAAAGATAAGACTTGGATTTCTAATAGAACGATAGTATGACAATTTCATTTATATCACTTATTGCTATGTTGATTGGATATAAGCTTGATCCATTTATATTAAAAGATTGGCTGATCAATCCTTAAGCAAAGATATTGATTTAATAGTTAGTAACTATAATGAATTATTTAAGTGCATTAGATGCCAATTTAATTAATCCTCCATCATTAATAATTTGATGTTAAATTAATTTTAATTCCAAATCAAAGATATTAAGAATGCTAATTGTATCTTTAATGTAAGCAAAAGCAATTTATTCTCCATTAGATGTCAAATCGAAGTTATCACTAAAAGGTAATTTGATATCAGCAACAAATTCAAAGTTTAATTTCAGTATTTATAGGTAGATATCAAACCTACTCTTAATTAATATTGCTAATTATCCGCTATTAAGAATCTTGGCTTTGATAGATGTTGTTTCATGCGATTATAATCCAGAATACAATAAGATGGCTTCTGTCAGTTCATTAAATGTTTAATCAAACTATTAATAGTAATACATATTCTTATCTGAATATGTCAAGGGTAATACAGAATAAAATATTGTAAGTAAGTTATTCTCATCAATAATTATGGATATATCATTAATACTATAAATATTTGTAAGGCCTATGGTTTAGAGTTTTTGTACCTTTTAAGTTCCATCACTTTGATAAAAATTTAGTTCAATAAATGAATGGTTTTTAGAACTTACAATAACGAAATTACCATTTGAGTATGAAGCAATCTAATAGAAATAATTATATTTTTCATAATCAAAGAGAATGGTTTTTTCAACTTGCTGATTAATTTTTTCGCAAGTAAGATATTAGGTTTTGTAATAGCCATCAAGACAATCCTGACAATTGGTTTTGAAATTAATACATTACACAGGTTTTTTTACACAATTTCCATCAATTTATAAAATAAATAAATCAGGGTTTGTACATTTGAAACAAAATCCTTAATAATTACATTCTTGACAAGCATAACCACACCTCATCTAAGAGAATTCTAATCTTTCACCCATTTCATTGAATTTATATGAGATTATAATTTAGGTGTCAGCTAGAATGTTGTAAAACATTATGCTAATTATCATATCCTGATTCTGTAATTACACTACCTCAAGTCTACCCAAAGATTTAAGGTGAGCATTCGGTGAGTTAATTTAGAATATTTAACCAATCAATTAATAAGATTATTTGGATATAAGCGCTCCTTTGTAAACTGCATTCAAACTGGCATCTGAAAACTATGACCCTTCTCTCCAAGTTATCAATATTGAATTGGCAAGTGTATTAATTTATAAATCTAGTTTATAGATTTCACCATCTGTTGAGAGTTTCTAAGGACTGGTTAATGTGAGTCCATCTTTTTGTGTAATCTAAAAGAGTACTTCATAATTAAATGAGGTAATAGATGTCCAAACAAGTAAATAACTGTTTGAATTCAATGATATTATTTTATATTCAATTTGATTTTTTGATTTCTCGATAGTATTTTAATTTACCATCACCCCTAAGATGTCAAAACTACTCAATAAATAACTATTATAAAAATTATTCTTATTGAAGATTTTAATTTCAGTATCAATTAATTGGATTTCAACATATTCAGAGTTCTTAAATTAAGAATAAGTTAGTAATTAAATCGTTTAAGTAGGTGAAAAATTAATCTTGAGCATGCTATCCAAAAATAATGGAAGAATAACTAACTATAAAATTGGAACGTCCTATATCATCACCATTTATATCACTCCTAATTTCATATCTTCCAATTATACTAATTTAACTAAGTTGTCTGAGTACTTTTAAATTATAAGAGAATTAGAATTCCCTGTGTTAGAGGAAATTGCATTACTTGATATGCATTTCTCATTCATATCAAAAATATTTATATATGTTACCTAAAAGTCATACTNGTTGGATCTGTAGGGTCTTTTGGATCAGTTGGATCTGTAGGGTCTATAGGATCCTTAACATCAATAGGGTCTTTAGGATCTATAGGTGATGCTGGGCTATTCGGATCTTTCACTTCTTCTTCATAATTTGGATTATAAGTGTCTTTAGGGTCGTTAGATTGTTGATTTCTTTCACATTATCCAAATTCATTAAATTAGAATCCATCTGAGCATTAGTCGCATTCACTAAATTTACATTTGCTGCATTCAACTTAGAGACATAATTTTTCACAAAGTAAAGTCTAATTATTCTTTTGGAAGCCAAAACTACAAATATCACATGCAATAGATGTTTCGCAGGTAATACAACCTTGTGGACAAATTTTTTCATTTACAGGCCTTGTAACTCCCAACTAATCAAATCTTGCAAAATTTATCTTCCAATTATAGTTTATATTTCCGGCGTGAAAGAATACAATAAAATTATTATTCTATAACTTAGCCAACCAACTATTTTGTGTAGGTATTTCAGTATAATTCATGTTAACTTAAACAGTAGTTTTAAGTAGCCCTTACATTGAATAATAATATAAAAGATAAGACTTGGATTTCTAATAGAACGATAGTATGACAATTTCATTTATATCACTTATTGCTATGTTGATTGGATATAAGCTTGATCCATTTATATTAAAAGATTGGCTGATCAATCCTTAAGCAAAGATATTGATTTAATAGTTAGTAACTATAATGAATTATTTAAGTGCATTAGATGCCAATTTAATTAATCCTCCATCATTAATAATTTGATGTTAAATTAATTTTAATTCCAAATCAAAGATATTAAGAATGCTAATTGTATCTTTAATGTAAGCAAAAGCAATTTATTCTCCATTAGATGTCAAATCGAAGTTATCACTAAAAGGTAATTTGATATCAGCAACAAATTCAAAGTTTAATTTCAGTATTTATAGGTAGATATCAAACCTACTCTTAATTAATATTGCTAATTATCCGCTATTAAGAATCTTGGCTTTGATAGATGTTGTTTCATGCGATTATAATCCAGAATACAATAAGATGGCTTCTGTCAGTTCATTAAATGTTTAATCAAACTATTAATAGTAATACATATTCTTATCTGAATATGTCAAGGGTAATACAGAATAAAATATTGTAAGTAAGTTATTCTCATCAATAATTATGGATATATCATTAATACTATAAATATTTGTAAGGCCTATGGTTTAGAGTTTTTGTACCTTTTAAGTTCCATCACTTTGATAAAAATTTAGTTCAATAAATGAATGGTTTTTAGAACTTACAATAACGAAATTACCATTTGAGTATGAAGCAATCTAATAGAAATAATTATATTTTTCATAATCAAAGAGAATGGTTTTTTCAACTTGCTGATTAATTTTTTCGCAAGTAAGATATTAGGTTTTGTAATAGCCATCAAGACAATCCTGACAATTGGTTTTGAAATTAATACATTACACAGGTTTTTTTACACAATTTCCATCAATTTATAAAATAAATAAATCAGGGTTTGTACATTTGAAACAAAATCCTTAATAATTACATTCTTGACAAGCATAACCACACCTCATCTAAGAGAATTCTAATCTTTCACCCATTTCATTGAATTTATATGAGATTATAATTTAGGTGTCAGCTAGAATGTTGTAAAACATTATGCTAATTATCATATCCTGATTCTGTAATTACACTACCTCAAGTCTACCCAAAGATTTAAGGTGAGCATTCGGTGAGTTAATTTAGAATATTTAACCAATCAATTAATAAGATTATTTGGATATAAGCGCTCCTTTGTAAACTGCATTCAAACTGGCATCTGAAAACTATGACCCTTCTCTCCAAGTTATCAATATTGAATTGGCAAGTGTATTAATTTATAAATCTAGTTTATAGATTTCACCATCTGTTGAGAGTTTCTAAGGACTGGTTAATGTGAGTCCATCTTTTTGTGTAATCTAAAAGAGTACTTCATAATTAAATGAGGTAATAGATGTCCAAACAAGTAAATAACTGTTTGAATTCAATGATATTATTTTATATTCAATTTGATTTTTTGATTTCTCGATAGTATTTTAATTTACCATCACCCCTAAGATGTCAAAACTACTCAATAAATAACTATTATAAAAATTATTCTTATTGAAGATTTTAATTTCAGTATCAATTAATTGGATTTCAACATATTCAGAGTTCTTAAATTAAGAATAAGTTAGTAATTAAATCGTTTAAGTAGGTGAAAAATTAATCTTGAGCATGCTATCCAAAAATAATGGAAGAATAACTAACTATAAAATTGGAACGTCCTATATCATCACCATTTATATCACTCCTAATTTCATATCTTCCAATTATACTAATTTAACTAAGTTGTCTGAGTACTTTTAAATTATAAGAGAATTAGAATTCCCTGTGTTAGAGGAAATTGCATTACTTGATATGCATTTCTCATTCATATCAAAAATATTTATATATGTTACCTAAAAGTCATACTAATTTTAGAAAGCTTTAAAGGAAATTACAAATAGATCCTCCTTTAAGTACAATGCTAATACATCAAAGTAATATCTGCAATCTGTACAGGAAGTTGTTGTTTATAATACTTTAGGATTGGAATATCTTTTACCAAACTTATCAAATCTTTGAGTTATTATTTTATATTCTCCCATCCAAAAATATAAAAGATCGCCATTTGAAAAAGTTAACACTTTAAAAATATTTAGAAAAGCTTTATCATTTACAAATTCTATTGTCTATTCATTAGAAACTGTATTCATCTAATAGCAATTATTTTTAATCAATTCAAAGCCATTTGAACATTGACTACAAGTTAGAGTTGAATTTTCAATTAAATATGTTTCACAATTATTAATTTCTAAATAGCATGAATTAGATAATAGAACATAATTTGATTTACAACTTTAGCAAACATTACTAGTTGAACAAGTCTAGCAATTGTTTTAGCAAACGATTGTATTTAATGCTAATTAGGTGCCATCACTCTTATATCTTTTCATATAGACATCATCACTTAAAATTTATGATATTAGACTACTGACTGTCCATGAAGCTATGAAATTACCCTATGGTTAGCTTGCTAATTAGGGATGATGTGGGTATAGGTTTGAAACAGAATAAATAATCACTGGTTGCGATTTTGTTGAGCCATCTAAATTAAACAATTACATTTAGATAGTTCTGACTTTATCATTTAATACAGATGCGCTTTCAGCAATAATGGCAAATCCATTATCAATTGATATCACATCAGGATTATCTAGATTTTCTTAATAAACACCAAAATGACTCTAAATTTGATATTGATTTAAATCTGTTGAGATTTTTCTGAATCTGATTTTCTAACTCATAAAATCATTCTCATCAATGACATATTCTTTCCAAACAATAATTATGAATGTATCTGAAGATGTGATTGCAGGAGCTTCTCCTGTTGTTGATAATTATACTTTATCTATCAACACTTGATTTACACTATATGAACTAGCGAAAACACCTTTATTTGTTTACCAAGATATCACAATAATAGATTAAGATGATGCAACAACAGGTTCATTTATTATTTATTCATTTTCAGTGATAACTTAAGTATTAAGCAAATTATTATTATTGTCAAAGAATTTAGCAATTAATGATATTTATTTCTGATTTCCTTATTCTGCCCATACTATAACAAACCCATTAATAATTGATTAAATGATTACTGGAGTATCATACGATTAGGCATAATAAAGATGAATATCTGATTATATGATAGTTTCACTTCCAATTCTTAAGAAATCTTTATCAAATCTTAACATCTTGATATGAGCATTTACTAAAATATTACCATCTATCCAAACAACGACTATTTAATCATTGCTCATTACTTAAACATCAGGATATTATTGAATTCCTGCTGATGATTCAGATATTCTCATTTATTCTTTCAATAACACTCCTTGAGAATTGTACAATGACATGTAAATTCCTGTTCCTTCATTTTGATAAAATTGAGTTGACCATACAACAACATAATCTCCATTAGATAATGTAGAAATTCTTTATCTACTTGAAGCTGGATAGACACTCATTTTAATCTCTTAATATTTTGAATCGCTAATCTAACATTTATAATCTGATGTGACAGAGTAACCTAAAGCACATTAAGAACATCTTCCATTATTTCCACTAGAACAATAATCTGGTAATTTTAAGTTGCATTTATTACTCTGTAATGTATAACCTTATTTGCAAATTACGCATATATTCTTATTATTACAATAAAAGCAATTTGTTTCACAATTATCTTGATATAGGTATGATCCTTTACTTTGAATAAAGAATATATAATTCACATTATTCATTACTCCTTAGAATACAACATATGACATTTAATTTCTTGTATCTACATAAGTTAATAATTTTGTATTTGATTAATACTAACTTAATATATTTAACGGAGATGTCACCATTTCTTGAGATGATCCAGATTTTAGGAAGGANTATAAAAGATCGCCATTTGAAAAAGTTAACACTTTAAAAATATTTAGAAAAGCTTTATCATTTACAAATTCTATTGTCTATTCATTAGAAACTGTATTCATCTAATAGCAATTATTTTTAATCAATTCAAAGCCATTTGAACATTGACTACAAGTTAGAGTTGAATTTTCAATTAAATATGTTTCACAATTATTAATTTCTAAATAGCATGAATTAGATAATAGAACATAATTTGATTTACAACTTTAGCAAACATTACTAGTTGAACAAGTCTAGCAATTGTTTTAGCAAACGATTGTATTTAATGCTAATTAGGTGCCATCACTCTTATATCTTTTCATATAGACATCATCACTTAAAATTTATGATATTAGACTACTGACTGTCCATGAAGCTATGAAATTACCCTATGGTTAGCTTGCTAATTAGGGATGATGTGGGTATAGGTTTGAAACAGAATAAATAATCACTGGTTGCGATTTTGTTGAGCCATCTAAATTAAACAATTACATTTAGATAGTTCTGACTTTATCATTTAATACAGATGCGCTTTCAGCAATAATGGCAAATCCATTATCAATTGATATCACATCAGGATTATCTAGATTTTCTTAATAAACACCAAAATGACTCTAAATTTGATATTGATTTAAATCTGTTGAGATTTTTCTGAATCTGATTTTCTAACTCATAAAATCATTCTCATCAATGACATATTCTTTCCAAACAATAATTATGAATGTATCTGAAGATGTGATTGCAGGAGCTTCTCCTGTTGTTGATAATTATACTTTATCTATCAACACTTGATTTACACTATATGAACTAGCGAAAACACCTTTATTTGTTTACCAAGATATCACAATAATAGATTAAGATGATGCAACAACAGGTTCATTTATTATTTATTCATTTTCAGTGATAACTTAAGTATTAAGCAAATTATTATTATTGTCAAAGAATTTAGCAATTAATGATATTTATTTCTGATTTCCTTATTCTGCCCATACTATAACAAACCCATTAATAATTGATTAAATGATTACTGGAGTATCATACGATTAGGCATAATAAAGATGAATATCTGATTATATGATAGTTTCACTTCCAATTCTTAAGAAATCTTTATCAAATCTTAACATCTTGATATGAGCATTTACTAAAATATTACCATCTATCCAAACAACGACTATTTAATCATTGCTCATTACTTAAACATCAGGATATTATTGAATTCCTGCTGATGATTCAGATATTCTCATTTATTCTTTCAATAACACTCCTTGAGAATTGTACAATGACATGTAAATTCCTGTTCCTTCATTTTGATAAAATTGAGTTGACCATACAACAACATAATCTCCATTAGATAATGTAGAAATTCTTTATCTACTTGAAGCTGGATAGACACTCATTTTAATCTCTTAATATTTTGAATCGCTAATCTAACATTTATAATCTGATGTGACAGAGTAACCTAAAGCACATTAAGAACATCTTCCATTATTTCCACTAGAACAATAATCTGGTAATTTTAAGTTGCATTTATTACTCTGTAATGTATAACCTTATTTGCAAATTACGCATATATTCTTATTATTACAATAAAAGCAATTTGTTTCACAATTATCTTGATATAGGTATGATCCTTTACTTTGAATAAAGAATATATAATTCACATTATTCATTACTCCTTAGAATACAACATATGACATTTAATTTCTTGTATCTACATAAGTTAATAATTTTGTATTTGATTAATACTAACTTAATATATTTAACGGAGATGTCACCATTTCTTGAGATGATCCAGATTTTAGGAAGGATAAGGTGGCAAAAAATACTCTTATTCTTTGTTACTCCCCCTTTTCAATTTAAATGTAGGTTAATTATATATATGAATTAGGAAAATAATTAAGATATAAACTCTTAATTGTAACGTATGAGTTTATAGCTATTCTCTTAGTTGCTTATTGATTCAACTATCTATCAAACCATTATATATAAGCATAATAACTCTGTATTCCTAAATAGTTAAGTTAACTTTCTATCCAACCAATAGCTAATCCACTGCTGTCCATATTATCTGAAGAAATGGAGTCAATCTAATTTGTGCTCTAATATAGTTGTTTGTATTTTGCAGTTGTACTATCAATAGTTAATGAGTTTATAATATTATTGTTTTTAATATAGATTATTTGATAAGATGAGGTCTAGATCAATAATTATGGATTAATTGAAATATCATCTTAATTTTCATTTATATTTTATTTTATCGAAAACCCACTTCCAGTATTATACACTCCAACATATGTTTAGGAAAAGGAGTTCTCGTCTATTTCAGTCCAAACTATCACAAAGTTAGTATTAAATATTTTGATCTGAATTTCAAAATCATCAATATTTAGAACTTTAATCAATCTCAATTCAATCGGATTTGTGATAATTACAAAGCTGCTTTGGAATAATTATAACATCATTCTACATGATACCTTACAATTACCACTTAACCAGATGAGGGCAAACTTTTTTGATTCATATTCATAAATTCTATGATAAGCAATTGGTGTTTCTGAAGAAATCAATTATTTAGTCGTTATAACACTAGATTCAAATTAATATATATTTGAATCTAAACTATGTTATGAATTCTTATAATTATAAAAGGTTGTTATCATGGAATTATCACTAAAACTTAATATTGAACCAATTCCATTACATGTTTATTGACAAAATGGAATTTCTAATTGATATTGAGTAACATTTAAGCATTTATTGTCTACGAACTTAAAATTATTGTTACAATAATCACATGTATATGGTTATGTACATTTCTAACAGTTATCTAAGCAAATAGGCGAGCATTTTAATTTTTCTTCATCATATGTATACCCATCTAAGCACTAAGTACATAGAATTTCATTATTGTTGGAACAATCTCCACAATGAGAAACACAAATTTCTTCATCAAATGGGATAGCTTATAATCTTTAATTCAATCTTATTTTATATGATTTGCTATGTTTTTGAGTACTCCAAGTTACATAGAGGAATTCATTTTATTAATTATTTCCACTTAAAAAATCAATAGATTGTTCATTTGAATTTATTTGAGTTTCAGCTGTTTAGGTTCCATTCAGATCGTATTATTTAACATTTATATTTATTATTGTTTATTGAGGTGATTCAGCATACAATAGATAAATATAGGATAACGATGTCACAACTTGTATTTAAGATAAATCATTTATTGATTCTAGAATCACAGTGTTTAATAGTTTTCCTCTCTAATTTAAGAATTGTAAATTTAATTTCTTATTACTAATAGCTTTATATTAAACTGAAAACAACTATAGATATGTAAAGTAGTTAACAAAATAACTTGTAATTATAGACTTTGTTAATTTTACTTCTACATAATCATACAAGTATACTATTTAATCAGTTGCATCTATCTCAGTAAATTATATAGAAAATTTATTTTGATTGGCTAGATTTTCTAATCTTAAATTTTAGTATCTCTTTGTGAAAGTAAACACATTTCCATAGTAATTTTAAGTTTAGATTATCATATAACCCAGTCTTGTTGTATAAAAATTAACATTTAAATAAGTGGAAGAAGTAGTGCTATCAGTAAAAACAACACACAATTAGTTATCAATCATGAGGATGTCCATCAAAATATCTTAATTTAAGACTAGTGAAATATTATTTTAAATGATATGGTATTGTTAATCTAGTGTAACGAAAATGGCTTTTATTTATTAATTATTAATTTCATCTCTGACTAAATACTAAATTAGATTAAATTAATCTTGTTTAATCAATTTAGGTTATTGTAATAAAATTGTTAAATTACTATCATTTGAAATTCTGATTTCTCCTGATATTGATTATCCTTATCTATTAAACTCTTCATATACAACATCATATTTAGTTCCATTATTTTTCAATGATGCAATTGAAACTGTGCCATCGTAATTTTAAGTTATTGTTGGATACAAATAACCCTCTTTTTGTATAATGTAATTTTTTTCTGTTTAAACACATTATGATTTAGAATCCAAGAAATAGTTTAATTTACATTTTAAACATTGATCTTCTATTGAACATTGTTCGCAATTATTAATACATAATAATTTACATTTTCCATTTTGCAATTTGTAATTACTATTCTTGCATTGTATGCATACTCCAGTTTCTGAACATTTGAAACAGGCAGGAGAACAAGTAAACGACTTTAAGTTAGTGATCTAATTAGATTTTTTAGAAAAACCTTAAATGTAGATATGATATATTGGGTTGCTTTATTGGATATTTGAAATTCCAGACCATAGAACAATAATATCATTTTCTCCAATCTAAATGAATGTATGATTTTATGGATATCTTGATGATTATGTGAGTTAAACTTTATTGCTATCAGTATTGTTTATGTATAATTATCTGTTCAAATAACAATCATGTTCTAAATATAATGAAGTTTGATCAATTTTAATGATTTTTTATGAGAAAAATTCGATTCTATCTTAATTAGTCGCATAAGTACACGATAATTTAGTATCTAAAATATTACAAGTGTAATAAGAATCAAGATTTCTGATTGTTATAAAATGATAATTAATTGAATTTCTGAAAGATGTCATTTCAATATCACCTTTTGAATATAGGAGATAAGAACTGTAATTAGAATAAGCTTCATTTTAATCCATTTTCCTATATAAGAGCGAATAATAATCTTTATCTTTTACAAAATAAAAAAATAGTATGCTCTGACTTTTATAATTGATGATCTTTATTTGATCTCCTTAAATTATTGGCTAACCTTCCGTTATCAATGATTACCCTTTAATTGTTAAATCTTCTAAATAGTAATAGTAATTGATTGTTTTAGTTGATCCATCAACTGAAGCCCACTTAATTAATATGAAAAAGACTTGATCATCAAAAGAATCAGCAATATCATAATCAAGTAATGTTTATTGATCTTATTAGAGTTCCACTTTCTTTAATAGTTATCCTTGATTGTCCAGTTTTCTAATGACCAAATATGATTGCTAATCGTTTTAAAAAACACTATATATAACAATAATATAGAGATCCTTATTAATTATTTTTCCTTTGCCTTTAATTTCTGCTTCTCTGCTTACTTTCAGTTCCATAAAATCATTTGTCGGGCTCACACATAAGTTTTCTTTAGTATACTAATATCCCAACTTACATCTATCACAGTAAGAAGCATCGGAACAATATAAGCAATTATCAGGACAGATAGGAGTACAACGATTTTTAATTCTATCCAATTAGTAGTTTTGTTTACATTCTTGACACTGAATTAGATTATCACATATATCACAATTCTATATACATTCATTAATTTTTAAGCTCATATCTATTAGTTGAACACTTAATGCATAGTAGGATAATTGTGGAGTAAACCATCTAAGCAATAATTTAGTATGATTAATTTAATCAATTTAAATAGACTGAATACTCTATTTTGTGTCATCCACATCAATTTACCTATATTATTTTGTAATGTATTTATTATTCTGAACATTCAATAAGTCAATTTATTATATTTTTATCTCTTCTTAGCATTTGCTTACCAAAATTAATTAATAATCAGTAAAACTTACATCAATCTATTAGATTCTATCAATAGTACAAGATTCTTTAGTTTAAATTCCATATGGACTCTGATTAGCTTCAAAATCTTTATCAAACCTTCTTATATTAAATTCAAAAGTGTTTTTCCAGGTAAGAACAATAAATTCATTAGAGGACAAACTGTATATTTTGATTTTCTGTTGATAAGCAAAATATATCAATGTGGGAATTGATCTTGTGATTAATTTTCCTTCAAATAGTTTTGATAATATTATGTAATTGTTGTTGGATTAGGCTATTGCAATAATTCCTAATTTATTTTAAGCAACTGATACAAATTCACTATCAGGCAAAATCAATATATCACCTCTATCTCCTGTAGTTGGATTATACAATATCATATTCCATTATTTAGTAGGATATTCTTTTCCTTATGAATACCATAAAACTGTTAATAAATTTTTATTTAACTGATTTATATAAATGAATTGAATTTTTTATATAATTTTAACTTCCTATATAGTAGTACCTAAATTTAATTCTACATTTGTTTCCTCTAGAGATAAACTAAATTTTTTCATCACAACATTTAAAGCACTACCTTTCTCACTTACAAAAGCTATAAAGATTTAATTATTCATAAGAAGTATATCTGGACAATATTTGCTCTCTTCAACTCCTCCTATGGTTATTTGTTTTACAACTTCGTTTTTCCCAATGTCTATTATCATTAATTGGATTTAGAATAACTAATCATAGCCTCTAATGTTCTAGGCAACTAAAAGTTATTAATCTCCTATAGGAAGTGTCCTTGCGCTCCAATCAAACTCTATTCCTTTGATATCCACCTAGTTGAACGTATCTATCAGTGTCTAGGTCAGCACTGTCTATAATAATAAGTAGCATATATTTTAAACAAGATATTTCATTTTTTTAATAATAATTTGAAATCCATTTATTTTCGCTAAATTCACAAAAATTAAGTGAATTTAATTATCTAAATATTGAAAATAATAAAAGTATTTAAATTTGCAATTATACCTAGATTAAACATATAAGTTTGATTATTAATAAACTATCATAGATTAAGATATTATAGATATAAATGTGATATTTTGATATTACTCATTTTTATAATGCTAAAAGACATTCAACATTAATTATCACTTTTTGAATGATCAATAAATTAACAAATAAACATATGAATTCCTGGATATTTCATGAAGTATTTCCTTTTTAAGTTAATAAAAATTTTAATACAACGCCCAAGATTCTCTTGATATAATAGCAATTAAACTCTAAATTATTAAAAGTTTACAAGCTCAAGATTTCAAACTTCCATCTTTATTTAATATATGTTAATTTTAATTAAGCTTAAATTAGCCAATTTATTTCAAAATGTATAGTGAATTTAAATGCTCATTTATCCTCTAAAACTCAAGTCAGTAGTTATGATTATTAATTATCCATTTATTATAAAATTTCTTCATATTATAAAAATTAGTATAATTAACAATTTAATTCAAATAGTTTATTATTTAATTAAACTCATATTAGAATTCTATTAGGTTAATAGAATAACCTAGTCTTTATAAGCTTCAAATAGCTTTGGGTATCTCGAATAAACTCATCTTTACAAGAATTAACATTTCAATTCATTATGTCAATTGTTTTACTAGGATAAATTGGATCAGGTAAGACCACCCTATATAATAAAATTACACTATCATAAGAAAAAACAAAAGCAGGTGGAAATTCAGTAACTTTGAATGTTTTTATGAAAAAATCAAGTTTTGGTTCAGGATTTAAAGTATTAGATACCCCGGGCTTCGGATCAGATTCATAAAAGATAGATCATATCGCTGGTGTTCTTTCTGCCTTATCTGAAGGGCCCGTTAACAGAATTGCTATTATAGTTAAATTTGCCAGGACTGACGTGATCATTGAAGATGTCAAAAAAATTATCCCTGCACTAATGAATTATAGACACTTAATGACAGTAATAGTTACATGTTGGGATTATTGTGATAAAAGTGATGAAGCGACATATAAAAATGATATTCAGGCAAAGCTTGCAAAGTATAAAATAAATTCAACAATGTTCGTTGGTAAGAATGATGCTTCTGAGAGTATTTGTGAATAAATTGATCAAATTATTGCTAGATCGACGGCAGAAAATGTGAATTTAACAGATGCTGAAATCTTCCAAAGTTTTGATATGGAAGATTATGATGATCTGGAGATTTTAGAAATCGAAGAGAAGAAAGCATCATTAATAACTGCTTACCGTAAGTTTTCTAAAATAGCAAAAGAAAAGATAGAAAAGAACAATATTTCTAAGGGATTATTAACAGATTATTTATATGCAATTACTTAGTTTGCAAAATAACATGTTGAGGATACTATGAAAAAATTTGAGAATGATAAATTCAAATAAATAGATAAATTGGGTGAAGTAGAATAACTTAAGGCATTTCAAATTCATTTTTAACTCAAGAGCACTTTGTTTTTCGAATATGAATATATTGTTGAATTGGCCCAAAAAATAACCCACAAAGAAAAACATTTCTCCAAATTTGTAAAAAAATGTTATCATTGTGGTTAAATTTGGTTCAAATCAGCTGGTTGTGAGGGCCCGACTTACTGTGGGCGTCTGAATGATGATCATACAGATGAATTCTTAGGTAGAGAAGAGGCTCCTTAACAATTTAAAGTTGCTTACATTAAAGATGAATTGATTGTTACATAAGTTGAGTCTGCGAAACCACAATAAGTAGTTCTAAGTGAGAAAAATAAACAAAATTTAATGATGGATGAGAAAATCAAGTAATCTGTTGAAAGAGTGACTTTGGGCTGTGAAACATTCAACGTAGGTGGAATGGGATGTAGAAAAATAATAGAGTGGTAGTAAATGAAACCATTGACAGATGAAGAAATGAAAGAAATTTTAGGTATTTTGGATCTTAAATTGTGTGAGAAAATGGTTGAATAAGAAAAACTAACAAAATAGAAAACCTTGAACTAGCAAATCTAATATCAAAATGAATTAAATGAGAAAATAAAGGAATAAAAAGCAAAACTTAAAAAAGCAGCATGAAATTCATAATATATTATAAAAATTTTAATAGAATTATTTCATTTTATATATTCAATTATTAAATTAAAAATTATTATTTTTTTTATGAAAGTTATTATTATAGGAGAAAAGTATAAATAGTCCCAGAAACTGTAATACATTTTAGACAACATAGAAAATTGCGAAATATAATTCATTAATGTAGAAAAACAATTATAAGAGTAAATAGAAAAAATTTAAACCAATCAGAGAAGTAGTAGAATAACGAACATAATATTTGAGATGAAAAAATCAAATACCCAAGAATAAGAAAGCCTTATTTATTAATTAAAAAAAGTTAAAAGATTGTTTTTTCCTCTAAATTTATTGATAAGTGATGATTATTTGCGAGAAGATGCTATAAACATCAAGAATTAATTAAATAGATATCACAATATTTATATCTGTAATCTTGTAGATTTTTTCTAAAAGAATTATGGTTATGATAAACAAGTGGATCTGAGTGGGAAAAAAATAGCGATATTTCTTACAAAAGAATAGGATGTAAAAACTAAAATATTTTAAACTGTTAAATCACCTGCTATATTATAAAATAATTGGGCTTTAATTAATACTCCATAATGTAAGATGAATTCTGAAATCGAATAACAAAATGAAGTTATTATAGAATTTTAGCAGATTTTCAAAAGATATTAATCCTAAATATCTTTTTTGTTTATAATCATCGATTAAGAGAGAAATGATAGAGTAAAAAAAAATTTTATGGATATATATTCTTAATTTAAGAAGTTGAAGAAGCAAATTATTGTGTTGCTATATAATCGAATGAATGAAGAATTTGAAGAAAATTTAGCACTAGATAATTTTTTTATGAATGTGGCTAAAATTAGAAAAGTCTATTCACTTACAAACGATTAACTTTAGAATTAATAATCAATCAATTAATATTTTAATTAGGTTTTGTAAGAACATCAAAATAACCTTGAAGTAGGAATTGATTTAAAAGACACAATTTTTGAATTAAGAGATGAGAAATAATGTGAGGCTGACAATATCACTTTTTAATAAGATTTGATTAACAATTAAGTATAAAACCTAAAATAAAGGGTTGAATAAGCTGACTAATAAATTATTTTGTACTAATAAAAGATTGCCGAGCTCGAGAAATCAAAAAAAGAAGATTTAAACTAAATAAGAGAGTTTGAGTCATAAATATCCTAAAATTAGAAAACTGTTGAAAAAGTTTAGAATGAAACTTTATTCCAATCATAAAATTCAAGAGAAGTGAGAATGCCATAACCGCAAGGGTTTTAAAATAATATATAGAATTAAGAAGTAATTAAAAAGAAGAATGGTGAATCCCTACAATTAGATATTTAAACCCTAGAAAAATACAGACAATCATTAAATAATAAATTAGATTAATGTTATAAAAAATAAGATATTATCCTTCAAAACAAAACGTCTTTTAAATAGGGAAATGAATCACAAAAATTGGAAAAACTATTAGAATCAGAAATCACTGATCTTTGGAATAAAATAGATGAAACTGATTGTAAAATAAGGGAAAATAATAATTAATTATAAAAACTTTAATAAGATTTCAACAACAATTAGTAAAATCTTGAATAAGGGAATAATGCATCCAATTATCAATTTTCTGCTAATATAAAATAGATAAATCCTTTCCATCATTAGGAGAATAAAAATTACAGGAGGTTATGATTTAAATTTTTACATACAAGTCATAAATTATATAATAAAATAGATTTTTTTATTTATTAATTAAGAACTCTGCTTCAATACTTGTAAGTTGGAAATTTATTAATTTAGTATTTTTATTTTATGATTAATAAAATTATAATAATTTGAATTTTAAGGGTAAAATATAATAATTAGATATGACAAATAAACTATTTTGCCATTATGATAAAGTTTCTTGTACTTTAAATCCATAATACAGCTTAATTCTCGAACAGCTAGGCTTAATTTAATTAAACTAGAATTCATGTACTGCAAAATAGAAATCATCATTCAAATTAGTAACTTTTATTGATTTGTGAAAATTTCAATTTTTGAAATATTCAAAAATCCTGGTGCTAAATTATAATTGAATGCGGGAGACTGTATAAATAATGCCAAAATGAAATTTGTTACAAATCATTTTTTTATTTTTTGCTCAATTTTCACTTGTCTATGCTTCTCACCAAAGTTAAATCATCCTAGTTATGATTTTAAATGTTATTTTATTCTTATAAAATTATTTAATCTACAATTTTCCTTTTTGAATTCTACAAAATTTCACTCCTTAACTGATAATGAAATAACCATTCGACTTATGTTCAATTCTTAATTATTATATTAGAACACCTTTAAATTCGAGATATATGCGCCTACATTAAATTATTAATTATTATGATTTATATATGTAATTATATTCGCTCATAAATATGAATGATCAATATAACGTAGAAAATAAATTTTAGATTCTAATATTGTAAAGATGAAACATTCAATTAGAAATTGAATTAATTGATAAGTCCAATCTGTTTTTCAATTAAACATTAAAGGAAATAAAAACAAAACCAATTATTTCTAGTTTAGAAAAACTTATAAATTTCATTGAAAAATTGGAAATTTATTGGAGAAATTTTGAATTTGAACACTCAATTTTCTTTCAAAAATAAGAATCTCTTTGAGCATTTAACAAACCTAAATATCCAAAAAGTCATCTCACTACAGCACATTTACTTTGTTAGAGTAAACATTTCAATATTGAAATAAATTTACACTTCCTACCTTAATTACATATTTGTATGGTTTTCTATCAAATTTCATCCTAAAATGTCTTAACTCTTATGCTTTTTAATAATAATATTAATTTTGAAAGGAAATTTTTAGAAATATCACTATTTCCTAGAATTTTAATTCATCAATAAAATTACATTATTTCTCATTAACCATTTAGATTAATTACAAAAAAAGATGAATTATTTGAATCATTTGAGATAATACAAACTACAAAATGAATATCTAAAGATTTCGATAAGATTTTGATTAATTTTTTTAGACAATAGAAAAAGTTCTAATACTTGTTTTATATTATCCTTATTTATAAGATTGTTATTTTATTCCAATATTAATTTATTCAATGTGATCTTTTTATTAGTAAAAACTTTGCTTTGTAATTTATAGAATTGGATTACTAAATATACCATTGATCCATCCCTCATTTATTCCAATATATAACTAAGTGTTTTAAAGATCTAATTAAAAGCAGGTAAGCATAGATATTGATTATTTAATAGCACCATCTTTCATTTAATTTGAATACTAAAATTATAGAGACTTTTTAATAAGTGAACAGATTATTTAAGAATTAAAAGTATATCAGAAATCAAAGCATGCTCAAACTTAAGTTGAAATCATAAAATAATATAGTTTAGAATTAACATTATCATCAACCTAAATTATTTTCAAAACTATAATTTCTTAACATCAAATTCTCTCTGCCATTATATTACAGGACTCTTTACTATGGGGTTGTGTTATAATAGTTCTAAGTATCAAAAAGAAATTACTGAACCATAACAATAAATACATTTTCTCTGCAATTAAAATAGTATTTAGAAATAAAGAAGTAGAATATGCAGATTTGCAGATAGTTTTATATAGAATAAATAACTTGTTTACATAAATACTTTATCGCATAATGAATTATTATTCAACATAATAAAACCTAAAAGGATCGTTGATTATGGGTTGATAAATATTTGAAATTCAATTGTCTTACATACTTTTCACTATCAAAAACTAACACATTTAGCTATGTCTGAAGGAGAAGTTTAATCAAATGCAATCATTATTTTTTGAGAAGGCCACAAAATTGAAACTAAATATTTGCAAAGAGGTTATGTCAAAAAGGTACCAACTAGAAATGGGTAGAATATTATAGTATTAAAACGCCAAGCAAATTTGGTAAAAAAGGATATTTTGAAAGATAGAACTATAGAGACTAATAAACAGTTATGAGAAAAGAAATTAGATAAATTGAATAAAGAATAAGCAAATCCAAAATCAAACCAAATTAAGGCCATTGTCATACTAAACCAATTTTCCAATAATTGAACATTGCTCCATCGATAGGTTGAACAAGAACAATTTACAATAAGTAATACACTATCGAAAGGGGTTTTATGTAAGGGAAATTTACTAAGAGTAATGTCTTCAAAATAAATTATCAATAAAATTGATTTCTGATCTTATCGATTTGTCTGTATAAGCAAAATTATTTACTAATTTTAAAAATCTATATTTGAATGTGATAAAAGTGCTCCTGAAAAATCCTGCCTTCTTGCCTTAAAGTGGCTATAAGGGCCATAAGAATTTGGGAGGTCATGGAAGAATATGTCAGAATCGCTTCTACATATGTCAAGACACTTCAGTTTTGAGCAGAGGATTCAAGAAGGGCAATGATAAAATATTCTCAAACTACTTCATTCATAGTTTATGCGAGTCTCAACCTTAACTTTCCTTCTTTCTACAAAATGAAGAATTAGGATGCAATAGAAAATAATTTGATGCATTAAAATGCAAATTAGTTTTGTTAATATCATAATAGATAAGAGAACCATTTATTCTTATTATTTCAAATAGTTAGCAAGTGACAGATATTTTCCAAGTTTTACAGTCGTTTTTTATAACTCATGAAATTAATGCTAGAGGTAGCATTAATGAAGGTTTTTGCATGTTAATCAACAGAAACTAGAAGTGCTTTTAAAAAGCTCAAATTAAGTATCTAAAAATAGTTATAACATCCAAATTTGGGATGCTGGAACAATTGCAAATATAGAATAGATTGATATTTGCTTAATCTCACAATTTTATCAAATTCACCACCTCAGATGTTCGGAATGAATGCAATTTAAACAAAAAGTGTTGAATAAATCTAATATCTAAAAATTTAAGGTAAAAATTAAGGAAGAAAATTGCATTAGAAAATTATATTCCTTAAGTAAGTAAAAATTTAGCTAGATCCAAACCATGGTTTGTCAGAATCTGCCTCAGGAAATTTAGACCTAAGTGAAAACTTATGATTTTATGGAACATGAATTATAATCCTATTCCATTCTTCTATAAATTTTTATATTACTCCTCATCTATTTAAATACATCTACATTATTTTCACCTATCATTTTTGAGATTATTAAATATTATTCCTTCAAAGTTTGCTACTTTTGAGCTGAAATCTTCTTGCTAATCGTAATAGTAAATTTCATGTCGGTAACTTTCAATAAAGTTTAGAAGTCCTTTTCAAAGAATTTAGGGAAGATATCTAGATCAATAACCTTAATCAGGTTGAGTTCCTAAATTTATTATTAACTATTTATTGGATCTGAATCAGAGATACTCATAATCTAATCTCCTATTATTATCTAATATAATTTTTATTGGATTCCTACTTATTTTAATTTATAAAATGTATTGAACTTCCATTTTCTATTAATCTTCACTTTTCATAAATAAGTATTCAGTTAGATTTGCTCCTAACCTTTCAGTTGAGCATTCTGATAAATTCTGATCAGAAAAGTATTTTATTTGAAAAAAATAAAAAATTTACTTCATTCATTACCTTTCGTAACCTTAATCTTCTAATCATAACCCTTTTTGATGATGTATTTCCAATGAATAGCATTTTTCATAATGGTCATTCATATCATCCTTTTCCATCCATATCCAAAGAGTAGTGAGTGGCTTAGAAGATCTTCTAAAACAATTATAAATGATGTGGTGCTCATTATTATTGCCCCAAGGGTTTGGGTTGGGGTTGGGGTTGGGGTTGGG